GTAGCGAGAGTAGTAGTCTACCAGTATGAGAAAGTCAAGCGAACCAAAGTGGAACAGGTCAGCAGCTAGACGTTGCCATGGTAGATAAGGGAGTGTTGTTGGGATGAGCGGTTCAGCTGGTTGAGTGTGCATGCGGGCGCACGTCGAGCAATTTGAAACATGCAGCTGAATATCCGAATTGATGGAGGGCCACCAGACAGAGTTGCGGGCAAGACGGCGACACTTGGCATGCCCTGGTGTCCAGTGTGGAGCCGTGACAGAATGTCGTCGCGATGAGATGCGGGAATGATCAACCTGTCGTTGTAGAGAAGCAGACCGTCATCGGTAAGTGTGATGTGTGCCCGGTGTTCTACGTATGGTCGAACATCAGATGGAGCGTCGGACGAGTGTGGCCAGCCATCAGCGCACTAGCGAGCAAGCGACTCACACACTTGATCAGACTCTTGCCACTCGGCGATGTCATCGAGGCGTTTAGTAGTTGCAGGCAGACAATCTACGGCGTAGTCGACGAGCGCTGCTGTCTCAGCTGCGAGGAGATCAACATCTTGGCTGTCGACTTATTCTGATGAAACAGGTGCTCTGGAGAGAGCGTCAGCAATGGCGAGATCCTTGCCTGGCACGTGAACAATGCGGAAATTGAAACGAAGGAGCCTCAGACGGAAACGGACAATTCTAGGCGGTAGGTCGTCTAGAGCACGGCTGCCTAGAAGCGGGATGAGCGGTTTGTGGTCGGTCTGGATTGTAAACGGCTTGCCAAGTATGAAATGTTCAAAACGATCGCATGCCCAAGTAGAAGCAAGAGCCTCTTTCTCGATTTGAGAATAGCGGGTCTCAGCTGGTGTCAGAGAACGGGACTGATATGCAACTGGACGAATGGAGCAGTCAGACTGCACCTGGGGGAGGACTGCTCCCAGGCCGAATGATGAGGCGTCTGCAGACATGATCGTATCCAGGGTAGTCGAGTACATCGCCAGTACTGGATGCGAGCTGAGGGCTGACTTGATCGCGTCGAATGCTGCTTGGTGTGCCTCGGTCCAGGACCATTCCTGGCCTTTGATCAGGAGAGCACGCAGTGGCTGAGACATCGTTGCCAAATCAGGTACGAACTTTCCCAGCTGATTCGCCATGCCGAGGAAACGACGTACTGCTGGGACATCCGTGCAGGGTTTCAGCCCCTGAACACCGCGCACTTTCTGGGGATCAGGGTGGATGCCGTTGTCGTCAAGGATGTGTCCCAGGAACTTGACTGAACGTTGGTGGAAAGCACACTTGTCTGGGTTGAGTGTGATTCCAGCTGATGAGAGACGCTGTAGGACTGCATGCAGATTATTCTCCTCCTCGTGTTCGTCGTCATCGAAGGTTAGAACGTCGTCGATCATGCAGATTGTGCCTGGCAGGTCGCTCAGCAGGTCAGACATCTGCTTCTGGAAGTACTCAGGTGGAGAGGAGATGCCAAACGGGAGTCGTCGAAAGCAGAAACGACCGATGGGCGTAATGAATGTTGTTAGCAGTTGAGATTCCAGCGACAAGGGGATCTGGTGAAAGCCCTTGTTCGCGTCCAGCTTCGAGAAGACCTTGGCTGTGCCGAGGCGAGCAAGCAGGTGATCGGTTGTTGGCATGATGTGACGTTCCCGTCGGATAGCCTGGTTGAGTCGGGTAAAGTCGCCACAGATGCGAACGTTACCGTTGGGTTTAGGAGCCACTACCATACCGGCACACCAACCGGTTGGCTCAGTCACCTTGCGAATGACACCACTCTGTTCGAGGGCCTGCAGTTCTTTGATAACTTTGGCTTCCATCGGTAGAGAGATATGGCGTGGTGTAGGCAGAGAGTAAGGCTGTGCATTATCGACCAGCCGAATCGTGTGCTCGCTGCCAAACGAACCAACTCCCGCAAAGAGCTCAGGGTACTGCGTTTTGACAGAGGACTGCTCAGAAGTACCGGTAGTTGTGCTGAGCAAATCTGCTGGTGGACTGAAGATATTTAGGGCTTCGATGGCTGGCCGGCCGAGCAGAGGTGTTTTCAGGTGCGGTACAACGTACACTGTCGTGTCTACTGCAAAGTCGGAAAATGCAGCACGGCAGATACTGAGTGTGACGCGGCCTGAAACAGCTAGAGTCGCGTTGTCTGGACCTTTCAGCGTACGGTCGGATTCCTGGAGGTTGAGCTGATGGTGAGCAGATATGTCGTCATATAAGCTGGCTGGGATGGCGGTTACGTCTGCACCAGTGTCGACCTTCATTGTAACAGGTACTGACTGCAGCAGCATGGGCATAGACCATCCAGTATCAGCGGACAATGCACCTAGGTAGGCTGGAGGATAGTGCCACTGGTCAGCAGACTGTAATGGACCAGAGCTAGCAGCAGAGGACTGCAGACTATGCATGTGACTGGTGTTGGAGGCAGACTGAGAGCTAGTACTAGTGTGCTCCTGCATACAAACAACAGCAAAGTGTCCAATCTTGCTGCAAAATGAACACTTGGCCTGACGAGCTGGGCATTGAGTGCGTGCATGGCGTTCCTTACCACACCAGTGACAGGTACTAGATTGATCAACGCCAGAGCTGTGCCTGGGTGCAGACTGACTTGAGCCAGGATGACCACTGTAACTGTGTGTACTGCGGGGGGGGGGGGGCTGTGAAGCATGACCAGTTGAATCGCAGTTGTACTGGGCCGGATGTTTCACACCTTGGTGAGATTGTGGTCGCATGCTAAGTGCATTCAGCTCCAGTGCACAGGTACACGACTCACATGCAGAGTGACGCTGCTGTTCAAAAGCGTGGACTTGGTGAAGAGTTGCACCAGCTGACGAACTGTGACGGACAGTGGACTGTTGTGTTCGAACAGTCTCTTTCTGGCGAGCTTGTGACAAAGCTTTGTCCAGTGTAAGAGATGGGTCCAGTTGCAGTTTCTGGGACAGGGCAGTGTCTGCAACTCCTGCAACAAGGCAATCACGGATCATCTCGTCGTGGAGCTGCTTGAAGTTGCAACGTTCTGCCAAACGAAACAAATCAGTTATGTAGCCATCAATCGACTCTCCGGGCTATTGGGACCTCTGGTGGAATTTCGCACGCTCGTACACCAGATTGCGTTTCCTGCCATAATGGTCTGCAAATTTCTGGAATACAATGTCGTAGTTGTCCGCATCCTGGTCTGATAAATGGAAACTCAGTAGGAGGTCGTCAGCCTCGTCGCCCATCGAATACAACAAAGAGTTTACTTGCACAGACTGTGCCTGCATATGAAGACCCGAGGCGAGCCTGTATCTCGTAAATCGCTTGCTACACTTCTCCCACACATCAGCGGACTTGAAGTCGAATGGGGCTGGAGGAGCTACCTGGGTAAGGTGGATCATCGACGGAACCTGGGGTGCCACGGGGCCCAGAGATGATGCCGTGGGGAGGGATAGCAAAGCCGCGGAGGAAACGACAGAGGGTGCAGCTTGACCAACACTCGAGACAGTGACTGCTCCTGACGAGCTAGCATTACTAGTAGTCGTAGTATTACTTGGACCTGAGGAAACCGTGATGGAGGTAGTTGTGGGAGTGGAAACAGGGTTGTTTGAAACGCCTGTCGCCATCCTGTCAAAGAGGAAATCCCAGCGCTGCTGTAGTGTAATGAGTAGCATCATGACAGAACTCTAACCCTAGGCATATCATTGTCTGTCTCCAGGTTTCTCCTTCCTACTCCCTACACTCACTCGCATTGATCTAACGTGTGTACTTGTATAAGAATCGCAGCCTGCCTGCTGTACCATTGACTCATGCATTCATGTACCGCTGGACTTGCTGGCTGCGCATCACTAACCCTTCCCCTTCTATGGCACAGTCCCCGCACTGAATGCAGTACTCGGGTGCGCGTGCGTATTCATGTCTGAGTGCACTGCCCTCGGGCTCCATCTATACATGGCAGCCCGTACTGGGCACGCTGCTTCCGGTCGCTGTTGTGTGCACGCAGCGCCGTAGTCTATTCCGCTCTCTGTCTTCTTTACACAGTGATTCCCGATTGGAATCAGCCTCTTCGTTTCTGCTCTCCTTGTAGTTAGTTGTGCTTTTCCGTGTCCGATAATGTTCCCCCTTTTGCAATAAACAGCCAGGCGAAACTACTCTAAGTAGCTACCGCTACATGGCGCCGTGAACAGGATCAGTCCACCATGTAATGCTCTCCCGACGTCCTTAGTACGTGTCGAGAGCACACCAAAATACCAACTCAACACGGTCTCCTTGTGAGGCAAAGAACCCTTTTCATTATCAGTGCAAGAACACAAAATAGTAGTGAAAGAAACATAATCCCGCAAGACAGTCGCGGGTACTCCATATCGGGATCTAGTAGAGTACTTGAGGGTACGCTACGGTCCATGATACATCTAGATATGGGATGAATCATCAAAGGGATACCGTAACGGATAGTCTAGATCTATAAAGAGAAGAGTACAAATAAGAGAACAGGCATGCACAATGGGTACACACACACATACAAGATAACACTACAGATAGCTCTTCCGATTGCTCTCTCATATCACAGGTACTTCCCACGTACACCACACTCAGAGGACTGATTATTGTCTTTACTCCAAAGAGAGTCTCAGCAAGAAGGCCAAGAACAACAACAAGAATGCGTACAAATGCAGGCATGCGCAACCTGCGCAGTCCGCGCACGGTCCACACAATGACCGCACGAATCCAGCACACACGTGCCAAAAGGGGCAGGTACAACACTTCGATCGAAGGTCCCTGGAGTCCTGATGGTGAGAGTCAAATATTTCTTCAGACTTTTCCCGTTTGCATCTTTCCTTCAAATCACTGAATGTTTTAGTACCGTTTTTAGAAGTACAGAGAACTGTACTGTACTGAGAACATGAAGACACAAGGCTGCACTGCATTGAGCTTTCCCCAGTGCATAATTAACGTCACTTGACAGCACTCCTGTCCATTAGCTGACATCTTTCCAAGTGAAGGTGACAGCCAGACAGAAGTGACCACAGCAGCAGCAGCATAGAAAACAGAAGTTGCACGGGGCGTAGCACTAGTTGTGCTATGTGTACACATGCCCTATCTTCTGCAACAAGTCTTTTGGAATTTTTACCGTTAGCTCATGGAAGAGGACGCAGAAATCTTCTTGTACCTGGTAGAGTTAGTTGTGAGTTATGTCATCTGAACGAGTGTGTTGTGTGTCCTGTGGCGGTGCAGGCAGACGTTTGAAGTCAGTGTCTTGCTTGCACTCAGTCTGTGTAGCATGTTTAGAGGAGAGCATTCACCATGATGGCTACATCAAGTGCCCAAAATGCTTTAGCAAGACACCCATACCAACTGTAGCCTTTCCTTTGACCCACTTGCCGGATAGCTATCCAAAGCAGTATGGAGATGAGACGGGAGCATCAGCCACCAATGTACAGGTGATGTGTGATGATTGTGCTGATGATGAACATGCTACAGCTAGGTGTGAAGACTGTGGAGTAAATCTTTGCAGTGCGCATGCTGTCAGCCATCCACTCTTTCGAGCCACACGCAATCATAAACTGACATCACTCTCTGCTGAGCAACAGGAGACTCCCAGCGAGCGGGGTTCTATTCAGCACTATTGTGCTGTTCATCCCAGACAGGTGTTGAGCAGATACTGCGTTCAGTGTAATCAACTGGCGTGCCAGAAATGCATGGACGCTGGAGCTCACAGTGACACTGACACTCACCACCAAGTGTTGCCCATTGAAGCAGCAGCACAGAAAATGCATGAAACTGTGGAGGGCAACATCAGCAGTTGTATATCTGATAGTGAGGGTGTGATCTCTTCAGCTCTTGGAAAAGTGCAAGCTGAGATTAGTACTGTAAATGATGATGCAGAGTTTGCCTCAAAGGAGATCACAGAGCAATTCAATTTGCTGAAGGAGGTATTGGAAGCCAGGGAGAAGACACTCCTAGATGAGGTGGATCGACAGAAGAACGGCAAACTCGTGCAGCTTGAAGCTCAGGTGTGTCGGTTACAGGATAGTCTTGTCCATGGTAGTACTGTTTCGACAATATTCAAGTCCTGCTCTGACCAGACAGATTTCCTCAAGATTGCACATTGGCTGAACAGTGCTATTGATCAAAGAAAGAATGTGGCCGAGAAGGATGCGGAGCCGTGTGTCCACAGTCACATCAGCTATCACGGTATCAATGCAAAGAATGCTACCAAGGAGATTGAAGAAATCGGCAAGGTGGTCGACTTCACCCAGTTCTCGGATGCATTGACCGTTTCTGCACAAGATACACGTGTGAATGCGGATATGAGTATTGTGTTGAAGGGTGCCACGCTGTCAGTACCATTTGAAGAGTGTGCTGATCGCCTTCGATTCAAGATTTCCGTCCATGATGGCAGTCATGAAGAAGTGCCTGTAGCAGAACTGCAGCAGGTCTCATCAGATTGTCTGCAGTCCAAGTGCGAGCAGCTGAAAGAGACTGGTCAGTTGACGGTGTCGGTTCAGTACGGACAGCGACACGTGCAGGGCAGTCCCATGGAAGTTAACGTATACCCCTATGTACAGCCGGTGTTTGATCAGAGCCGCTGTTGTGGAGATATCACCATCAGCAATGCAGGCTGCACCGTAAGAAAAGGGCAACATGGGTGTACATCAGTGTGCACATTATCTATCCCTACTAACCATGGTACCAGCAGCATCAGGCTAAGAATAGACAAAACTCACAACGGCTACATGTATATCTGCGCTTGTTCCGCCACTGTACCACGACTAGATAATGTACACCGTGTTAAGACGGAGGTATTTGGCTGGAATGGCTGTGACGGTTACAAAGAGTGCAATGGTGGTCAACTTGGACAGCGGTGGGTAGCAGGTGATATCATCTCTCTGGAGCTCGACCATGACAATCAAACACTAACCGGTTATCACGAGCGCACTGACAGCAGGGAGGTACTTCACGGCATCACCGGTACATGCTGCTGGTATGTATGCGTGTGCTGGGAAGATGATCAAGTCACGATACTGTAGATCATAGCTGTTAACGCTTTCAAGAACCAACACTGTATGCATCAGTCATACGAGCACTTAGAACAATCTGGAAATTCGTTCAGTGGTAGCCCGATTGTATAGTAATCACCGTTCACATATATTCTTAGCTTTCCTCCTTCTGTCGCCGAATTTCAGCAGTTTTCCACGAAACCCCAAAATTCCTAGGTTCATTTCACTTTATACTTCCTGCGTGAGCGGAGGAAACACGACTGCCAAAATGTAGCAGATTCCCTAGCTAGTGTGTAAACATGATCGAACTGTTGGGGTTGCTAGCTCACACCATGGCTGTGTCGTGTGGACTGTGCTGGGTTGTGTATTGCTGTCCCATATGCTGTCGGAACCGGCAGAATGTTTTTTTAAATAAATTTGTGGCGTTTGAATGTTGTTTCAAGCATTGACATCCGTTTGGACTATATACCGAACGGATAGCTTTACTGCATCAGCTCTACTGCCATGTTCTCACGACCAGTTTCAAGCTAGGCTTTTCGAGTCATCCTCAGCTGCATGTCCTTCTTCCTCTAGTTTCTGCCGATCCCGCGTATCCGTGCGCGGGGTTCTCTCGCACCGTATTGCGTGGTACGACAATGTCGTACTTTCTTATGCCACATACCCATTTTGGGCTTTCTTCTTCCCTTTCATGTATTCTCCCTTCGACAAGAAGTGCTTTTCTTCCCTTGGTTGTTAGAAGACGGTTGTCGTTCTTCTCTCCGAACTTCAGTATATTCATGTAATTCTGGTGCCCCTGGCTTGCTGTGTCGTGTGGTGTTGCACGTGAGGAATCTGCATGCTTTCCGAAGTTTCCCACACAGGCTCGCACTAATGTTACGTGAATGCACATATGCATCTTGACCAGTCGCCGGGCCTCAATTCTTTTCCTTTTTTTATACTTAAAGATCTCATTGAAGACTAGTCATTAATAATGTCACAGGAATGTAGTTGGTGTGTGTTAGCGTCCACCGATCACAATGCCATGTTTGCATTTGTCACGCACCGCTACTTGAGAGCTTTGCGGCACTGCACTCGCACTGCCAGCTCAGAGCTTTGCGCACGCCTAGCCTGACGTCACATGTATCTACCATGGAAACGTCAACCAAAATGGCATTGATCCTGCATGTGTTGCGAACGCTTGCTTTCTCTTTTTTTTCATTGGTGTTGGCTTCACTGCAAAATCAAAATAACTATTGGCGACGTTTAGCTTGTGCCAGTGGATGCACTATACTTGTGCTGTAATCCAGGCTAGCACACACTCTTCTTCACACTCCTTACAATAGATCTGCTACACACGTAGAAGCAGAAAGTGATTTCAACCGTGCTGCAACAAACAGTATACAATTCTTTGTTGCCATCTTCAATAGGTCCGTCAGAAAGTAGTAATAGGTTTTTCATTTGACCCAACGAGACTACACAGCGCTTGCAGACGACAGCACGAACAGTCCACCAGCCATACTCCACGAAAGCAAGTAGTGTTACTCCTGACAAGTCCTGTTTCGTTCCATATAAAGATGCCGGGAACTCATCAAAGGAGCACGGCTGTTCCGAGTGCGACATTTATCAATATGGCGGCGTACCGTAGCAACCCGCATCGCAACAGCTCGCGTACGCACAGCGTGCCGACGCGTGCAGTCTTTCTGCACATTTTTCAAATTTATCGAAGAAAGTTTTTGTTTTTGAGGCGATGGATTCGTGCCTTGGAGGGGTCGTATGAGGCCATGCTGGAGGAGAATAAGTCTACCAAGACCTGGAAGCCTCCCTTCGGCGAAGTACTGAAGTTAGTATGTCCTGGAGTCAATACAGGAATTGTTTTCAAGACGATGCAGTGGAATAAATTCTAGTAATGTAGCCGGTGCATCATATCATGCAATTAGTTGTGTTTGAAACTTCGGAACAAGAAGGGGGCACGTTTGCTTGACTCACTACCATCATGACGTGAACAGATGGAACCCCACTGCTCTTATTCTAGAACATGTTCTCCCCTGAGGACAGCTTACAGCCAGATTTCCGTGCATAAGAAAAGAGCACAAATAAATCGTTAGACTGATTGCAATTCATCTTGGAGAAGGAGAAGGATAGAATTCGATCGTCTGCTACTCTCTCAACGCAAAGTTGATGACATAGCAGCTACATGTACGTCTCTTCATGCGTGTGCTCTTCACCTTGGGATCAATGTGAGGAATTTAGGATTGCTGGAAATCAGATTCTGTATACTATTGGACAGCAGTTTCTGCATTGCACATGCTCCACAGTGCTCATCGGCAAGGATGTTGAATTTGCGTGTAACCCTTCACCACCCTACTCTCCATACTATTCCAGATCAGCACTAACTGAACATTGAAGTGTTTCATTTCCAGTAGAATGTGCTCCTCCAATAAGTGCGGCATTGGAGGCGGTGATATTTATTGCCACAGTTGCACTGCTGATCTTCGTCATGAAAGAAGCAATGGATGATGATCAAGTCAACCAGTGGGCTTGCAGTGGTAAGCAAAGTACCACAATACATCATCAAGTGTCATAGCATGGCGGAGTTGGTTGCCCGCAACGCTTCCAGTTGGAGACTGGAAGATATCCTCTATTTGCGCTCCAACTTTTAAAGCACATGGACCTGCTATAGGTGTTATTCTTCTATCAATGCTTGTTTCAAGTCACAGAATTATTTAGCTTCTTACAGCTTTGATTTAATTCGCCGTATTGTAATTAATGTGAAGATGAGGTTGATGCGACTTCGGCAATACTTGGGGAATTGTGTGTTGCTCCCTACGTGGGAGCTTGCGCTATTCCTGCCGACTTGAATTCTCACTTGACCGACTTGTTATTTTAAAATGAATTCATGGACATCTGTCAATTCAGCAGGTGAACTGCATTGCCATCAAGCCCTGAGCCAGCTCCATAGGAATGGCACGGTCATGAAGATGCGTGATGCTGTGTATCTTCTTCGCATCAGAATAATAACCTGGTTGTTTCGGCTACACACTCCGGTAGCAACAGATACTCTGCATAATGCAGCTTGTACAGTAGTCCTCACTAAAGAAGAAAGCAGTTTAGAAGGGACTCTAGTGAGGAGTGTGCGAGGATAGCCTATGAGTGTTCTACATAATCATTTGCATATTGAACATATTACATGTAATTATCATGAACGCCGAGAGTGGTAAAACCGGGTACGGCCATCACCAGCGGCTGGGGCCCTGTCCTGAGTGCCATGCTGTGCTTAGTGCTGATGTAGTGCAAGATATATAAGCTGCATCATGGTTGTCGTTTGTTGTTGTTCAATTACTTGAAGTATTTCAGTATGGTCTTTACGCATGCAAGTGTGTGCTTTTCAGCAGGATCGTCGAAAGACTACATTGTGCGTGGCCTAAATCTGCAGTACCACTAGTAATACAAAAACCCATGCCTATGTGTGTACACGTAAGGCCTCAGACAGATGGGGAATCTTGCATCTCTGACATTTAAAATCTCTACACAATGTCCTGTTTCTACATACATTTCGAAAGCATGAATTTCAAAAAATGTTCATTGGATGCCAGGGAATTTTCTAGAACCGCCCCAACCGGTTTTCGACCGGTTGAAATTGTTGGCGACCGGTTGAAAAGTTACAAATCAGTTCCAACCGCCCGTACTTTTCTGTGGGTGAATGGAGCTGTGAATGGTCAAACGCTTTTTTCTGGACGGATACTTCCAGCGAAGCCGCGTGGGCTGGTACTAGGGTCACGAGTTTCCTCTGCTTATATCTTTGCTACACTCCAGCACCAAGAAATTTGTTAAAGGGGAAGTTAAGGCAAAAATTAAAATTTCACCAGTTGTAGTCTTCGGGGTGCTGAGTCGAATGGTCTTGGTCCGAGAAAGCTGAGACGCTCCCTTCCTACTTGAATCCCAATCGAACTCGCGCACTTCCACCGAAACTGGGTGACTGCGCCCTACGAGATGGGGATTTGTATGCAAAATGTCACTAAAAGCGCCATTTCGTTCTTATAAAAGCACGGATGACCGCGATTGGCCCATATGTTGTAGTCTTTTGGACGCTGAGTCGACTGGTTTTGGTCCGAAAAGGCTGCGATGCAGCGTTCCTCCTTTATTCCCAATCGAACATGGTTGAAGAAGCGGTCACGTGCTCCTGGGTGCCAAAATCACCTGGTCACCACGCCAGCAGGCGACAACTTTCACACCAAGGTTCAACTCGAGTGACAGGACTGCACCCAAAAAAGGTCAAAACAGGCTGTAAGTTGTACCCTGCAGGCACGGTGACCAGGTGACTGGTGTACGCAGGAGCACGTGACCGCTTGTTCTACCATGTTCGATTGGGAATTAGGGGCGAACGCTGCATCGCAGCCTTTTCGGACCAAAACCAGTCGACTCAGCGTCCAAAAGACTACAACATATGGGCCAATGGCGGTCATCCGTGCTTTTAGAAGAACGAAATGGCGCTTTTAGTGACATTTTGCATACAAATCCCCATCCAGTAGGGCGCAGTCACCCAGTTTCGGTGGAAGTGCGCGAGTTCGATTGGGATTCAAGTAGGAAGGGAGCGTCTCAGCTTTCTCGGACCAAGACCATTCGACTCAGCACCCCGAAGACTACAACTGGTGAAATTTTAATTTTTGCCTTAACTTCCCCTTTAAATTGCTGTCGAGTGCCATATTTGGGTTGTATTTTGAAAAAAAATTCCGGGGGGGGACCCCCGGACCCCCCAACTCTTCATTGGACCGTAACCGGTTGGAAATTCGTCCTGGAATATACCCTGGATGCATGTCTGATTCGTACTTGCTAACATCCAGAACGAAGCATGCACGGATCCCTCCTATGGCGGACGAAACCGGGGTCTTCGTTAGACATTGAGGCAGGAGAACACACCTCCACTCGTCCTGCATATATCAGCAAAAACTTGCAATTGACTTCCAAGTACGCCAAGCAAATCGACTTGGGCACGAAAACGATAATCTGGGCGGCAATGAAAATATAACTACGACGTAGGAAAAGGACAAACCTTTCAATGAAAATTGGCGTGAAGGCTGCCAAAAATTCTGCACCCCTTAGGAGGAAGCCTCGAATGTGAGCCAATCCTGATAAACGCCAATGGCCGGCACGACGAGGAAGAACGAAACGAAAAAGATCGTAACTTCACTTTCCCATTGCGCATTTTGACGATCAAAATATCTGCTTGCGCAGCTTGAAGGCAGGAAGGTGAATTTGCTTAGACTTCGCGAATCCAGCGTAGAAAACGGCTGGAATGGACAGAAACATAGACGAAACCTTGCCGAATATTTCCAGAGATTTGAAAAAGGCAGCAAGGTCGCGTACGACAGCATCATGGATCACTGGGGCGACGGGAAAATGTCGTACCGTACATAATGTCGCTGGATTATGCATGCATAACAGCCGTGGGAGAAGCAGTTGTCACATACTGTAAATATACAAACTTTCGGCGCTGCAAAATTTCAGCACTTCACGATTTTTGACATTTCGGCGGCAATTTATTTTCGGCGTGGGGTAGAGGGCTTGGTATAGTGCGACAGATGCTGTGAAAAATTTCATCGGAGTTTTAATTTAGGGTCGGTGCCGAATATAGCTGAAATTAAATAGCTGCCGAAAATTTGTATATTTACAGTATGTGAGTTAGTTGAGTGTTCACACCGTGTGCCAGTATCTTCTCTATAAAAGCATTATTCAGCTTAAAACCCTGCTCAACTGATGAGGGGTGAATGGTACACACGCACTCCCCCCTCCCCTCCCCCCCCCCCCCCCCCCCCCAACACACACACACACACACGCACACACACTTATTGTGCTCACGGATGCCTACCTCCTTCGTCTCCTTGTAAAGACGCGTCAGGAAATGCGTTGCAGCCATGTCTCTCAGCACCTTTCCCTGCACATAGCAGCATATAGACACAATCAACTGAGTACCATAAGCCAACAGCCAGTGCACGCGAATTTTTATGCGTGTCACACTCACATTAAAAACACCAACTTTTCTCTTGCGTTGTTATGAGCACGCGCAGTTTGCATGCATGTGTGGGTTACAGCTTGTGTTTGTCAGGTTCTGGAGGGCCACGCCGTGCCCCGAAGAGAAATTTTTTCAATTCTTGATTTAACAAATGTGAATAAGATTAAGGAAAGTGTATGCTCCCACCGTGGAGCTGGCGCCAGCTCCACGGTGGGAGCATACACTTTCCTTAATCACATTTTGTTAAATCAAGAATCGAAAAAATAAGTGGGGATCGTGAAACTTCACGGCCGCAAAGTGGTTTACCTGCTGCCCACAATGCACAATGCATGCGCCATGCGGACGCGGAAACAGAGTCACCAAGGCCAACACCTCAGCCGGTTTTGCATCAACCAGGAGTACAACATTCACATGGCTGGTGTTGATAAGAACGACGCCATGGTCGCAACGCATTCTACCGTCCGCAAGACCGTGAACTGGTATAAGAAGCTGGTGCTCCACCTCACTTAAGAAGTACTGCAAAATGCCTACGTCGCATATTCAAAAATCAACGGATGGTAAACCGAACCACTACGCCTTTGTCAAGGAATTTGTGCGAGCACTTTCGGTTGCTGCAGACAAAGAAGTGGTCGCGACTGGTGTAGCGTGCCCAGGAGTGCAGGAGAGGCTCATTGGCCAGCACGTACCAGAGAAGATTCCACTCACGGCAAAGAAACTTTGACAGTGTTGCCAACACACTCTTGCGTTGTATGCAATGTAAACGGGCATCGGCGCGATGCCCGCTACGTTTGCGGCACTTGCACCGGGCGTCCTACCCTCTGAATGGTCCCCTGCTGGGGCCAGTACCACACACAAGCCAAGTGTTGAATGCAGCTGAAGCCTGATACTTGAACCAGCACTGTACATGATGGAATTAGCAAATAAAATTGTGGAAAATAGCAAAATTGTACATATTTCGAATAGCCATTTCTTCCCTTGACACGTATATATCACCCGGAATTGGTTTCTCGCGTTATTGTGACATGAAGATCATCTCAATGCATTTTCAAGCTGATCTAGCAACTTTTTTTAAATTCCATTCTTTGGCTCAAACTGAGTAGGAATCCAGAGTCCCGTGGAAGACCACTTGTTGGCACGTGGAGACATGTCATAGTCGATTATGGTGGTAGTCGAGCCCACAGATTCGCTGGATGCTCTCTCGAGAATCTCACACCTGAAACAAGTGCAAGTTCGAGGAATTTGGCACGACAAAAAGTCTTGAACTCCTTATCACTTGATTCGTGCTGCACGCTTACGGAGCTGCCGCGATTGCATCTCAACTTACGAACAATTTATATCGGGAACCATTGATCTCAAGATCTTCGCAGATTGTTTCCACGGACGGTTGAGAGTTTTAGCATCGATCTCGATATTTAGATCCTTGAATTCGAGCTTGATTCCAGCGAGTTCAAATACAATCTGTTGTGGTTTCACGATTGAATGCGTCGTTTACGATTGTTTCCACGGACGGCTGAGAGTTTTAGAATTGATCTGGATATTTAGATCCTTGAATTCGAGCTTGATTCCAGCGAGTTAAAATACAATCTGTTGAAGCTTCACGATTGAATGCGTCGTTTACAATGCATTCAAGTGCGGGACGGCTCTCAAAGGGTTGCCGAGGGTAGCGTGATGGACCGGCATTCATATCATCATTGCGGCACATCACAGCAACCATTCAGACATCACAGCGAGTGAATAGATAGTCACCTTTGTGTCTCGCGCATTCAGCTCGGCCTGGAGATACTTGATAAGCTCCCGGATTTCTGCGCACAAAAAAGAAAGAAAGCAAAGCTCACACGTTCACGTTACCACCGGCTATACAATTGTGTTGAAGAATACAACCAGTTTAGGAAGTTTCACTTGTGCCAGGTCACCACCATGCCTGGTATACCAAGGTGGCAGATGCAGCGCCTAGCAGCGAGGGTGAGGTGGTAAGTTCTGCGCACAAGCGGGGGACAAAGTCAAAAGCGGCAGTGCAAGCGACAGCGATAACCACGCAGACAGAGACTGGTCACGAGAGAAGCACAACAAGAGAGTTGACAGCAGTGCGCACACCTGGGAGATGAAGAACTACGTTCTGACGCAGCATGAACACATTTGTGAGTATTTCCAAGAGTACATGAAACCCAGAGTGTGCAGCTTCTGACGTTTTCTGCATGGCTGTCTGTCACGGTGAAATTCTGGGACTGCGTCGTAATTGGTGCAGATCTGAGGCCGGTGGGACGTGGCGTGGTGCGTACAACTGAGCTGCAGCTGTGCAGAAAGAGACCGGTTTGCATCCTGCTTGTACGCACTACATCACTAAAATGATGTAACAATCCCGGAATTTCGCCACGACAGCAACCCGTCAGAGCTGCACACTCTGGGGTTCATGTACTGTAAAACCAGAAAGTTTAATGACCAAAAAGTTTAACGACCAAAAAGTTTAACGTTTTTGTAATTTTGGAATGATAACGTGCAGAAAGTTTAACGATGGCTACCTGGCCACCCATCTGTAGGCGCATCTTTACACAGACATCTAGCAGTAGCGTTTTTTCCCAAATAACGAAAAATAATTGGTCGTTAAAACGTTATACTTTGTGACTCGTTAGACTTTCCGGTTTTAAATTACTCTTGGTATTACTAGGAGTGCCCAACTAATGCTACAGCAGTACCCGCTCTTCTGTTGGCCGCTTGGTGGTATCCTATACCCAGTGCAGGAGATTCAACACCAAGCAATGCCCGCAGGATTGAATACAACGACAATTAACCCTTTGGCGTCCATGGTTCGATTTCGAACCATGGGCAAGCTACTGAACTGCAAAGCTCTGTAAGGTCATTGGCCACCACATCGGCACGGCAATAACTTCACAACAGGTACATTTCTTCTTTACACATCGCGCCTGTTGGGGCGGGGGAGGGGGGGGGGGGGGGCAGTGTAGCAAGAAAAAAGGAAGGAGTGCGTGCGTGCGTGTGTGATCTGCGGTAGCCTAATCGGTAGGGCACTGTCCCGGAAAGACAGGGGTGCTGGGTTCGAATCCCGCTCGTGGATTCTTCTTTCGCAACACACAGTACCATAGTTGGTCACGGGACCACATTGACCGCAACACCAGCTTACCATCAGTCTTCAGGTGTGGCGTGTTGAGCACCAGGTCCAGCAGGCTGTTTGATGCCGTGACAGCTGCAGTGGTGAATGCTGCCTGCGGAGTGCTGGCGCTTGCAGGGCCAGATGTACTGCTAGTCGCCACCGCCTCCATGCTGTCAGCCAATGCTTAGAGAGCAGTGACATAGAGATAACACACATCATCATCATCATCACACTGTTGTAAAATGATGTGTTGTTTTCCTGTGTGATGGCATTCCCCAAACTGTCTCGTCTAGTCGCGTGCATGTGTGATATGAGCATGCGCGATTTTGTAGTCGAGAGTCCTTTTGTCAGTCTTCTTGTTCGTCCCTTTGAGTGTTGTCTCCATTTCCGTAATGTCAATATAAATAATGTAATACAAACCAGTCTTGTCCTTTGTGTCCTGCGTCCCGGGGAACGGAATGGCTGTGATTCCGTTACAACACAGACACACCTTGAGCTAGCCGGCAGATAACACAGCTGCATAATAAATACCACATCCTAACATTGAACTCGGATAATGAGCCAGTAATAAATGTAAAAGAAGAAAACACATGGAAACAAGTTATGAAGCAACTAGGGCTGAAACGATCATTCAATAACTCTTAACGATCAACCAATATCATTAACCTTTTGCGCCCTGGTGCTAAATCCCCTGATTCCTGCCACCGGCCGTCCTGCCATACGCAGTAGTCCCAGTATGCATTTGAAAATTATATAATTTCACTCACCAGTTTCGTAATTATTTCTTTTTGGTCGCATTGGAAAGCTACAGATGTTCTCTCTCTGAATATCGCCACTAGACACCCGGCAGGAGCAACAGAATCGCCTTCAAGCCTGTTGAGAGCTGCCCTATTGCGCCTGAGCGAGATTCTGTACCCACCTCCACAAATTTTATCGTTTCTCAATTTTTACTCAACGTAGAACGATGATTCAAAGTCCTGCAGATTCATGAAGCTCAAGCGATTCATTTGATCTCTACTTCGCATGCGCTGTGCAGCGATGAGTCAATGGGAAAGTCCCCCGTTTGAGGCACGCCGACGCACTTGAAGCGCTCTGCGTACAAATTTTCGAAACAATTTCAAGCGTATCCGTGTTTCATTCTTCGATACTCAGTGATTCCGCACCGCGCTATATCAAACGACATACCACTGGAAAGCTTATTCTCTCACCTTTCCAATGAGCCATCATTCGCGACAATCGGATAAAGGACAATGGAGTTACGACAATTTGAACAGTGATGTATATGCACTGTACAAGTATGCGCTTTTACTTGACGCACATATGCGGCATCAGGAAATCAGGGTATGACGTTTTGACGCACATGTGCGGCATCAGTCCGGAAAGGGTTAACGATCGATATATTGGTTTTATCGATTCTTGTCGGCTCTACCCGTGTACCTCGAACACCAGTTTATGAAAAAATTCCACGATACTTTTGCTACGTTAGAAATTTGTGGCACCGCGCTGTTGACATCTGTAGACATCTGACTGGTTTATGAACATGACCTAGAGAATTTCATGTTGTTTCTAGAGGGAAGAATCTTGTCATTACCCTCCAGCAACTGCTCTTATCTCTGACCTTTCCCGCAAATGAACTGAAAAGACAAAGAGTGCTCTCTTCCGATCTCTTTCAAAGCCACAAATCAATTTTACTGCGCTTGAAAGTACATGATTGTACTCGTATTCACTATCGGATGGAGTGCAAGGGCTGGAATACTGTCACTCATATACATGCATAAAAAATTGTTAGCACTCGTTTTGAACACTAACGATTATCGATTGCACTCTTAACGATCGATATGCGAGTTATCGGTATAATTGTTTCAGCCCTAGAAGCAACTAACTAACATGTGTTTTCTTCTTCTATTTTACATCCTAACATCCCAACAACTGTACATCCTTGCAGCCCGTGGATAGCCCCATCCCTTTCTCTGGGTGCACGGTCGGCTAGCTGGTCAGCCGGGAGGTTGTACCCCGGGATAGGGCAACCGGACCATGGGACCCGGACGGCCTGATTTCCGGGAGCGTTTCAGCCCGTGCCCCTCCCCGGATGTGGTAAGCCCGAACGTGGTGTGTTTTTCTGAATTACCGGTACCGTAAAGTACCGCCAGAGCGCCCCACCATCTCATCCTTTCGTGGTCGTAATGTGGAGGTGATCTGCTGTCTATAGGTCATACGACATGAACCTTGTACACATATTGCACGTTTTGCAGTCAATCCGTACCTTCGAGCGAACACAAGCTCCACACAAAAACCTGCCAAGTGTGACCTTAGTACACTAAGATTCTTACATCGTACAAACTTCGTTGCACTCTGCCATACGATTTCCCTTCCTCTGGCTGTAAAATCAAGGTGAGGCGCTCTCGCGAGACGGGGCGCTCTGGCGGTACTTTACGGTACTGGTGAAACGAATATTCGAATATTCGTTCGGTTTGTCACATTCGAATATTCTTTAAGTCACATTCGAGTATTCACGACGTCACTTCGAATGCAGTGTATGTACATTATCCATATAAAAATCGCTCTGTGAGCGGTTCTGAAAAACCTTTACTGGTACTGCCCCGTCGTAAAAGTAAGAAATTAGAACTGGCCCATTGTCCCCCAAATGCGAACTGATCCACCTAAATCGCGAATGACGGGACCCGAACGCACCAGTAGCACGAGGTCGGGAGGGCACAGGATCACGGCAATTATCATAGGGTAACACCAGTAGTAGCAGTAGAATTTATTATTTTGATAGGGAAGCCTACCGCTAGTACAGTACATGGCCTATGGTCCGGACCAACGTCCCCATCTGCATCCACAGGTAGGAACCTCGTGCTACTGGTGCGTTCGGGTCCCGTCATTCGCGATTTAGGTGGATCAGTTCGCATTTGGGGGACAATGGGCCAGTTCTAATTTCTTACTTTTACGACGGGGCAGTACCAGTAAAGGTTTTTCAGAACCGCTCACAGAGCGATTTTTATATGGATAATTTCAGCTCTTTTTCCGTTCCCTCCCCACCCCAACTACACAAACATGTGTATGCACGCGGCACACACACGTGGCCACGCACACATACGCACATGCACACGACACAAACAGGAAATTCAACATGTATAATGCCATGCAAAGCAGTGGCCACCGTACTTGAGGAAGTGAGTTGTGAAACAAAAAGAATTCAACTACAGCGTGTAGACAAGATGACGGCCAAAGCACAACATAGCAAACATGACATTTGCCCAAGGATTGTAGTTTGCAGACCATGCCATGGAAGCAGCGAATACAGAATGTAATATCATACAAAGTGACAAGCAAGGACGTGGCCATCATACACCAGAAACTTGCAGAAAGTCACATATCCAACAGATAGAGAAGTGAACAGCAATCTGATACAGCCCACACAGGACAAAGCGGACCTGATACTCGTCCCAGGATCGCAAGTGGTAAACCCTTTTCAATGCATAACATGCAGGTGTACGTTAGACGCATGGACATCTGACTGTGTCGCCAGCATACAATGTCATCACATGTTTACCCCACAAGTTACACACATGCACAGTAGAAGTACAATGAAAGCAATGGAAAAGTACGATGTGGTTGCTGAAGCATCTTCACACTTCAAATTCAGACTTCAATGTGGTCGTCACGGGATGATATACCTGCAAGATACAAGTGATGAAGAAAGAAAGCAGAAGGTCGTGAGGTAGGCTATGAGACACCACAAACGGTTCACCTACATGTCTGTTCAGGGCTAGTGCACTCACACGCAGAATTGTCATAATCGAGCATTTCCCAAACTGAGAAGTGCAATGAAATCCACTTGCATGCACAGGAGCAATTTTGCAATACAATTTTGCAATATTATGATACGCAATTCGACACGATCTGCGATGCTGCGTGCGATGTGCCCTGCTGTCATGGTAGTGACAGTCACCGCCTTATGTTTTGTCAACGTCGCCCGTGCACTCTTCTGTCAAGTCCAAAGTGCTCACATACTTGGCAATGTTTTTGCAGTGATTAACTTTTATCCTAGTTATATGTCACGGGTAACTTTAATGAAGTACCCGCAGGCCGTGTCGATCTGCACATTGTCCACTCTCTCATGTACTTGGCCTGCTTTGTCTGTGTATCCATTTCATGTGCGATCCACAAAATCGACTAGACAGTGGGTGCAATACGCTCTCTACCTGAAGACGTTCTTCTGGCGACATCTCGCCATGTACTTGGCCTGGCTTTGTCTGTGTATCCATTTCATGTTCGATCAACAAAATCTCAATGCACTACGGAGACTAGACAGTGGGTGCAATACGCTCTCTATCTGAAGACGTGAACCATTACATTTTTTGGGAAAGTTATACGTACACCTGAAACGTAATGAAGTACAGGAATAGAGAGAGTGACTACAATACGCTCTCGACCTGATATAGTGATAACGTGAGTACAAGACACTCTCCACCTGATAACGTGTTAGAAGGTAACATGTCTACAGTCCCACCGTACCCTTCCGACACGACTGTAGACCATTACATTTTTTTGAGAAGTTATACGTACACCTTAAACGTAATGAAGTACAGGAATAGAGAGAGTGACTACAATACGCTCTCGACCTGATAACGTGAGTACAAGACACTCTCCACCTGATAACGTGTTAGTAGAAGGTAACAGGTCTACAGTCCCACCGTACCCTTCATCATTCCTCATTCACCATCGCGCGATACCCTGGCACACACTGGCAACATATCAATGGGGTGCCTTACCGTCGTCTAGAGGAGACGTCTTCGCAGCAATATTTTCCCTCCTGCGCATTCAGTCGCCGACGCGACAGCGTTCACGGGGCCGTTCCAGCTGCGGAAGACATTCGATTCATCGGGCCAATTCAGCAACAGGGCCGTGGACACACAGGGGGCAGAAGAGAGACATTGTTAGTGGACAAGAAATATGCAGTGGCAAGTGGCGAGTGCCGCATGGATGTCAAGTTGTCATGCACAATTCAGCTATTACTTACGGTCCAGCTAGTCCTGCCATTGCTCGCTCGTCCTGGTTCCTCCTCGTTCGTCTTCCTGCACGTCTGCACTTCTCCTTCCCCACCGTTGGCTTTGCGGTACGGGGGTGCCGGAAGGAATTCCCACCATGTATCCATGTACATGAAGTCCCACCATGACTCTCCATGTACATGTCCACGGCCACGTCAGCAGTTTGTATAGTACCGGAAGGAGTTCCCACGATGTCTCCAAAGGCCTAGAGCGGACGTCTTTGCAGCAGTTCTTTTCGCCCTGCGCATTCAGTTCGCCGACGATGTCTCCAAAGGCAAAGGCCTAGAGCCTAGTAGAGGGGACGTCTTTGCAGCAATTCTTTTCACCCTAGTACCCTGCACATTCACTCCGCCGACACGACAGCGTTTATGGGGCCGTTCCAGGTGCAAAAGGTCCACGTCAGCAGTTCTCAACTATTTCGCGTACGGGATAGTCGCCGCGACAGCGTTTAAGGGGTCGTTCCAGGTGCAAAAGGTATCCATCAATGGCACTTTGCAGTATGGGGTACGGAAAAGGGACCTCCTCGTTCGACTTCGTCGACTTCTAGCAGTTCTCCTTCCCGTCAGGGGTACCGAAAGGGGCCTCCTCGCAGTTGTCCTTGCCGTCAGGTCCACGTCATGCAATTCTCAACTATTTCGCGTACGGGATAGTCGTCTTTGTCGTACGCGACATCGGCGTTTACCGAGTGGCATTGGCACAAAGCAGACCGTTGACGGGGTCACGTGTCAAAATAGTATCAACAAAGTGTCGACTACGTGTCGACCACGTGTATAGCGGTACACTCAGCGGTACACTAATTCTCGTGCCATTCTCGTGTCACAAAACTGGAACATCGAGTACCAGTATGGAAAGGCTTCAGACAGGAAGCCTTTCCAATACATGCACGCCGAACACAGCACAGTACAGTGCAGTGCGTACAGCCTGCCTGTGACTTTGTACTGCATGTTTGCACATGCATGCGCATACTGGACAGCCAATGTTGCACATAAGTGACATACCGGTAACACGTATGAACTTTGAAGTAGCCTTTAATTATGTGGCAGTGCATTTTATGTGGCGCTACCGTTTGTCATACCTAATAATACAGGTGAAATCCTGATAATTCGAACCTCGAAATGCCAGGAAAAAACTTCTAATTATCCGGACATTCTAATTATCCAAACATGAACCCACAACACAATATGTATGTCAAAATGCTCTCATGGTCACGCAGAGTTGCGCTATGGACCTCAGACACAAATTTTACGGACACTGAACTGACCGGCACAGCCTGCTCGTGCAAACTGAACTGACCAGTACAGTGTACAGTGAACTTCGAATTACACTTTGCTAACTTCGAATTATCAGCACAAATCCCACACATGTTCTATGTAAGTGGAATCTGTGGGATTTCTAATTAACCAGATATGTCCAGTTCGAGGTTCGAATTATCAGAATTTTTTATGTGGGAATCGTATTGATAGAAATCGGTCCTGGAAAAACTTCTAATTAAAGGGGAAGTTAAGGCAAAAATTAAAATTTCACCAGTTGTAGTCTTCGGGGTGCTGAGTCGAATGGTCGTGGTCCGAGGAAGCTGAGACGCTCCCTTCCTACTTGAATCCCAATCAAACTCGCGGACTTCCACCGAAACTGGGTGACTGCACCCTACTAGATGGGGATTTGTATGCAAAATGTCACTAAAAGCGTCATTTCGTTCTTATAAAAGCACGGATGACCGCGATTGGCCCATATGTTTTAGTCTTTTGGACGCTGAGTCGACTGGTTTTGGTCCGAAAAGGCTGCGATGCAGCGTTCCTCCTTTATTCCCAATCGAACATGGTTGAAGAAGCGGTCACGTGCTCCTGCGTACGCCAGTCACCTGGTCACCGTGCCTGCAGGCCCGTGCAGGGTACAACTTACTAGCCTGTTTGACCTTTTTTGGGTGCAGTCCTGTCACTCGAGTTGAACCTTTGTGTGAAAGTTGTCGCCTGCTGGCGTGGTGACCAGGTGATTTGGGCACCCAGGAGCACGTGACCGCTTGTTCAACCATGTTCGATTGGGAATAAAGGAGGAACGCTGCATCGCAGCCTTTTCGGACCAAAACCAGTCGACTCAGCGTCCAAAAGACTACAACATATGGGCCAATCGCGGTCATCCGTGCTTTTATAAGAACGAAATGGCGCTTTTAGTGACATTTTGCATACAAATCCCCATCTAGTAGGGCACAGTCACCCAGTTTCGGTGGAAGTGCGCGAGTTCGATTGGGATTCAAGTAGGAACGGAGCGTCCCAGCTTTCTCGGACCAAGACCATTCGACTCAGCACCCCGAAGACTACAACTGGTGAAATTTTGATTTTTGCCTTAACTTCCCCTTTAAGCGGTATGTTCGAATTAAGCCATATTCGAATTATCAGGATTCCACCTGTAATGACAGTATCCATCAAATGACTGAGAGGAGGGCATGTGATGTCATCTGTGTTACCACAAGAATATTCGTTCGTTCGTTCGTTAAGCCAAAGAATTTTCGACTACTAGGTTTTGACATTCGTTTCACCACTAATTACCGGTCATGCTGGTGGCGGTGTGGCCGCACTCCAGGCTGGCAATGTCGCCGATGAAGCTGTGGCAGGTCGGACACGATGGCGAGCACTCCAATGATGCCTTGATGCAGGAATGGCTGTGGCATGCGTTGGGGAATAAAACAGAAAAAAACAACATGTCCCATCAGGGGGCTGTTATAAAATGGTCACTGATCTTGAGCATTGTGATAACATTTCACTTCTCTCTGTCATTCATGTCTTCCTACTCTATGACTGTGACTTTGTCTCTCCAGTCTTGATAATGTATTTTTTCGTACTCTTGATATTTTTATGTCAGATTAATTATTTCTGTCACTACGTAATCTATGACGTCGGTGACAATCACAGTTCAGTTTTTTTGTTCTTCTGATGCACGAACGCGCGCATCGACAGCAGTGAAGTCAGCGAGGTCTTGGTCTGGCTTGTTGTTGTTCTTGAATCTTGAGTCTTCCGACAGTTCTGATTATTTCCTTGTCTCAACCTAGTACCTTTATACATTCTTAATACCGTGATAGTAGATTATTTTATTTCCTGTAGTTGCTGTGGCCTGATGTTGTGTGGAGCCTGTGCACGTGAAGAATAATTCTACTACAGCGACTTGGTGCCGAAACCCGGGAGTTTGATTCGGAGAATGTCGATAAAGTTAGATTCGTTCCTGAGGGCCTTCAAGGGCACGCCAGGAGAGAGCTTCCCTGAATTTTGGGAAAAGTTCAGAGTATTATGCACTGTTCAAGGATGGACCTCGGACACGGATAAGATGAAACATTTTCCGCTGTTCTTGTCCGGCGATGCCTTCCTAGTATACGATGGGATGGAGGATTCCAGTAAACAGAAGCCAGCTGACGTGAAAGCGAAATTCGAAGAAGCGTTCTGTGTTTCGAAATCAGAAGCCTACAGACTGTTCGTGCAGCGTAGGTTACGGACGGATGAATCTGCAGACGCATTTGCGGCAGACTTGCAACGCCTGGCCAAGATTGCAGGGAACAGTGGTGGCAGAGATGACCCCATGGTAGTCGAACAGTTCATTGCGGGTCTGCCTAGTGACTTTCCAAAACAAGTGCGATTGTCTTTTGCCGGTGAGGAAATTAAGATGGCCGCACTTTTGAGCAAGGTGCGAGCACTACGCCAATCTGATCTGCCCCAAGCTCCAAGCATTGCAGCAGCAGCGGCGGCTCCTGGCAGCAGTACCACCAAATCCAGTGTGATGTGCCATCACTGTCAGGAAGTGGGCCACATTCGTAGATTCTGCCCTAAGCGGCAGACGAGAGATGGATCCAGAAGGAGCAATGTGATTTGCTCGTTTTGCGAGCGCCCTGGCCACACTAGAGCAGACTGTCGCGATCGAACGGAGTGGGAGGCCTCCAAGAAAGGCAAGGCAGCTGCTGTCAAGGACGGTGGAAAGCGGAGGAACCATGTGCTCTGCACAATGAACCAAACCACCAGCGGGTCCCTGGTCCGGATGTTTCTCGATATTCGTCCGTCTGACGCAGCGCCGTGGGAACGTATCGTATCTGTCGTCGATACTGGATCCACCCATACACTAATCGATTTGGCATGTGCCCGCCGACTTCAGCTGCCAATCGTACCCGACAAGAGTGACAGTCTTGTGGCACTGGATGGCCAGCCCTTGAAGATTCACGGGCGCACCTCGCTACAACTGCAGCGCCTGGACGATGCTGTTATGCTACCTGCCATTGGGGCCACAGTCCATGTGGTTGACAGCTTGGAGGCCATTCAGGCAGAGTTCCTGATTGGAGCAGACGTCATCGCCGCCTCGTCTGGTCTCCAGCTTCGCTATGATGACGACAATGTGCTGAGCGGTATTGTGTTCGGTCCCGGCAAGCCGCCACGTGGCGTGACCGCTGCAGCAGATCTTCCACATCCGTCGCCGTATGTCAGTGTATCCCGTGATGGCCAAGATACCATACTAACCCTACCTGATGGCGAGGCGCGATGGCTGGCTGATAAGAAGTACTGGCAAGTGAAGTGGACATGGAAGGACGGCTTACCTCCAAATGGCCCGGTTGGTCATGGCATTGGAGAATATTCCCGTAACAAGCTCTCCGCAGACCAGGAACAATTGTTCCAGGATGCCATCAAGCAATGGATTGATGATGACTGGCTTGTGCCGCACGATCCGAAGATACATGGTGAACCAGCTGCAGTACTGCCTCTGTTGGCACAAGTCCAAGAGCACAAGACCTCCACCCCCGTACGACCGTGCCTTGACTATCGTCTACTCAATGATCGACTCAAGTCACAACCAGGACAAGAGGCTCCAGTATGTGCTGATACGCTCCGGAAATGGAGGCGTGATGGCAAGCCTGAGGACTTCTGCCTCCTCGACATCAAGAAAGCCTACCTACAAGTACGCGTTGTTCCCGAGCTACAGCGCTACCAGACCGTGGTGTGGCAGGGCCGTGCCTATGCGATGACGAGAATGGGATTCGGCCTCAACATCGCCCCTAAGATTATGACAGCCATTGTCCAGTGGGTGACCCGATTGTTTCCAGCCGTCGATAGCTACATCGACGATATCCGAAGCCCGAATGCCTGCTCCGATGCCGTAGCAGCCAAGTTGTTGGAGTATGGACTGCCGACAAAGCCTGCCGAGCCGTTGGTTGCTACAAGAGTATTGGGCTTGCAACTGCACCAAGATGACGACGGAAGTACGTACTGGTCTCGTCGACCTGGGTTGGACGTATCCCTTCCTGAGAACCTGACACGACGCACCTTGGCAAGCTGGTGTGGCAAGCTGACCGGGCACGTACCCTTGTGCGGGTGGTTACGGCCGTATTGCAGTTATTTGAAGAGGATGGTTGAGCCGCACGCGTCGTGGGACCAGCCACTATCCGACGCGCTCGTTCAGTGCTGCAAGGAGCTGGCTTCCAGGCTTAGCGCTAATGGTGATCCTGCGCATGGCGTCTGGCATGTCCCTAACCCCGTCGAGTGCACGCTGTATGTCGATGCCTCTGACGTGAGCTATGGTGCTGTGCTAATGGTGGATGGCAAGAAGATCGAAGATAGATCGTGGCTGCGGCAGCATGACGATAAACGCCATATCAACGTCGCCGAACTAGACGCAGCGATCAAGGGCTTGAACCTGGCTATCAATTGGCAGTTCAAGCAAGTGCGTCTCGTAACAGACTCGAAGACTGTTGCTGCCTGGATCGACACCATCGCCAATAACGTACGCAGAGTCAGGACGAGTGGCCTCTACGATGTACTCGTACAGCGACGTTTGCAGATCATTGCAGACCTGATGGTCACCACTGAAACCAGAGTGGAGGTAGACTGGATCCCGTCCGAGCAGAATCCTGCCGACGCACTAACACGTGTCCCGGCTACCTGGGTCAAGCTTTACCGAGCATCGAAGAATCCACCTAGCAATGGTGTCACAGCAGCTGCAACGCCTCGAGCAAGTGTTATCGGTCCCGTGACGCTAGAGAGTATCAAGGCATCACAGCTGAAAGATGACGTAGTCCAAGCAGTGATACATGGTATACAGCATGATCTGCCTGTCGATGAGTCCTACGCAAGAGTTCGCTCTCAGCTGGTGGTGGAAGATGGCGTCCTGTATCGCAGCCTCAAGCTGCCACTAGACGGCGTTAAACAAGTCCCTGTTATCCCAGCTGCTCTCGTACGGAAAGTGTTGTATGTAACGCATACCAACTCAGGACATGCGTCATGGTCGACTATGTATGAGATGATCCGCAGTCGATGTTATTTCCCGAAGATCGCTGCTGCTTGTGAAGCGTATGTTGCGAATTGCGGGCAGTGTGTAGCAGCTAACCCAAGCAGAGCACCCGCTATTGCAGCTACTCGCCCTGATATTCCTTGCCGCCCATGGTCTGAAGTTGTCATCGATACCCTGGAGTTGGGTTCGGATGGCACGAATGATTACCACTGTGTACTGATGTGTGTGGATGCATTCACGAAGTGGATTGAAGTGGTACCCCTTCGTCGTCATGATGCTGCTTCAGTCGCCAGTGCATTTGTGCAGGTCTGCCAGATGTGGGGTGCCCCTGATGTTGTGCGATGTGACAATGGAACAGAGTTCGCGAATGCAGTCGTCGAGTCACTTGGAGTCCGAGTACGCACAGGTGCTGTGAGACACCCACAATCCCAAGGCGCAGCGGAGAGGGCAAACCGCACCCTGATTGGATTGATCCGGAAGGTCCTTGAATACTCATCCGACTGGAAGTCTGATCTCCGTACCCTGCTCTTCTACTATCGTAACAGACCCCACTCGGCAACCCATCTATCGCCAATGGAAGCCATGGTCGGATGGCAGCCAGCAAGGTTCATTGTTGAGTCACCCATTGCCAACGGCACGATGTCTGCAAGTGCATGGGTAGACAAGCTTGCACAGAGATCCGCGGCTATCCGCGATCTGATTGAAGAAGAGTTATCGAGCGGCGATAGTCCTGATGTTAACGTACTATGCCTGTATAGTCCTGGCAATGCAGTGATGTTGCGACGTCCTGAACGACGGCAGAAGCGTTCTGCACCATACGAGCGTGGCTGGCGTGTTCGTGACATCGTCAGTGCATCCACTGTCGTCATTCGTCATCAAACCTCTGGAGCTGAGAAGACTGTGAACGTCGATCTCCTCAAGCGAGATTCCAATGGCTCCGAAGATGGTGCTTGTTTGGATGCCAATGTCGAGCAGCATGACAACGATCCTGAGACTGATATGGCTATGAGCGTCGACTTCGACCCACCAACTGCCACTGATGATGAGCCCGCTCGCAACCTCCGAAGCAGAGCTGACCTGCAACGCCCTGCTCGCTACAATGACTAGCCATTGTCAGTGAACATGTTATCAGGGGGACAGGTGTTATAAAATGGTCACTGATCTTGAGCATTGTGATAACATTTCACTTCTCTCTGTCATTCATGTCTTCCTACTCTATGACTGTGACTTTGTCTCTCCAGTCTTGATAATGTATTTTTTCATACTCTTGATATTTTTATGTCAGATTAATTATTTCTGTCACTACGTAATCTATGACGTCGGTGACAATCACAGTTCAGTTTTTTTGTTCTTCTGATGCACGAACGCGCGCATCGACAGCAGTGAAGTCAGCGAGGTCTTGGTCTGGCTTGTTGTTGTTCTTGAATCTTGAGTCTTCCGACAGTTCTGATTATTTCCTTGTCTCAACCTAGTACCTTTATACATTCTTAATACCGTGATAGTAGATTATTTTATTTCCTGTAGTTGCTGTGGCCTGATGTTGTGTGGAGCCTGTGCACGTGAAGAATAATTCTACTACAGGGCTATCCAGCCCAGGGGCGTAGGAGGGGTATTGGAAGCGGTACGACCGAAGGTCGGTGTGGGCGAAGGCCGTGTTGGAGGGGGGTCCGGGGGCCGTCCCCCGGGAAAATTTTGTAAAAAAGAACAAAATCCTGCGTTCTGGGAACTTCTGGCACACTTAAGGCGCAGTGTGCAGTCGAGTCGAGTACAGTACTCAGTACGATTGCAGATGCATAACAGATCTACGAGTACGACTACGAGTAGATCTACGAGTCTAGAAAATGATGGTCAAAGTCTGATGGGCATACATATGTATGCATATCGATGGATCCTGATTTTTTATTACGGTTTTGCACGTTCCAGACGGACCACACTTTTCGAAAAACTGGTACGGCCATGGTCGTACCAGTCGTAGCGGGTGCTACGCCCCTGCAGCCTACAATGAAACCTGTCGAAGACAACCGCTCAAGGGACCTTCAAACCTGTTCTCTGCTACCAGGTGGTCTCCTTATCCGGGGTCATTTGACTGGAAATAGCATACCTTCGTGCTGGTTTCAGCAGTCTTCTAGGACAGGTGGTCGCCTTTTCCGAGTGGCCGCCTTGCCAGGTTTTGCTGTAACGTCGTACCATAAAATCCCGTACTAACACCCACCCAGTATAACGCCCCCTGCCCGTATACACGTCCAGGTGTCGGGTGTCAACACTCTTGTCCCACTTTTTAGCCCACCTCCGTGCGAACGCCCCCGGGGCGAAATCACGGGCCCAGAACACAGTGGAGTGCACACGCAGCTCCACTTGTATGTACGATATGGTAGTATAGTGTACGGCATACTGTGCTAACGCTGTATGTAGAACGGCATGGTGATGTGAAAATCAGTCTGCTCTCACTCATCCGAAATAACGCCCGGGCCCACATTAGCGCCCAGGCCCAAAATGACGCCCATGTTTTGGACCTTCACTGACGCTTCCGCGCAGGGCCTTACTACGGGCTTTTACCGTAGTGGTGTTCATCAGCCAGCATAAGCAGAACTTTATAAATGTCTGGATCCAGCCATGTTACCAGTCGCAAAAAGCATAAACAACCAGAAAAAGAATGCCAGACCATACTGGCAAGAATATGTATCTCCCCCCCCCCCCCCCCCCCCCAGAGTGTGCAACCCCCAATGCAGTGCTGACCCGATGCGCTCCTCGAACAAGTGACTCACAACGTTTGTATGGGCTGTGAACACATCACATGAGGTTGCTTGCTTCAGTTTGTACAGGATCGAATGAAGATTTGTCCACCACGGGTCCAGAATACGTTTGGTAGCACGTGTACACCGCGCATTGCATCATAAAAAGAATGGCGTCAACTTAAATTCTGTTAGTACAACACTGACAGTGGAGTTGAACACTCTTGCGGATCACGTACTCTTGATACTACCTCGCACCAAGAGCATAGAAATGCTTTATTTTTGCCAAAAAGTTAGGAAATCATGATTTGCCATCTACCTTGTCCTATTGGCGGTGCAATTCCGTGGCCCGGGGTGAAGATTTCCCAAAGTTGTGAGCAGGTAAACCAGAGGCTTACTACGTCTTCGGGCTGAGCCTGTCTGACTGGTCTATGTAACGAAAAATCTGCTATCGCCATGCCTTTTTAACACTACATTAACTAACTACGAAGTGTGAGGGTCTTGGTGCACACATCGAACTCTGACTGGACACTGAACACAAGTGAAGCTACGTGCACGGGTGACACAAGTATCCAGCAACCATGACCGCTGCATTTCAACGAGAGCATGGGTCAGAATTTCACACTCTGGATGGTGTGCTCTTGCACGCACAAGCACTTACCAAAAAATGTGGCCACATGCTGCCTTGTAGGGTTCAATGAAGGAGCAGCGACAAATCAAGCTGGAATCAGAGTAGAGAGAGAGAGAAAGAAAAAAATATGAACTTTCGGGAAAGTTCATACTTGCCAAGTATTGACTGCGGGTTTTTCTCACAATAATGTCGTACGGTGTGATGCGTCTAGCACATCTCAATTCTAAACTTTGATCCACCAGGAATCCACAGGAAAACTACTTCGACTACACTGTTATTATCCATTGCAAAAGAACACCGAAAGGCCAAACCGCATGGTGAAGACTAATGTCTAGACTACTGAAGGATTCTCTGAATCCTTGTGCCATAACAAAGAGAAAATACAGAATGTGTAGTGCGCCAAAGTTAGCGTATGTACAAACATGTAATAATTACAACGCGCAATAAAAGGAGTACAAATATCCGGCAAAGGACACGAATGGTGTACGGTAAAGAAAGACACGTGCATGCATGAGTACCCTAGCAAAAGTGGACAAACCTAACGTAGATCCACGTGGTACTAATCGAGTACCGTACGCTACATATTTAGGCAAAGAAATATCAAATAACATATTATCATAAAAGAATGCAAATAATTTAATTTCAAAACACATGGAAAATCTCCGTAAAACAAATCGTTAAAACCGGAGGCTTATCGCAAATCACTACAATACTCCCCCACCAGTGGACGGAAATGCAAAGAAAGTCCACGAAAAGACTGAGAGGAGAGAGAAACGACAATGGTGAAATGTAAGAATAGTGATAACTGTTATATACAAGAATGTTCATGGTGAATATTTACAAGTCATGTACAAATAGCATAGCCACAGAATCAACAGTCACTCAATGAGCTTCAAAGTGTACGTACCGGATAGGCTGAGGAGGTCGCTGGGCATGAAGCGACTGAACAGGAACAGCTGGAGTGGGCACAGTTGATGGCGAAGGCATATGAGCTGGCTTCAGCCGATCAAGCGAGATGGTGTCCCGTCGACCATTGACATTGACCACAAAGTACTTTTCAGCACGACTGATGACTGGGTGTGGGCCAGTATATGGGGGTTGCAGTGGTTTCTTCACAGCATCTGTACGAATGAAGACATGGGTGGCGGACTGAAGAGCAGGGGCAACGTGAGTAGCTCGAGTAGCAGGAGCATCTCGCGGCTCGACAGGGCGGATGTCACGCATCATGGTCCGTAGGGCAATGGCATACGGAGCAGCTGACGGAAGAGACTCAGACGAGGATGTGAAGAATTCACCAGGCAAACGGAGGGTTGTACCATAAACCAGCTCGGCAACACTGCAATCTAGATCGGTGCGTAAAGCGGAGCGAATACCGAGGAGAACGAGCGGCAAACGGTGAAACCAGTTGGCTGATTGGGTAGCGGTCAGAGCAGATTTAAGCTGGCGGTGGAAACGTTCCACAGTGCCATTGCTCTGTGGATGATATGCTGTCGTACGAATGCGATTAGAGCCAAGAAGACTGCATATTGACTGGAAGAGAACAGATTCAAACTGTCGACCACGATCTGTCGTGATAGTTGACGGCGTACCAAATCGGGCAATCCAACCAGAGACCAGATTGAATGCGACGGTTTCCGCGGTGCAATCATGGAGAGGAATGGCTTCCGGCCATCTAGTGAAGCGATCAACACAGGTGAGTAGGTACGTGAAACCTTGTGAAGATGGGAGTGGTCCGACCAGGTCAATATGAATATGGTCGAAACGAGCAGATGGTGGCATGAAGCGACTAAGAGGGGTCTTAGTATGACGATGCACTTTCGATCGTTGGCATGACAGGCAGGAACGAGACCAGTTGCGCACATCACGGTTCATGGAAGGCCAGACGTATCGAGCGGTAACGAGACGTTGTGTAGCACGAATACCAGGGTGAGACAAATTATGCAGCATGTCGAATACGGGTTGGCGGAAGGCGGGAGGTACGTACGGACGAGGTGAACCAGTGGAGGTGTCGCACCATAGTAACTGAGAAGAGACAGGCGAAGCAACTTCTTGCCACACTAAACTGGATGAATCATTATTTCGGAGAGCGATGAATTCAGGACAGTTACTCTGAGCGGTAGCGAGAGCAGCAAAATCGACTGAGGATGGCTGGACAATAGCATCCAGTGGTCGTGACAACGTGTCGGCAACGACGTTCCGAGTGCCCTTGACAAAGCGGATATCAGTGGTGAATTCGGCTATGAAGGACAAGTGTCGTGCCTCACGGGGAGAATGGCGAGTTGACGGCAAGTGAATGGCATGGGTCAGCGGCTTATGATCGGTCATGATATGAAATGACCGGCCCTCAACATAGTGGCGAAAGTGCTTGACAGCTAGATACATAGCCAGTAACTCGCGACCAAAAGTAGGATAGCGGCATTCAGTAGGGGAAAGCTTCTTGCTAAAGAAAGCTAGCGGCTGCCATGCACCATCGACAAACTGCTGAAGCACAGCTCCGACACAATAGTCAGATGCATCGCACATGACATTGATGGGTGCCACAGGGTTAGGGTGCGATAATAATGTAGTGGCAGCTAGAAGGCATTTCACCTGACCAAATGCAGATTCAGCAGCTTCAGTCCAACAGAACGAGGAGTCATGCTTACGTTTGCCGATGAGCAGATCCGTGAGAGGCTTGACGGCAGCAGCACAGTTAGGTAGGAAACGACGGTAGAAATTCACCATACCTAGGAACTCACGAAGCTGACGGAGAGAAGTTGGTGGTTTGAACTGCTGAATAACCTGAACACGTTGGGAGGTCGGCTCAATACCATGACGACTGACGTTGTGGCTGAGGAACTCGATGGTAGAAACAGAGAATACGCACTTTGAAGGATTAATGACGAGGCCGTGCTCTTGCAGACGCTGTAAGACCAAGCGGACGTGCTTGCGGTGCGTCTCAGGATCCGAACTGGCAATTAGGATGTCGTCAATATACACAAAGCAGAAATCCAGGCCATGCAACACTTGATCAACGAAACGCTGAAATGATTGGGCTGCGTTCCGGAGTCCGAAGGGCATACGAACAAATTCGAATAAACCAAATGGGGTCGTAACGGCCGTCTTCGGGATATCATCCTCTGCCACTGGTATCTGATGGTACGCCCGAACTAAGTCTATCTTGCTGAAGACTGAGGCGCCATGAAGATTGGCAGAGAAATCATGGATGTGCGGTATCGGATACCGGTCAGCCACAGTTGCACGATTCAGGCCACGGTAATCACCACATGGGCGCCAGTCACCATTTGGTTTGGGAACCATGTGCAATGGACTGGCCCATGGGGAGGACGATGGTCGTATGATGCCCGCAGCGAGCATGTGGTCAAATTCCCGACGAGCTACAGCTAAACGATCAGGAGGGAGACGGCGAGGCTTGGCAAATACCGGTGGGCCCGTGGTGACCACATGGTGCTCGACGTTGTGTTTCACAGGTGTGTCGTAGTTGCAGGGGCGGGTGACAGATGGAAACTCATTAATAAGAGCGTTGAACGAACTATCACCAGAGACTGGCAAACAACACGTCGGCTCAGCGGAGGACGAGACTAGACCGCACACGCTCAAACTGGTGATGCCATCTAACAGTTTACGACCGTGTAGATCTACACTTAACCGAAAGTGTGCCAGGAAATCTGCACCGATAATAGGTGATGTCACATCAGCAATAATGAACACCCATTGAAACTTACGACGCAGGCCGAAATCCACCGTTACTGAGCGTGTACCATACGTCGGTATGCGAGAACCATTCGCTGCTTGTAACGCATAATCAACTGCATGGCGAGAATCAGTGGCAGATGGTGGTATAACGCTGACCTCGGCGCCGGTGTCCACGAGGAAATCGTGCTTGGTGAAGCGATCGTGGATGAATAATCGGCGACGAGACGGTGCAGGGCCGGGGGCAGTGGTCGCCTTCACCGACCGGCCTGGGAGTTTGACGGCTGCACAAAGGTAGCTGCTCTGGCACAGGGTGGGACGCAGCGGCGAGCGTTGTCGCCAAACTTGTCGTGATACCAGCACAATCCTGAGGACTTACGGGACTGCGACGAACTGCGCGAACGACCGTAGTTTCGTGTGGGCGATCGAGATGCTGAACGCCCACGAGTACTCAAATCTTGCATCTCTCTGCGGAGGGCTGCGACCTCGGCACGCAACTCCGCCAGAGGTTCAGCAACGGGTTCTGGCACCGTAACAGCACGGACATGGGCTGGCATGACTTCCATGACACGGTCAGCCAGCAGAGATAACTGCTGTATATCAGACTCACGACTGGCTGCAAGTACTACTCTACACTGATCAGGCAGACGCTTCATAAATAACTCCTTGAGGAATTGGCTATCCACTGGAGTATCACCAGCTAGCTGTTGCAGTCTGCGCAATAGGGTAGAAGGCTTCTGATCACCAAGCTCTTCAGCAGATAGGAGCTGGTTGATCCGATGCTGAGCAGAGGCAGAAGTACGCTGGACCAATGCTTCCTTCAGGTGAGTGTAAGGGCTGTCGCTGGGTGGGTTCAGCAGTAAATCCCTTATCTGCATGGCCATCTCCGGTTGCAGTGCACCAACCACATGGTGGAAACGGGAGCGCTCACTAGTTACTCGTTGTGTGATAAATTGAGACTCTACCTGAAGAAACCACAGAGCTGGGTCTTGAATGTAGAAGGGTGGAATCTTCAAATTAACGGTTGATACAGTCTCAGGACGAGGAGCAGGATCCGATTGTGCTGCAGCGGCAGGTTGGGATCTCGTAGCTACATCAGTAGCGGTGCTTGAACTTGAAGGATCGCTGCCATTACCGGTACTGTCCTGCACTGTCTTGTTCAGATATGGCGAATGTAGTCGAAAAGAGAGACCTTTGCTAAGGTCACCACGAGCAGGGGTGACAGCTTGGTCCATTCCTAAGCCCGAGGAGGACATCCGAGTTCGTTTCGAGGGGTCACCAATTGATGCGTCTAGCACATCTCAATTCTAAACTTTGATCCACCAGGAATCCACAGGAAAACTACTTCGACTACACTGTTATTATCCATTGCAAAAGAACACCGAAAGGCCAAACCGCATGGTGAAGACTAATGTCTAGACTACTGAAGGATTCTCTGAATCCTTGTGCCATAACAAAGAGAAAATACAGAATGTGTAGTGCGCCAAAGTTAGCGTATGTACAAACATGTAATAATTACAACGCGCAATAAAAGGAGTACAAATATCCGGCAAAGGACACGAATGGTGTACGGTAAAGAAAGACACGTGCATGCATGAGTACCCTAGCAAAAGTGGACAAACCTAACGTAGATCCACGTGGTACTAATCGAGTACCGTACGCTACATATTTAGGCAAAGAAATATCAAATAACATATTATCATAAAAGAATGCAAATAATTTAATTTCAAAACACATGGAAAATCTCCGTAAAACAAATCGTTAAAACCGGAGGCTTATCGCAAATCACTACAGGTGTTCGATGCGATTTGCAGCGTATAGGGATTCGGGACGGGATAAATGGTAGCATGAATCGATAACATCCATATTGCATGCTCTCTCGTTCTTGACCATTTGAGTATCTCTGCAAAACGATCGGTATAATTAATGGCAAGGTCAGTAATGCATACAAACGTTGAGGACTGACGTAGGTTTCGCTCTACATAATTCCGTATGAAAATCCATATATCGTACACGCCAAGGAGGGCAACTTTCACTCGTAAATTTCTCTACGGATTTCCGTAGGAAAGTGCTTTCCTATGTTCCCTCCTCTGTGGGACTTTTTGATTTTTCGTTTTCCGGATTTATCATGGCAACGTTGAAGCCGCGCGAAACCCAAGGTCCACAGCACATGGAAAACAAATATGGAGAATGTGGTTCCGGTTCGAGGGCGCATGTGGCTGGTGCGTCTCCAACGCAACAAGGCATGCTCAGCAGTCGTCGAGAAATCACGTAGAGCAAAATCCAACAGCGCGGATTATACGAAAGAAAATTATTTGCAGTTCCTACCAGTACAATCTTCAAGCAATAAGTAACCTCCCTTTTGTATAACCGTAGAATCCCGCGGATAAGCCCATGCTTGAGCATAAGCCCAGGCCAAGTTCGAACAGCGCAAAGCTTCGTTGTACAAGCCCATGAGCCTACAGTCCATTTCAAAACTATAGACGCGTGAACTCATACGTACGAGCCGTACGTACTGTAGCGCACGACAGCCGTGAGTTTTGCATGAGTGTTTTCTGGTTTTCAGATGTGTTTTCAGGTTTTTCTTCGTCGCCGCGGGAAATACAAAAGATGCAAAACACGCAAAGTCGCAAATGAAAAGGTGTGAGGAAAGTCTCAAAAGAAATGAAAGTCTCAAATGAATCTTCTTCTTGTTTGCATTTTCTGAGTGCCTGACTGTAATGGCTTCCAAGACCCGTAAGAATCTCAGTGATGCCGAGAAAGATATGATTAGTCGTGTTCATTGTTTCTTCGAACAAGAGTAGGGATCTCAGCGCGTGCAGTGCGCAGGGTGTTTGCGCATACATTGCGTCATCGAGTTTTGAGTGCAGCTCGCGGACACAGCAGAAAAATGGCGACGGTCGATTTTCGACACTAGGGGACGCGGTGGACACTAGCGGAATCGTCATCTTCATCGTCGTTCGAACATACTTTGTAATTCCCGCCGAAGGACAGCGTGGCCAAGGCGATATTGCCCCGGTCGATTTTCCTATAATTTTCCATGCGGCAAGAACCCACTTCAGAGAGGATTCAGTCAAAAATTTAGACGTTTTCTCCGGTTAGATTGTCCTAACTTCGATTTTCAGTGCATCAGCCATCGCGAACATCGCCGCCATTATCACTCAGAGAGAAGACATCCCGCTCAGTAGAAGAGGTGTTCACGCTGCGTTCAAGAGTGAAAGATTGTGCTCTTTAACCCTCCATAGTTCCTCTGAGAGAGTGTCTGGGAGATAGGTAGCTTGGAAATGGCCGTAGAACGTGCTTTCCTGGACGCAATATTCAGCCATTTCTACTGTCTTCTTCAACTTGATTTATTTCGAAAAAAATGTTCTTTTCCACGATTTCTGCACTGGACGCGTTTGGGATCGAAAATCTCACCTGTGCAGACTGGCTGCGCAGTTCACGCGCTGAGATCCCTAACAAGAGGTGGATTTTGATTGACGCTTGAGTATCCGAAATCCTCGTCGTCGAACTCACCTTGCAACTGGCGTGAGTGAAACCACTGTCACTCGTTGTGTCAGGCAAAGGGAACAGGGAGGCTCAAATCAAATCAAAAAGAGAAAATAATATAATTATCACCTCTACTGTATTTCACCCAACAAGATCCAAAACGTGCAGAAAAGAAGAGAAAAAAAAGGCAGGAGGCGTGATGGGATTCGAATGCCCCACACTTGTACTGGAAATCACGGATCGAAACCACGAGGCTACCAGGACCCGTACAAAAATGCACCCGCGATGGTCTGGGCGCAGCACTGTCTCAGCAGGAGCAAAAATCCGAAACAAACTGGTCAAACCCTTCAAAACAGAAATTACATGTAAAACCGGAAAACCTGGCCTAAAAATAAACTTCAATTGTAGCGAAAACAAAGTATATAGCCAGAATTGTGAAGCGATGCAGAGACGGAATCTGGAGAAAAACTAAAAATATTTAAATAAATCCCATCGAATTTTGCAAAACACTACGCGTCTATAATTTTGAAATGGACTGTAGGTCGTACCATGTACGTAGTACATGTAGTTTTTTTTGTTAGTTTTAAAACTTTTTTGTTGTACATTTCAACACAATTATCGGTTGTTTTGTTTGCACAGTGGTTTTCAGCAATGTACTTCTCACTTCCTTTGTACTTTTCAATAGCACAATTTTGCTGTCGGCGTATAAGTCCATGTTCTTGCATAAGCGCACCGAAATGTCCTTGTGAAACAGATAAGCCCATGGGCTTATCCGCGGGATTCTACTGTACTGTAGGAGCAGAACATTAAATTTTAGTCAGTGAATAATTTCGTCCAACTCCAAACTCCGAAGTAAGACAATTTGTCTGGTGGAAAATATCGTCCAAGGACGAAAATGACGAAATTCTATTCCTGACGAATGTTTGTGCATGACATCAAGAGCAGATAAACAAGAGTGGGCAACTCTGGGATGGGTTGGCCTGCGGCGGAATTTTTTGTTGACGTAATCTTTTCGACGACGCACGCGCTGCGAGTCTTTTGGAAAGTTTTGCCTCGTGCACTTGGCCGGGCTTTACATTACAAGGTCGGTGCCCAGCACGTGCTCTCACTGTTCTGCGGCAAAATGCGCGTTTCTCTGAAAAAAAGGTGACGTCAACAAAAAATTCCGCCGCGGGCAGGGGTATCTGCAGATTGTGCAGAAGAGATCCGGAGTTGCACACTCTTGTTTATCTACTCTTGATGACATGCATAAACATTCGTCAGGAATAGAATTTCTGTAGGGACCAGACATGACCTTTGACCTGGACTTTGACCTCAACCAGCCAACATGTAAACATGATTGTTGTTCAGATACTTCACAGGTAGCGCTTTACTTAGGAGACTCAAACTGGCTACTAGACTGTGGGAAGGAGACCATCATCGCATCAACAAACACATGGATGGCTGAATGATTGACAGAAGAAATGCGCATTTCTCTGAAAAAAAGGTGACGTCAACAAAAAATTCCGCCGCGGGCAGGGGTATCTGCAGATTGTGCAGAAGAGATCCGGAGTTGCACACTCTTGTTTATCTACTCTTGATGTCATGCACAAACATTCGTCAGGAATAGAATTTCTGTAGGGACCAGACATGACCTTTGACCTGCACTTTGACCTCAACCAGCCAACATGTAAACATGATTGTTGTTCAGATACTTCACAGGTAGCGCTTTACTTAGGAGACTCAAACTGGCTACTAGACTGTGGGAAGCGAGACCATCATTGCATCAACAAACACATGGATGGCTAAATGATTGACAGAAGACGGGGGTCGCGATCCTTGTCCTCGCCAACACCAGCACAACGATGTTTTCCAGGGAACTCGAAGTCTTCCCTCCGCTTCACCCACGCACGCACACACACAACGAAAACCTGGAAAACCGATGTTGTTGCGGAGTCTAGTCCACTCGTCGATATGCAACAAAAGACACCGTCGGAGATGCACGAACCTATCACGCAAACCTATCGGCATCGCCATAAACAGCGTGTCGCATACGTGACGTCGTTTCTTGACATAAACAGACAGTGCAGAATACGTCCGGGTAGAGTATGAAACGTTTTCATCACAGACCTTACCACTCGTTTCCCAAGCAGAGCATCTTCTTCGGCGGCTCGTCCGCACTGCCGTTGCATGCTACAGCCTCCATCCTCGTGTGCTACTGGTCGACGCTACTATTTTGGAACGATCACCGCCGCCGACAAGGTGATAATAGCCTATGATAAAGAAACTAAGGAGCCTCGAGTCGAAGCTAGCTTTCCATCGGCATCGAACAGAAACGTTTGCGGTTCACAGTTGAAGATCTACCTAAGTCCTTGGAAGAGACTAGAGAGCATCGCGCGAACAAGGATCGACGCCACGGCACGGAGACTCCCGAACGGGAAGCTACGATCAAACGGGTTCATTGCATTTTTGCTTGGACGACATTCTTCTGTGAGCGCCCGACGACAAAGCGGAAGTGTTAGTGCTACACGTGCTGGGCATAGACAAAGCGCGCGAGCGACTGAAGTAAACATCGCCCCATTTGCCAAGCACCAGTTCAGACGTCTACAAGTAGATCTACAAAGTAGAAGTGTTGGCGCGCGTGTGGAGGTTCATCAACCTGATACCAATCATAGTAAATCATGAGTCGATCTACAAATGCTTTCTCACACAAACAACTCTACAAATGTAGGCCCTACATTGGCTACATACATGTAGTGTAAGTCATTGCACATCAATACAGTCATGTAGCCAATGATGTAGATCTACATGTAGCCTTGTACTTGTAGGTCCTGGCTTTGTACTTGTATGCCACATCGTATCATCTAATCATTGCATTTTTGGCTGCAGGCAGTGCAGCCTTGCAGTAAGTAACTAACTAATTACTTTAGTTGTACAAAGCCAGGACCTACATGTAGATCTACACAGTCATGATACATGTACTTCAAAATAATTATGTTTGCAAGAAAACAGTCCAAAACATTCGATTCTTAAATTGTTATTAATTTTATTTTTCATTTACAAACAAGGGGGGGGTATGGGCCGTTTGGGAGACTAGACTTTGCATACAATGCTCAATAGGGAGGTTTCGCCCTGAGTATGAAAATCCCAAATTTCCAGATTTATCCATGGCAATGTTCAAGCCTAGCCTAGCCGGGAAATGCAGTGCTATCTCTTGGCTTGTGCCAAAGTCCAATTTTAGGCTTTTGTAAAAAAAAAGCACAAAAGGCGGGTAATGTGAACGTGGAACTGTTCCAAGCTCCAAGGCATAACCCACACGGAGCATCAGGTTCTCATGGCTCCTGTTGCCATTTCAGAACTCTGGAGACACCGGGAGCGCCCTGGCATTGGATTTGCAATGCAGTGGCGGCCATGGTGGCAGCTATGATGCATCTACCTCGAGCCGGCTATTCTTGGCGTCGTGAGAAAACGGGGGGGGGGGGGGGGGGAGGGTCAGTCTCGTAGCCTAGACCGTTCTTATTTTCATGCACTAGAGTATATGCACAGTCGAGCCACTGTGTACACATTGGTATGCTGCTTGGTGATAGTCTAGCCTGTTCGATCTGTCCCCGGGGAAAATCGCGGAAAAAACGCGGGGAAAACGCGGCATAATATGGCATAATTTGCGTTGAATTCGCGGTAAATATGCGGTAAATATGCTGTGAATATTACTGATATGCTGTGAATATTATTGATATGAGGCAATCAGTGAGTATGTAGTGAAATCAATCAGATACAAGTCTCTGGTGCAAGCACTCGTCATATTTGATTACAAAGCCGCCACGATGAGACGTTCCTGACCGCACTGTGTGTACGTGTGTACTGTGTGTACGTGTAGTGCAACAAAAAATACAAAAAATGCGGGGGGGGGGGAATCGCGGAAAACGCGGTCTTTTAGAAAATCGCAAAAAAACGCGGAAAAAACGCGGCCGCGGAATCGCGATTTCCCCCGGGGACAGTTCGTTGTTCGGCGCCCGGGCACTGTAGTCTGTACAATAGTTCTGTATGCATGCGCTGCACAGCAGCAGTGTGCAGCCCTAATCTAGTACTGTACAGTGTAATCATCAGTGCAAACACTGGCTTGGGGGTGAGACATACCAGTGTTCGAAGGTCTAGGGCTGCGCAACGCCCGGCGTGTAAGTACTTGACTTGAGTGAGGCAACTGGATCTCATTTAATTGAGCAGCACTGTACAGTAGAGAGGTTCCGCAATACGTAAAGTTGAGCAAAAAAAGTTGAGCAACTTCACGTTTAATAGTGGGCGGGAAACACCCGTGAATTCGCGAGTTTGCACTCCACTTACGGAAAGTTGTCTATGTAGAATACGTAGGCAGGCCTCTGATAACATAGCTGGTCCGTATTGTGGATTGGGGTACAAATTTACGACTCTCTCCCCTGGGTTTTTTCCCAAGTGTAGAAAAGCCTCTTGTACGGGCAAAACCAAAAATAGTTATTATGATTATGTAGCTAGCATGCACAGTACTGCACAGTAACTACAGTATAATACACTAATAAAACAAGTGAAATTCAGTCCAAGCAACTTTTTAAATGTGTGTGGGGTTTTTTAAGCTAGTCAGATGCCTCAGGCCGCAGGCGTGCCTCCGCAACGACAACCGCAACCGGATCTCGCTGGAGGTAGCGTGACTTGGACGATCTGGCACCATGCAAACACATGATGCTCGACCTCACCAGCGCAAAGCACAGCCGAGTGCGAATCCACGCCATGGTGGCAGAATACTGGCCGTTTCTCTTTTCAGAGGTAAGAGCAGCTCGCTCCCCAGGGTTGATCTGGTCGTACACTGCCGCGTTCGGAGTTGCCAAGGGCAGCTACATGATTTGAAAACTCCGCATGGCGGAACACAGATGCGCATGCAGTTTCCGTAAGACTTTCCGTAGATCGACTGCGTTTTTCACTTACGTAATTACGTTATGCGGAACCTCTCTATTGTGTACTGCTCTTTCCTGCGGACCGAGAGGTCGCGGGTTTGACTCGCGCCCCCTCCCCCCCCCCCCCCCCCCCTCCGCGGTCGCATATCTGACTGCAAATCCCCATGACGCGGCTCACCAGAGCACGATGTGGGTCACAGTCTCTTCACTCAGCCTACGGTAGAGTAGGGACGTGGCTCACACCCCAGTACGGGAGCTAAAACTTCCCCGGCCATATGGGCTGCGAAATGGTGCAAGGCGCAAACTTGAGTGACGCGACTGGGCTTCATTGAGCAGGACTGTGCTACCGGCGACCTGCATGTAGCACTTTCAAGCCCTGTGCCAATAGGGAGTACAGTATTTGGTCACCATTTCAAAGTACAGTATCTCATTTCCTTTCCTCCCTTCCTCATCTTGTACTTGGAATGTGGTATGCGTAGTTTTACTTATACATGTACAATAATAGTGTTGTTCTGCCTTGTGTACATAGTAAAGTGTACCTTCCTCCTACTTCGGTACAGTCTTCCTTGCGCCAGCGCTTTGGATTCTTCACCGGCGTCAGCGAGTCTCAGGCTCCTCCATTTACTTCACCGTGACTCGTGAGCCATGGTGGAAATATTTCTGAGCTGACAATCCGTAGACCAACGACAATACGTCGAAACCCGAAACGAAGTCCAGATGAACAGTTCTCGCTCCGTGATTCACTCACCATCTTCGTTCCTACCCTGTGTTCACCTTTGCTTCTACCTGGTCTGACTCAAGCTCAGTCGACAATCGGGATCAACTACAAATGCTGCAAAGGCTCAGTAATAACAGTATCATTCGAGACAGGACAGGTAAGGAGACAGCAAAGTCATCAGAGTACCGGTAGTTTGAATTTTTCGTTTTTTGGAAAAGCATTACAAACCGCGCACGTGTCCCACGTGTGCATGTCTCTTGGGGGGTTCCCCTACGCCAACTCGTGATGTAGACACGACATGAAACACATTCGATTCATGATTCAGTATTGTATTGTTCAGAAAATAGCCATAATTGTGTCAGTCCAGCTTTCCAGGCCTTATGGTGTTGTTTTCGTTGAGCTGCTTATGCCTCGAACGCCGTTTATCTGTGATCATTCGGACAAGCATGTCGGCGGCGGCGCAGGTCCGATCGCCAGGGTCTGCTGATGGCGATCCAGTTCTTGAAGTACCTACCACCAACCATTCAGAAAATGCTTCGTCAAAGAAGGATCCAGCTCCGCTGGTCGGCCAAGTCAAGCGCAAGCTGTCCAATCTAGAACGACACCAGATGGCGAGTGAAAGGGTACGCCAAACGTAGTTAATCCATCGCTGCATATCTAGAAGATCACCTTTTCTTTTCTGAATAACGTTTCTTGTTGAGAAATTCAAGATTTTTGTGTGTAGTTTTTTTACTCAATTTTTGCACTTGGGGGTGACGTGTACTATACTAACTGTTACAGTATAGTAGTACATGTAGCAGACTGTTTACGCGAAGGGCTATTGCTGGGGGACCACGTCATACAAATGCAAATACGCATGCCGGCGTATCACGTGCACACGTATTCTCCACTATCGTACATTGTTCTCCACTATCGTACATTGTTCTCCTTCGGCAGCGCAGTCATGGCTGCCTCACTGCATCGCAGGCCCACCGGAACCGGTCCAGTTGGTCAGGTTAATACCGGACCAACTTTTGGCCACCAATAGTTTGTCATACTTCCTACTGAGGAGGTCATGTGTACCCACCATGTCATGCACAAAGTATGAACGGCCATGATACTACCGGACCAATCAAAAACTGCTTCCCGCGGCTCTGCATGGGGTATATCATCAAAGAGTCCACAATCAAGAGCATGCAACTGTGAGCATGAGACACTAGCAGTGTGTGGCGCTCCGCCTTTTTCATTGCAAACCTTTTCCTGCAGCACAATGTGACGGTTGACGCATGCACTGAAAGGGCATGATATTGAATTAGTCACGGGGCACGATGAGCCACATTCCCTCAACCCCACAATGTAAGCGCTACAATCTACTGCCAGAGTATTTGAAGTGATAGTGGCCATCCTGAGTTCCTCCGGGGCAGAGACAAGGCGCACAAATGATGTGGTGAATACCGTCTCCCTTGCCATTGCACTTTCCTTCCTCATTTTTCTTTCCCGCTGTGACCCGTCTGATACACCAGAAACGACGGAAGAAGGAAAGGGACCAGGTTGAAAAGCTCCGAAATACTATTGCAGAGACGTCGGTATCGTACAGAAATGGTAAGTCGGTCAACCTCCCTGTCTTATTTATGTTTATATCCGTCAGTAGTGGACAGTCATGCGCGCACGTGTGCGCGCGCGCGTGTGTGTGTGTGCTGGTGTCTTTGTTGAACCGATGTATAACGCCACACCGGCGGCAGCCAGCAAGACACATGTATCCGCCGTTGGATGGCTTCAGTTGCGTTAGTGTGTGCACTTTCTCGCCATGCATAGGCACACACTCTCATCCTCTTTAAGTTGGGTTGTTGCACTGCTTGGTGTGCACGAGTTTCATTGATACCGTATGTGTGCATGTGTGTGTGTGTTCTTTGCTCGTGTGTTTGTGTGTGTATTTGTGTGTGTGTACGTGCGTGCATGTGGGCAATGTGAAGGACTGCGCATTGTCAGGCCCTATATGTTTGTCTTCGCCACCAGCGCCAAGGAGCGCTGGTTTGGACGCAGTATCGTGGACGTCTTCACGCAAGAGTTCCGTGTCCGGTCCAAGGAGAACCTTCTGTTGAACATCGAGGCAGGGAACATGTCATGTTAGTAGCCGGTATTGTTTGTGAACCTGTAGAACTGGAAAGTCTGAATTGCCACTGTTCTCTCTTGTCTGATTATCTCAGGACAGTTCTGGGCCGATTAAAAAAGCGGCCTTGTTAATAAAATGGCGTCACATTTGTATAAGCTAAGACAAGGTATCCCGTGGACACAGGGATAGCTAGTCCTACACATGCAACAGTCTGGCTGAGCGTAGCGGGTGCTCTGAAACGGAAACAGAGAGTATAGCTTGAGCGTGTTGCCGTATTTTCCGGAGGATAAGCCGCACTCAGATTTGTTGTCACGAAGTACAGACATCCTCCCTGTTTACCAATTTGATCATCGTAGTATAAACCGCACCGACTTTTTTTTGGGCGAATTACTTGTGTTTAAAGAGCGGCTTATACTCCGGAAAATACTGTACATCACAGCCAGGCCGGAGAGTGATGCCAATGCTGACTTTTCTATCCACATGGATCCCGTTTTTGTATGGATCCATGTTCTTTTTGAGCGATTTCCTTCAAAGTCGGATGACACATTCACTGGTACAGTCGAACCTCGCTAAACCGCACACATCCGTTTTCCACGAAAAATATCCAGATAGGCGAGGGAACCGGACAATCGAACACGCACACTGTATGTATGCATGCCATATGCTGTAAATCGGTATCCAACGATTTTCTTCCGGATGGCGAGGGATCCGGATAAAAGAGGACCGGATAGGCGAGGTCTGACTGTAGCAGGCGACATGAGGGTCCTACCCGTGAGACGCTGTACTTTGCTTTGGTCAGAGTGGATCCAATTTGACTCATTCATACATATCCGCCGGATGAGTACGCATGGCCCATGCGACATGGGAATCCACGAATACAAAACCAGCATATGTTTCCTCAGCAATACATGCAAGCAAAGAGAAATGAGGGTACAGGCAACGAAAACGAAGCGAATAGAAACAAAGAGAAATGGGGACATAGGCAACGAAAACAGTTCCAAAGCGCAGCCACGACTCAAAAGTTGTTATTAATTCACTTATGACACCATCACTTTTAACAGTTATCTCAACAGCCAGAAGACATGTACTTGGTTCTGTTTCTGAACTGTGTGTGTAGCATGGTAGCCACTGACAGTTTGGTGCTTTGCTTGTTTGACCGTGTGCTGACCTTCTGTGTGTGTGTGTGTGTGTGTGTGTGTGTGTGTGTGTGTGTGTGTGTGTGTGCGTGTGTGTGTGTGTGTGTGTGTGTGTGTGTGTGTGTGTGTGTGTGTGTGTGTATGTGTGTGTGTGTGTGTGTGTGTGCGTGCGTGCGTGTGTGCATGTGTGTGCATGTGTGTGTGTGTGTATGTGTGCGTGTGCACGCGCATGTTTGTATATTCATGTACATGGTGCATGCATGGCTGTGCGCATTATCCAGTGAGTGGCAAGGTAGCCCAGGCTGATTCTGTCGTGTTGCAAGGCGACCTCCTGAACAGCAGAGTGCACCGGTATGTTCTAGAACCATGCCAGGCTTACCTGCACATGTATTTTCGATAGGGGTGAAACAATTATACCGAGTACTCGAGTACTCGCTCGGTTTTTTCTAAAATAATCGTACTCGCAATAAATCAGAGTACTCGTTCATACATGGTACATGCATTTACTACAGAAATCTGCAGTTTCAGGGCAGCAGTCGGCAGATGGTGATGTGCAGACTGTGTGGTGAACATTTGTTCACGAGTAGAGAGAGCCCAAATGACCCACCAACCAATATACCCGAGAAAAATGACTGCTACTCGGTTCAATCAGGGTTGTATCATGTTATTTTAAAGCCATTGGTGTGCAGTTTTTAGGAGATGAAAAATACTCGAATACTCGAATATTCGATCGGAGAAAATCAGAGTACTCGAACTCGGGATCTCAGTGCCAAGTTTCACCCCTAATTTTCGACTACATGTATTTTACGACTCCCTGCTACTTAGTGACTACCCCATCGTACTTGGTCATTTAGTCCAAGGTTTGAGCAGCCTGATGGTCACGATAATAATAAATACTCCTTTTTAAAGTACATACTAGTAATTCTGTGTGACAAGTACGAGTTTGTGACAGTAACAATTCTCTGGTCTTTGTCAACTGTACATTTTTATGTGGTGGAATGTGTAACACGATGTTTGCGCAATCGTATTGTTGTTCTTGTTGTTGTGTGTGTGTGTGTGTGTGTGTGTGTGTGTGTGTGTGTGTGTGTGTGTGTGTGTGTGTGTGTGTGTGTGTGTGTGTGTGTGTGCGTGTGCGCATATGTGTGTGTGTGTGTGCGCATATGTGTGTGTGTGTGTGTGTGTGCGTGTGCGCATATGTGTGTGTGTGTGCGTGCGCGTGTGCACGCACGTATGTGTGTGTGTGCTTCTGCTTGTGTGCACTTGTGTATGCGCGTGCAGGCACGAACCGCCGGTCACCGGCCAGCGCATCAGTATTATTCACAGTGACGATGACGTGACGGTCATCGACAAGCCCTCCTCCATTCCGGTACGTTCCAGCGCAAGCATGAGCTCAGCATGGCACACTGCTGGTGCTGTTCAAACACACTTCCTTTTCGGAACTGCTGTTTCTCTTCATGCAGTTCATGGTTGTCTGTGTTATCAAAGAATTTCCGCAACACTAAAGCCTACGGAGGGAATCTTCTGTATTAGATATAATGCATGTACAGTCAACCTCGTGAGTAACAACCTCGCGTATAAGAACAACTCGAGAATGATGACTCTCGTTTTCCACCTAGTATTACGCTGACTGCAGTCTTTCAGCCTCACGAATAACGACAACTCCCGAATAGCAACACTTTTCTCATGCCCAAGCGGAGGTCGGTCTTCGCACGGCTGACTGTACACTCCCCATCAGACTACAGGTACAGTGCAGCCATTGCTCCGGTGATTGTTAGGATCTGGTCCACATACACAGGTTGTTCCCTTCTCTGAAGTGAAATAAAGTGCAGACCAGAAACTGTACATTCCCCCGGTGCTCTTCCGTTCTTCTGTTCTGTTGTGCCCCTGAGAGCCCTTGGGTTGTGGGCTCACGTCAAGGGTAATGTCTAAGTGCTCCTCTCTCTTCTCTCTCTCTCTTCTCTCTCTCTCTATCTATCTCTCTCTATCTCTCTCTCTATCTCTCTCTCTCTCTCTCTCTTTCTCTCTGCCAGGTTCATCCGACTGGTCCATATCGACACAACACGATACAGATGATCCTGGAGCGAGAGTTTGGTCTGCACAACTTACGCAGTAAGTCTGCAGGATGGTCCACCATCGACTAGACTGACAGCATGCTGTAAAGAAGAATGCATCGGTAGTGTTTCTGTAATGCCTCAGCTTGATTAAACATGTGGAAGAACCAAGCAGTACAGTGGACATCTTTGAAGACATCCACCATAGTATTGACTACTATTGAGTAAGACACTATCTGTCTTTTCAGGCCACTTGTCTTTTGACTTGTTTTTAGGCCACTTGTCTTTTGATTCGTTTTGAGGCCACTTGTCTTTTGACTCTTGAGGCCACTTGTCTTTTGACTCGTTTTGAGGCCACCTGTCTTTTGAGACCGTGGCCGTATCGGGCAAAAACCAAGGGCTCAAGGTACAGGTAAAACCTGCCCTAGCCCAATGCCCTTGGTGCAGCGGAAACTGTCCTGATATGACAGGATTCCGCTTGATCCAGGGATGCACAATCGATCCACAGCACTTCGGTGCATGGAAATTTGTGCGGTCAGTACAGGATTTCCCTTGGTCCAGGGTCCGGCAAACACAAGTTTCACTGTAGATATTTGAAGCTTTGAACCTGTGTACAAGATCATCTGTCTGTGGGGACATGTATATGCAGTGTGTGTATATGCCCTTGTTGATTTTCTTGTACCTGACTGCTTGCATTGAAGCTATACACCGCCTGGATCGGCTGACGTCCGGAGTGCTGATATTTGCCAAGTAAGTTTGCTCTTGAGCTGCTCCCACGTGACTGCTGCTGCTGCTGTTGCTGTTATTGTTTCTGCTAAAACGTAATATGAGTTCACGGTGCGGAAGTGCACCCCATGGCCGTCCATAGCATTTGCACTTAAAACTTGTGTTGAAGTTGCTAGTGATGTCACCACTACCGAGGCCACTTGTACCGCAGAGTACCGCGATAGCGCCTCGCCATCTCGTCCTGGTCATGTTGTGGAGGTGCTGTCCTGTCTGTAGGTCATACCACACGCACACTGCACACACACACACACACTGTGCAGTCAATTCGTACTCAGTTTACCTTCAAGCGGATGCGAGCTCCACCCAAAAAAATAAACATGCACAGCGTGACCTTAGTACACTATGGTTCTCACAACATACAAACTTTATTAGTAGCACTCTGTCATACGGTTTTCCTTCCCTTCTGTAAAACCAAGGTGGGGCGCTCTCGCCGTACTTAACTGTCTGGTGCAATGGCTGCGGCGGCCTTGGGTAGTGATGGTGGTAGTCATGATCCAGGACCGGCGCACGCAGCTTGTGTTTCGTTCGGTCATTCTATCTTACTGTACTTTGTCTGTATGGTGGTGCGTACAAACGGCATTACTCAGCAGTAAACACCCGTTGGTGGGCAAAGGTTTGGTCCGGCCATGGCCCGACCAACCGGGTATGTTTCGGTGGGCCTGTGATGGCGGGCATTGACGGTGGCAACGTCTTCCTCTCTGCTTGCGTCTGATCGTTTGGTTTCTTTGCATTGTGGTTGTGTGTGTTTGTGCAGGAGCTATGAGAAAGTGAGGGAGCTGGCGAAGATATTTGCGGAGCGGCAGATGCAGAAAACCTACCTTGCACGTGTTGTCGGAGAGTTTCCGAGGTCAGTGTTGTCTCAAGTGCGCGCACCCGTGTGTGTGTGTGTGTGTGTGTCCACCCAGAGTTTTGGGGATTTCAGGGGGTGTCGGTCGTTGGGCGGTTCAATAACCAATTGAGTCATCTTTCCAAGATTCCCTTTGAGTCTCTCTCCCCTCTCCCGGGGGGACTCACGTGACCAGTTTTGGTAGTGAGGAACAAGTACAAGTACAGTACAAGTGTGTGTGTGTGTGTGTGTGTGTGTGTGTGTGTGTGTGTGTGTGTGTGTGTGTGTGTGTGTGTGTGTGTGTGTGTGTGTGTGTGCCTGTGCATGACAAGGTGCATGGGAGAGTGTTTGTACTGCTCGTGAATTGCCTCAGCCTACTTTATATCATGCGCTTTCTGGCATATACATACTCACTTTGTATCTTCCCTCGGCATGCCAGTGTGTTTGAAGGGATAGAGATAGAGAGCCTCGTAGCCTAGATCATTCTTATCTCCATGTGCTACAGCCTATGCACAGTTGAGTCACCGTGTATACATTGGTATGATGTGCTTGGTGAAATTATGGCTTGTTTGTTCTTCGGCACCAGACAGTGCTGTAGCAATCTATATTAAAGTCAAACCTGCACTGTGCAAGTATCCCCTGCAACACTCAGACTCAGACACACACACACACATACACAGACACACGCACACACGCACACACACACACACACACACACACACACACACACACACACACACACACACACACACACACACACACACAGTCTTTGACTACACCACGCGATTGGATTTCATCATTCCGCCGCATGGTGTGCCATAGACTGGTTGTATGTTGCAGGTTGGAGGTTAATTGCAAGAATGACAAGGCTACAGTGGAGCTTGAGAGCTACTCAAAAAACCCTTTAGGCACTCAAGTCAAATTGTTCATAGAGTCATAATCGCTTGTGTGGCCTGGGATAATTCCACAGTATTGTTTGACCTGGGATGATTGGTCTTAATTAACGCAGGCCGCACTGCATTCTCTTACATGTTTCTCCTTGCTGCTGTGCTTAGTGGGGAGGTGGTTGTGGATGAGCCGATCGGTGGCCTGACGCCCAAGTTCTCCATTGTGCTTGTGCACAAGGATGGCAAGCCGTCGAAGACGACGTTCCAGCGCCTGCATTACGACGGCGTCACCAGCGTAGTGAAATGTAGGTCGGACTTTTGTCAGGGGAGTGAGTACTGTGAGAGTTGCATCTCCGACGGGGCACAAAGTCTAGCGTTTTAGCGAGAAGAAATCCATTGTTAACGCAAAAGGTGTTACTAGTGTGCTGTTCCTTCTCTCTTCTGTACGAGAGGAACAGGAGACGGGTGTGTGATGGCAGGGTAGTTAAAAAATAAGCTTTTTGCCCGCCAGTACTAGAGAAATATACGACGGATGTGTGAGGGCATGGTCGTTAAGCTTTTTGCCCGCCAAGTGGGAACAATTTGCAAATGGGCTCGTCACCTGTTCAACTCTTACAGTACTGGGAAATGTTAATGGGCTGTGAAAATAACTATACTGTTTTAAAGTCAACAACTATTCGGCGCATATTTATTTTCGTCTATTTTCGGCCTGGGCGTAGTTGGTGGAAAATTTTTGTTTCGGCCGAAATTTTGTTTTTCAATGTTCAGTGTGACGGTGTGTACAGGCAGCAGCAGAACAGGCCGAAAATTCAATGCGGCCGAAATGTGTTTTAACCGTGGACGGCCGAAATTATTTGAATGTGCTGAAAATGTGTAGACTTAGAGTAGACCAGTATATTGTACAGTACGGTTGGGCGGCGAAGAACAAACGGGCGAAGATTTCACCAAGCACAGCATACCAATGTGTACACGGTGACGTAACTGTGCATAGACTGCAGTGCATGACAAAAATCAGAACGGCCTAGGCCAGGAGGCTGACCCTCAGTTCTTCGGCACCGGGCAGTACTTTAGCTTTCTTCATGGGCGATTACTTAATCATGATCCGCTCTCACAGCAAAGTGCCTCTAATTCTGAGCAACACCCTGCTATTAAATGTGTTTCCTGTGCTCCTTCTGGTGATTTCCTGTACCGGGATGCACCTAATCTTTCTGTGCTTTGCGCCTGCAAATCCGAATTAGGCGTACACAAGTGCAATTTCCTGTATGCACAAGGTGTTTGAAACAGTTACACAATTTGTCAATTTCATGCATGTCTTTGTGTGCATGGTGGCATGTATAATTGTATATCTGTGTGTGTGTGTGTGTGTGTGTGTGTGTGTGTGTGTGTGTGTGTGTGTGTGTGTGTGTGTGTGTGTGTGTGTGTGTGTGTGTGCATACGTGTGTGCATACGTGTGTGTGTGTGTGTGCGTACGTGTGTGTGTGTGTGTGCGTACGTGTGTGTGTGTGCGTGTGTACGTGTGTGTACGTGTGTATGTGTGTGCGCGCACGTGTGTGTGTGTGTGTGTGTGTGTGTGTGTGTGTTCTTCAGGTTTGCCACATCAAGGGCGCATGCATCAGATTCGTGTTCACTTGTTACATCTCGGTATGGACATGCATTTTGTGCTTTCTTCTACCAGCAACCTTCATGCATATTCACCATAGAAGTCTTTACCCTCATCTGTCACCTTTCTAAGAATGGTCTTGCACACATATCCAAGTTTCTGTCCCATGCCCGTGCACACACATACCACACACGCACGCACCCGCACGCACGCACGAGCACACACACACTCTCTCTCCTCTTCTCTCTCGCTTTCTCGCTCTCTCTCCCTCTCTCTCTCTCTCTCTCTCTCTCTCTCATGCTCTCTGTTTCATTCTCGCCCATGTTCCTCGCTTGTTGCAGGTCACCCCATCATCAACGATCCAATTTACAATCACCCGGCATGGCGCAACCCAGCTCTCCCCGAATCTGATCCTGTTCAGCAAGCTGTCTTTGTAAGTGCAATCTACACACGACCTTTGGTTTCACGATGCTGTATTGAGCTGTATTGAGCTGTATTGAGCTGTATTGAGCTCTTTCATGCTTGCCAAGTACATGTACTACTAGAGTAACACCTGGTGTAAGCGACCTCTCGTTTTAGCGACCACCTGCTCTTAACAACCGTTTTTCCATGCACGGACAGTTCTACACAGACACTGTGGGACCTGGTTCTAAAGACCACCTGGCTTTAACGACCGCTTTTCCTTGCACCGTGGGGTGGTTGCTTAAGCTGTACATGTACGTACAGTCAACTTCGCTAATAACGACTGCGGATATAACGACAATTCGCGAATAACGACAGAATTTCCATGCCCAGAGCAAAGTCCCATCCAACTGTAATACATATAATGAGACTTCGGGTATAACGGCACTTTGTGAATAACGACACTTTCCTGATGCCCCGCCGAGTGTCGTTATAAGCGAAGTTTACTGTAGTACGATAAATTTCAACTTCAAAACACTGTGTGAGTTCTGGTGAACAGGTTCTAGATATGGATCACAAGCGCTACGCAAATATTACCATCGTGAAATTAAACTTCAACAGTGGGTGTATACGTGTGGCCACCGTGCTCCGCGAAACATTTGCCATTGTGTACTCGCTGGTTATGAGAAATCACGAAAATTTAGTGACGCAAACATTGGGCGGTTTACAGTACATAAAGGTCAACCGCTGGTAAACACCACATGACCAAAATTATAGTACGATGAAAAAGCTCTATTGGTAGCTTGGACTTTCAGGTCAATGCACATAGTATTTATTTTTGCGTGTATATCGGCAAGTTTGTCTGCCTGCAAGAGCAGCATGGACTTGCAGAGCATTGCCTATGATCATATGCACAGATTGGCAGTTTGTTAGCCTCCATCCACGCCATGCAGCGCTGCACCTACCTCGTGCATGCATTCTCTGCAGCCGGCGTGATGACCTCTGTGCGTGCTCGTGTGTGTATAATAATGTATATTATGTGTGTGTGTATATATATATATATGTGTGTGTGTGTGTGTGTGTGTGTGTGTGTGTGTGTGTGTGTGTGTGTGTGTGTGTGTGTGTGTGTGTGTGTGTGTGCACGGGTGTGTGCGTGTGTGTGCGTGCGTGTGTGGGTGTGCGCGGGTGTGTGTGTGCACGGGTGTGTATGTGTGTGTGTGTGTGTGCGTGCGCGGGTGTGTGTGTGTGTGTGTGTGTGCGCGCGCGCGCGCGCGGGTGTGTGTGCGCGCGTGCGTGTGTGTGAGTAAGTAAGTCAGTATGTGGGCTGAGTGTGGATTATTTGTGATGTCGGCCCATCTGGTACTTGTACTTGTATGGATGTTGACTATGGTCCTGGTCCTGGCCATGGTATCCGTACTGTTCATGTGCTCAATGCTGCAGGTTTTAAAACACCTGCTGGTCAGTATGTGTGGTCCAGAGGAAGGTGCTCGAGAGTACGACGCCGTGTTGGCGATCATGCGCGCGAACGACGCGCTCGGTCCCAGTCTAGATGAGCCTGATAGAGTCGCAAACGCAGACCGCGACGACGATGCTTCCCGCGCGGCTAGTACTGTCGCTGTAGCCACTGGTCAAGCACAGGCGGTCGCTGCTGAGCGCACTACGACAGCGGCAGTGGCAGCGGGCCGTGAGGTGACGGCCAGTTCAGAAGAGTCTTGCTCTCGCGCTCCGACTGAAACGCCCATGGGAGCGTCTTGCTCTCGTGCTCCGACCGAAATGCCCGTGGCCACACCAGCGCCAGCAGCTGCACCCGAGCCAGAGCAGTGTGCACGTGCAGATCAGAGTGACCAGGCTGAGCCTCAACCTTGCCGCTCCAGTGTCTCTACCGGATCTGCCCCCGTGGCTGGTGTGACGCCTGTGCTCACCGAGGCGTTCGAGGTGACGGAGAAACGGGATGCGCTCGGCATAAACTTCTCGTCTGGTGTAGAGCTCCAGCAACAGCCGGATGAATTTCGACTTGTTGATGAGCTGCCGCTAGCTACGCCGCCTCCCACCAGTGATTCTGGCTACTATGATCTGTGCTGGAAGTGCAAGCTGCCAGCGGTCATCCCCAAGCCCGGATCACTGGTCATGTATCTGCACGCGCTATCGTACGAGGTGAGTGCGCCTGCTCAATGAGCCCATTGCGCAATGACGTGATTTGTACCATAAACACCCCACACTAGGGATGTCCACAAAATGTTTTCGAATTTTTTGCATTTTGGGTAATTTTCACACTTTTTTGCAATTTGGGCAAATTTCACACTTTTTTCCATTTTGGGCCAATTTATCCAGCAAACTTGCCGCAGGAGTCTCACTCGCGGCTTGCCCGGAAGACTCTACGATGGAGATGGTGTCGGATTCTTCCTCGCTCTTCTCATTAGAGTCGGAGTGGACCTCCGTCAACACACGTGGCTCGCTGCACGCCATTTCCACCGATGTTTCTGTAACAGCTGAAGCTATTCTAGCAATACGGCTCGACGACTCGTAGATCTGGTACATGAAGCGCCATTTTGGTTGCCATGGCAACAGTCACATTTTTCGTGCAATTTGGGTGATTTTTTCAATTTTTGATAGAGAACTTTCGAAAATATCCCGAAAACATTTTGGGTTTTTTCTGCACATTTTACATTTCCATTTTAGGCCATGGTGAAAAATAAAGTTGATTCTCAGGTCATGAGCCTGTGAAAATCGGTGCGAGCGAGCGATTTTTTATTTTAATTCCCACAATTTTTTTATTTCCAAAGATAGGGTCACACATGTGTACGTCACAGGTTCATAATTAATTTATAATTATTTTATTAGGGGCCGTCCGTAAATATCGATGTTTTTTTCAAGACGATATTTGTTCATTTCTCCCCAGACCCCCTCCCTCCCCCCTCAAAACGAACATACACATGTTTATGCAGGGATCGATATTTTTTAATGAAGTTCAATTTCCTCATGAAACGTGACCAGCTGCCACTCTAATTTCACCATACACCTAGGTTTATGTTGCCACGATCGCACAACCTTGCCATGGCTATGCTCACGAGGTTGACTTTCACTTTGTGTAGGTCATGAACTACATGTTCGAACAGCGCCCGTCCATATACAGTCAGACCTCGCTTAACCGCACACATCTGTTTTCCACAAAAAAATCCGGATAGGCGAGGAAACCGGATAACCAAACACCAGTTATGTTGGATGCATCACGTATGCTGTGAATCTGTAACCAGCTATTTTCTTCCGGATGGCGAGGGATCCGGATAAAAGAGGACCGGATAAGCGAGGTCTGACTGTATAGAGTTCGATATTTTTTTCTGCAAATACGAGACAAACAGGGCCCAAACCCCCCCCCCCCCCCAAACGAACGAATATCTTCTCTAAAAAAACATCGATATTTGTGGACGACCCCTTATTCAGGCCAGGGAGTAGAAAAATACTGGTATTTTACTACTCCCGGGTTCATGCCTTTCGCATTGACCGTTTTCATGCACGCATATGCATGCATAGAAATAAAAAAAATCGTCGGTGCGCGGCCAAAAATCGGTGCGCGCGTACTTGAGAATCAAAGATAATTTTTACCATGGCCTTATGGGGAAAAAATAACATTTTGTGGACATCCCTACCCCACACAGCCACCTGAGCATGGTCGTGGTATGTGCACTCCTGATCCCAGCGTACTCACATGCATTGCTCATACCTCCCATATTTGGCAATGCACAATGGGCTTATATAGGCTGTGTCCTCAGGTGGTTGCGTGCAACTACCGTGCATTGTGTGTGTGATTGTGTGCGCACGGCGTCTTTGTTGAAAACTCCAAACGGGGTGCCGCGCTCTCCATGACAGTTGAAACTCACTTATTCAGGCTAGTATTCCGGAGGGTTTCGTGGGTTGGAAGTGAGGTTTTCGAGTTTCTTTTCTTGTTCCTTTCTTTCTGATGTGAACATCAAGAAAAATTTGAGATATCTCCCCTCCCATTTAAAACAATAATGGTATACATGTGTATGATGCCGAGAATGTATGGATTGTTTTTTCAGACATGCTGTGACCATGACTAAAGGTGTGGAAATGTGAGATTTTGACTGTGATTTAGAATGAGTTCCTTTCCATTGCGGCTGACCTCTCTCTCTCTCTCTCTCTCTCTCTCTCTCTCTCTCTCTCTCTCTCTCTCTCTCTCTCTCTCTCTCTCTCTCTCTCTCTCCTCTATGCAGGGTGAGGGATTCAAGTACGAGTCGCAGGTCCCGGCATGGGCAAATGAGGACTTTCAGCTTCCTGAGTTCCTCTCTGATCCAGACGCCATGGCGCACATCAGCATTGGTGATGCTGTACTGTAGTGAAGGCAGAGGGGGATCGTCATCACTTCCGGCAGAGAAGGAGGTCTGGAGGAGGTCACCTATCACTACCGGCAGAGAAGGTGGTCTACGTCTGATAGTACTTGCATCCTGGTGATGAGTCTATCACTGCACCTTGCCTATGGCCATCTAGAAGTAAGGTATGGACGGACACAGAGCTTGCCTTGATCCTGTCTTAGGCCGATGCCCACACAGTATGCGGCTATTGCTTGTGTCGGGATGGACTTGTGCAAAACTAGAACCTCAGATAGTGCCAACGCCTCGGGGCCCTGAGTTCAGCTGAAGCAGCGGTCGTTTGAACGACCAGCAGTATGCTGACTGAAGGAGCCCATCGCCCAGGTTCTCTGCTCCGATGCTGCACGTGTCATTCGATGATTTGAGTGACTCGCAACAATGCAATCCTGTGCCTATGTGTCAGCCTGAACGCCGGACCAAGCAGCGTTTTGTGCTGTACGACTGATGGCCCTGGTGTTTACTAGTCCGTGTACTCTTGGACAGCTCAGTGTCCGTAGCTGCACACATACCAGTGTTCTAGTTCTGCAAGTACTTACTTGAAGGTGTCACACAAGGTCCGAACATCTCCCGGCCAGCATCCAACATTGGTTTTGGAACAGCCGTCGACACTGCGATAGCAAGTCGCAGCACTAGACTAGACCTCCCCCCGGTGAATACTTTGACTGATTGAGCTCAGCGGTATGCAGAGCAGCGCTAGCGGTCTCGTGTTTGGAACGTTTAGAAAGGTTCTACACCAGATACTCTACCGGTGTATGTGTGTGTGTGTGTACGTGTGTGTGTGTGTGCGTGTGTGTAGGCTATCCATGGCGTTGAGGCCAACACTCGGAATGCCACCTCGTTTCATCAGACACAATTGCCTGATGTTGTCTCATTCACCATATGCCCAGCCCATCTGTTTGTCACTTCAGTAGCTGGCACTGGGACTTGATTTTCCTTGCATACTTTCTGTCCGCTTTCACTCCTATCTGCGCCATGAACTTTGTTCTGTTGCACTAGCAATAACAAGACTAAACCGTGTTATGTCTGGCGCCTTTGGTCTATCTTGAATAGTTTCTTTATCACAGTACAAGACCCTTCTGAGTCCCAGCTGAGGGTTAAGAACTTATTTTCTATGGCCACGACAATGTGTACGTGGGCGCCATGTTTTACCTCACTACTTGCCCACAACCATCATATCCTCGTACATTCAAAAACATTATCAAGATACAAGTGGGTGAAATCTTTGTGATAGCGATTCGATAAAATACTGATCTTGAAATTCGGAAGCCTGCAAACAAGTTGTCCACAGTGGCTAGCCGGGAGAAGTAACAAAAATACCGGTATTTTACTACTCCCTGGTGTTTAGTCAGTGGCACTGCCAGCAGCAAAAAAAGAAAGAAACAAACAACAACAACATATCTCTTATTGGCGGCCACAGGCCATCGTGAGAATAACGATTTGAAACGACAACAACAACAACAGCTGCCGCAATGGTGCGAATCGCCATTTTGAGAAACAAAGAATATGAACAAGGGTTCAACAGATTCAAGTAACAAGTATAAAAATATAATACTGACAGGGCTAGGAATGCACGCTAAACCAGCTTTACAACCCGCAGACGGGCCAAACAGCAGTACCCTACTCGGGCCGGGATGTTTGGAACGGAATTTGACAACGTATAATAATTATTAAATAGACCAACGTTCAGGGCAGTAATATCAAAAGCACCAGGTCCACTGGCGCAGCCCTAAATTCAAAAATCACTACGTAAGACCAACCACGCACAGCGCAAGTCTTTTGTTGAAAATATTCCCACCATGCATGTAACGTGCTGGACAAAAGCCAGCTGACCAATATTGCTACTATGCGAACCTCCTACTCCTAGGGCGTCAATGATGCTTCGTTCCTCATGGAGCAGCTCAGCAAGCACAACCACTTCTGGTCCAAAGTAGGCATTAAAAAGACCTGCACAATACCAGAAGCCAACTTCTTCACGAAAGAGAACAGCAGTGGGCGTACCATGCAGTAATACGCTGACGCCTGCTATCCATGACCCAGATGGGAATTACTCACCAGCAGCTGCAGCACCAAGGCTTGGTCCAAGCATGTGATGACACCCAATGTACATTATGACCCGGTGCAGTGGAGTAGCTGTATCATATCTTGAGTAGGTACACGGATCATGATGACATCACGCTGATGTAATCCATGGCACAGGGCAAGGTACAGTGTACGAATCATGATGATGTAATCCATGGCATAGGCAAGGTAGCGGATCATGATGACATCACGGCGATGTAATCCATGGCAAGGTCCACTGCTAGCTGCGTACATACCGATCATCAATCTGCCGCGATTACAATCATGATGTACGTGACTTGTACTACGACCAGGGTGAATAATGTCATGGGTTAGTGTTGGGATGAACCAGCCACTAGCCTCACGAATCATGCACTGCTCTCCAGGATGCCGATGCCACTGGGAAATGCCGACGCCATGCATTACCGTGTGCCGACCTGGCGCACAGAATGCTACCTCGACGGCGTGCACGAAAGCTGACGGAGCAGATCACTGCGGCGCCTCACTGCCACGAAACGCGCCCGGTCAGTTGCCCAATGACGTCGACATTCGGATGCAGGTGCGGTGTGACGAACACAACACACGTGCATGCCTTGCTGAAGTAGTCTACCAGGATAACCATGAACTGCGTGTGTGCCGACGCGCGTACCCAGCGCAAAATCACGAGCTGCGGCAGTAGGCGAGAGAGCCACAGCAAAGCGCCGAGGAGCAGACGATTGGCGTCGTCGAGCCTGTTGCCTGCCTCGGCAGCAGTGAGTCCCGCGGCCGGCACAAAGTGGGCAGCCAGTGCGCACAATGCCACCGCCGCCATGAGCAGGGTTTCGATGATGCACAGCTTACGGACGGGCTGCGCATGGCGCAGAAACGCATACACAGGTAGCGACATGCACAGATTGAAGAGGAACGACTTCTCCTTCTGTTGCGACACGTGGATACCAGGGATGGTGCCAAGCGTCGCAAATAAAAACAGCAGCGGCACCAGACATGTCGCAAAGCACTGGAGTAGTACGCTCAACGCTTTCAGCCACTTGACGCCATGGAATATTGACGAGAAACTAGCCACAAGAGTCGCCAACGCCAGAATGGCGAAGGCCAGCTGCCATAAGCCTGCGCCTTTCAGTGCACAATTCAGTGATATCGCGGCCAAGCTCAGCAGACCAGCATCCTGGGCGACTTTGAGCCAAGAGCCGTACTCTATATCCATAAACATTGCAATAAATTATTGAGAATGAAACTGCAAAAAAATAATGCTCCTGGACGACTGAGTTAGCCCTCCGCTCTAGTATGTTGCCTTGGCCAACTGACCGACCCTTCAGAAGATTGATAACAGTACAGAGGTTCACTGCCACGAAGCAAAGCAATCCGCTGGCCACAATGAATGACAACCGAACACTACAAGGTACAGCAACTTTTCACAAACATCCAAGACCAGAACAAAAGTAGTCTACCAGGTCTACAGCACTGTGCACATAATGTGTTCTTGCTTCAATGACAATGTACTTTTTATAGCGATCTACAAAATAATTTTAAAAATTAGAGAGGTTCTGCAAAACGAAAATGTGTACGAACTTTCGCTCCACGTCACGAAGTGAGAAACTTCGCACGAACTTTCGCAATTTTGGACGCGAAACTGTTACCTGCAGGAAAACGCGAAACGAACTTTCGTAGATCGAGATCTAGGAAGTAATTAGTTTCGTGAGATTGGGTCATGTACGTATACGTGCGCTTGGCGCGTGCAAACTACGAAAATGTGCAGAACACAAAGTTCGTACACATTTTCGCAAGGCCTGGTGTAGATTTTCAGTAAATTTTTCGGTAGCGATGATTTGCGCAACGTTGTAGGAAACATCTTCTCGCTTTTCTGCAATTCTGGCGACCTAGCTAGAACCTGCTGCTAGTGTCCCTCTTCACTCGTTCTTTCTATGAAAGGGGAAGGCAGCACTAGCAGAAGATTTTCCAAGAATGCAATGTCGACTGGTGCTCGTACCATAAGAAGGGAGAAATCAAAGTCCGCTCTTGAATCATGCCTGAGTATTAGAAAATTATTTCAGAACACGCTTGTGTAGATTTCCTGCCAGTGCCACTGACATCTCGGGACCTTCAAATATTATAACTTGCTCGATCATCTCCCGCACTGACTGGCAAATTCGCCAGGTAACTGTGGATGGATCGATTCAGGGAGATCGAAGGTAAATACATCGAAGCACTTCAAACACGTTTCAAGACGCACTTCAAATTTTGTAATTGTGTCTTGAAAATTGTTTAGAACAATTCGTACTTCAATACGCTGTTGAATTGTATCCTCTGCTTGTGAGTCTCGACTGTTTTATTGCTGCATGGCTTTCCTCAACACCGTTCACTGTACATGTATCGCGGAACGCAGATTGGATGGCATTGGAGGTGAATTTGATGATTTGTGACTGTGTCATCAACCATTGAAGTGAGGACATCAATTATCAACAGGGACGCTCCGAAAATCACAAACGCTGCGAAATAGATATGAAATGGTCTTACACACTGGAGGGTATTCCACATTCATTGTGTCATATCTTTAGACTGTCCGAAAGTTTGTCGTGCCGTGCAACTTTCACAGACTAATCCGATAATTGGCATGTGGCCCTACTGGCACACACTCATGCGTATGCCGTTGAGTTTATCTATATGTGCACGCACATGTGTGTATACATATACAATTTTATTACGTATGCAAAATTAGGCAATCTTCATGTACATGTATATATATATATATATATATATACTCAATCTGCGGACAGCATGCTGTTTCGTTCTTTTTGAACTCATCAGCGCAGCACAGAGAAAATGAGGCCGAACCTGATAGCAATGAAAATAAAAATTTCCAATCAGGCCCGAACGTACCTTGCCAGCATGCGCGTTCGCGCGGGCGTTTTGTGTGCGTGCCTGGCATGGCATAACGCCGTTCAATATGTCTAGTGTTGAACCGTGGTAATTTGCCCCCACCCCCTCTTTTTTCTGCTGGCGTTGGATATGCAACTAATGACATAAACTCGGTTGTTAAAAACGAGTGCCATGCACCACAATGGATTGACAATATTATAATACAAGTAGCACTGTAAAAGCGCTGGTAATACTCATGTTGCAGCCATGGCAGTTGTGATTAGCTTTCCAAGTCAAGCCTGCTGCAGAAATTATTGCACTCTGACCAGCTGGAGTGGCCCAGGACTGCCGCTTGTGGAGAAAAGGAGTGATGCTTGTATATACGCTTGTATTTACATGATGTACGCGGTGTACTTCGAAGTAACGTTAGGTGTATTACTTGTGTGTTCTTCTGCCTGTGCGCGTGTACATGTGCTGGTCAGTGTGGAACCGCCATCCATATCAGATCATACAGCTGCTATCAGTCTCAACAGCTTGTATCTGGCAAATAGGGTTTTAGTGACTCGATTTTGCTTACTGTGTTCAACAGAGTGGCATTGCACACGGCTACTTGATGTATGAGCCACCCGTACAAGAGGCTTTGATACAGAAAAAAATTCGGATAGAAAAATGACAGTTCGCACATTTTCTAGATGTGTACAATACAGCGCCTGACGCATTCATCATCATCATCATCATCATCATAAGTTATAACTAGCCCTAATTGCTGTCTAGCACATGCACAGCATGCATCACACAGCTAGCTGTCAAGAGCTAATAATCATTGTACTGCTGGTCCTGCTGCTACTGTTAGCTAGCATGGGCCGGCCGGCCGGGGCCCGGCTGAACAATCATCTTGCACAAAAAATCATCTTTTGAACTCTGAGTCTGAAGCCCGGACAGATATCTGCAGAGTCGACTAGTATTATACTAGTAGTCCGATTAGTTGTCTCTTGCCAACTGGCTTTTACTTCACAGTTTGCTAAACCTCAGTGTTATCCTTGAGGAAGTCGTTTGACGATTTGTAGTACTTTCCTAGGTCTCAGTACGACAATATAGAGTGTTCTTCGCACGAACGGAGCTCCGAAGTCAGTTTGCCGTGAGAACTGCAGTATAGTCGAGTCGGAGTCCGTCGCGGACGAAATGGCAACATTTTTGTATTTCGCGTATGGATCCAATCTCATGGCGAGGCGGCTGAGAAAGAGCTGTCCGTCCGCCAAGCTGTTTGGCTGTGCACGCCTGGACAACCACTCTCTGTGCTTCTGGGATCTACAGACGGGCCCGTCGGGCCGCTGGCAGGGTGCCGTTGCCACCATAACGCCGAAGGAGGGCGATCACGTGTGGGGTGCTGTGTGGGAAATCGAGCAGACCGAGATGGCCAATCTGGACAAGTAAGGACCATGATGTAGGTCTACCATGTTATCATGTGGGCAATAGTACAATGTATCATGATCAGGGAGTAGTATACTACTCCCTGATCATGATCAAGTTCTAGTCGTAGAAAGGATGGCTTATCAACTGACCTTGAACCGCTCCTCCATTCAGCCGCTTATACCGTAAAGTCCGGAGCAAACGCCCACTTCGCAGCAAACGCCCACCCCAGCGAGTCCATACTATTTTCGTCTTTAGAGAGGTTCTGCAAAACGAAAATGCGTAGGAACTTTCGCTCTACGTCACGAAGTGAGAAACTTCGCACGAACTTTCGCAACTTTGGACGCGAAACTTGCAGGGAACGCGAAATGAACTTTCGTGAGATTGGGTCATGTCGTACGTGCACTTGGCGCGTGCAAACTACGAAAATGTGCAGAACACAAAGTTCGTGCGAAAATTCGTACACATTTTCGCAAGGCCTGTCGCGAAACTTCGTTCGAATTTTCGTTGTGCAGAACCTCTCTTTTTTCAGGTCAATATAGTTGTAAACAACTGGCATGAAGGTCGAATGCGTACGAGAACGACTGTAATGCCTACAAACTGCCTATGTCCTACCAGGACTCTGTGCAAAAGCGATTGTCATTATCTTCCCGCAAAGAAATAACTTGTCGAGATTTCCTTTCATTCGATAAATGTGTCCTCTTTGTGGTAGTTCGTTCTCCATGTGGTACGAGTAATGCCGTAGAAATTTGTGCAGTGCCACGATGTCGCGCTGTCAGGAACAGTAATTGTTCTGATGAAGCGTCATTCAACGACTTGACTGGTACCAATATGGCAGTTGCAAGTCGAACTGGGTATGTCACAGAAGCTACATCTACAAAGTCACTGCTAACTTGTTGAAAACTCCGAAGTGCCCGAGAAAAACACTTGCCTTTGGGCGTTGTGTGATCTCTAGATGTTGGCTTGAAACACTGTAGAAAGTGTATTTGGTTCCTTCAATACTCTGTTCTTCGCTACTTTGTTATTCGGAAGAAAACCAGCTCGGATTTGCGAAATAAAACAACCATCATTATAAAATCACTACGAGCTAGCTCGTGGCTAGTGCCCAAAGAGATTTTGAAACCAGTAAAGTGGACATAGTTTACCGTAGCAAAGTGCTCTTCCCGCTACGGTGTGAGATGCACTTTCGTACAGTAGGGGTGACAGTGCATGGGGTCAGTGTGTACAGGCCAGCAGATCTTGCAAAAATGGGGTGGGCGTTTGCTCCGGACTTTACGGTATTTTTATTGAATAGAGCAGTTCTCAGTTGACAAGCCACTGTTTCTTTGGTTTGAGGCCAGAGGGGTACGCGCCGGCAATCTTGGTTTCACCAAGAGTACCAGGGGGGGGGGGGGTTTCACCTACAGGCCCTTTGCACGTGTACTGTCTGTGATACTACAGTCCATTCAGGAAAAGATGGTTAGAATTTTTCTGGAATCCCCTATGTACAGTGTACCAGGTAATCCTTTTCCAATTGTGTTTCTGAAGTCTATTTGTCCAAAAAGCAAGCCATAGCAAGAATAAGATTTCGGCCAGGTTTTGCCCCAAGAGCACTGAATTGGGAAAACCCATCAAAATCCAGGCCGTTTGACCCTGCCTACAACAGTGCATTGTACGGTTCGAACCCCAGTTCAGGTACCCTTTTTGGACCCTTTTTCAAATTTCAAATTTCGCAGCACTGCACTGTGTACGATAACATCTTGAAAAATCGCCTAATACGGGAGCTCGCCAGAGCCAGGGCCCATCCTTTTGTGAATGGACTGTAGCATAGCACTGGCCTCGAGGCCTTTTAGCTTGGTGGTGGTGAGTTGTCCACAACATGCACTGTTCGTCCCTGGCTAATCCAACACAATGTCTTAACACATAACATGACAGCCACACGCTCCTCCACCACCATGATCCAGATCATAGACAGTCATAGTCTCAAGGAGCCCAAATCCTGTATTCATCAGGTGCGTGCGCCGGTGCCCTTCGGGGGGGGGGGGGCTCCCCGGGAAAATTTTCAAAAAATGAAGCAAAATCCTGCATTTTGAGCGAAAAAAGGGGGTTCCGGGCACCCAGGAACCCATACGGGGCACGCGCCTGTTCATGAACCCTGCAACAGGGTACAGTAATCCAGCCCCCCCCCCCACACACACTCTCTCATAAAGAGATCACTGGGCCAGTACAGTAAAACCTCTCACGGCGACCACTCGGAGAAGGCGACCACCTGTCCTAAAAGACCACTGAAACCAGGACCAAGGGATGCTATCTCCAGTCAAATGACCCTGGATAAGGAGACCACCTGGTAACAGAGACCACATTTTGAAGGTCCCTTGAGCGGTCGTCTTGGACAGGTTTCACTGTATACCCAACCAGAGAAAGTAAATTGCCCCCCCCCCCCCCCCCAAGACGAAGTGAATACTGTAGTATCTAACCCCCTCCCCCCCCCCCCCCCCCCCCTACACACATCTTGGCGGCCAAAAGGTTGATCCGGTAATTACGTTATGACCAACCGGACCGGTTCCGGTGGGCCTGCGGTCAACGACGGTTTCATCCCTTGCCGAGCGCCTGCTTGTGAGATACGGCCGCTATGCACTGCACTTGCCATCAGTACATTGTCGGGCACGGCGATGTCCTGGTTTCCGGGAAGCATCCGCAGATACCTAGTTGTGCTTCTTTCAAACACAATCGTGTGGCTGGTTGCGCTGTGCAAGTGGAGTGTTACTACCAATATAGTACTCGCCAAAAACATCCGGCCAATGCTGCATGCATCGTAGTCGACTACTAGTACCATGTGCAGCACTGACTGGATTTTTCTGGCCAGTTCTGTACATGTAATACTTGCCTTACATGTAATACTTGCCTTACATATAATATTTGCCTTACATGTAGTACTTGCCTTACATCATCATGTAAAATACGTGTACTTGCCTTACATGGATTACCAAGTCTCATGTGCGCGGGTACGTGTATTTCCTTTGGGTTGGCACAGGCAAGAGAGCCTACACACGGGCATCTACCGGCGTTACCCGGTGCAGGCGGAGATGTCGGGCAGCGACGGAGGCGGTGATGGTGGTGGCTGCCGGGACTGTGTCTCCTACGCCATGGTCGAGTATACTGCGGAGCAGAGGAAAGGCGTTCCGTCGCCGCACTACCTGCGCGTGATCCGCGACGGGTCGGCGGACTGCGGCCTGCCCGATGAGTACCAGAAGCGGCTCAACTCCATTCAGGATAACGGCTTCACTGGCGACGTGTCTGGAATGATTGGCCTTTATTGATTGGCCTCTATTGATGCCAACAACTGTGACTGTGCTCTGGTCCCGATATGGAGAAGGCAGTACACTGTAGCAGGATAATATCGTCGTGCCATTCCGAATGGAACGCTTTCAGCCAAACAATGCCATCTTGGTTTTGTGTGCACATCGCCGCCAAGCTGCTGGTTCCAGGTGGCCGTGGCAACTGGGCTCTGGAGCGAAAGATACGGCAGTTGCTATCAGTCGTGCAATGAAGATGCCACCCTGCAGCTAATTCCACACATCCACCATCTCTACATTTGATAATTGTTCTGGTCCGGCGGTGGCTGCGAGAAGTCCTGCGGCTACTCCGCCGCAGACTTGAGAGGCATTTGCTGCAGTGTGGCGCGCTGACTGTCAATGTGCGGGCACGTGGCAGCAACAACTTACTTGTGCCGGTGTCTTCAAGTGCCGTGTGGTCTCGCCTAGTCTAATAAAGAACCATGAATGGACGGACTGAACTCAAATTAGGGTTGAAACGATTATACCGAATGATCGAGTACTCGTTTGATAACTCTAACGATCGAGCAATCGTTTAGATTACCGATTACGATTATTTTGCGTTTTTTTAAATTTTTAGTTCCATACACGCAGTGCATACAGCGCAGAATATAGTATAGTACACAGTAGATCTACTAAGTGAACAATCATGCCACATAGCATTTTTGTGCAAAATTGTGTACATATTTCCACTCTTGGCCATTCCACGTACATGTGTACATATTCCAGGTGCGGCCTCTTAAAGGGGAAGTATACCCTAAAATCAAATTTTCACCAGTTGTAGTCTTCGGGGTGCTGAGTCGAATGGTCTTGGTCCGAGGAAGCTGAGACGCTCCCTTCCTACTTGAATCCCAATCGAACTCGCGCACTTCCACCGAAACTGGGTGACTGCGCCCTACTAGATGGGGATTTGTATGCAAAATGTCACTAAAAGCGCCATTTCGTTCTTATAAAAGCACGGATGACCGCGATTGGCCCATATGTTGTAGTCTTTTGGACGCTGAGTCGACTGGTTTTGGTCCGAAAAGGCTGCGATGCAGCGTTCCTCCTTTATTCCCAATCGAACATGGTTGAAGAAGCGGTCACGTGCTCGTGCGTACACCAGTCGCCTGGTCACCGTGCCTGCAGGGTACAACTTACTAGCCTGTTTGACCTTTTTTGGGTGCAGTCCTGTCACTCGAGTTGAACTCGAGTTGAACCTTGGTGTGAAAGTTGTCGCCTGCTGGCGCGGTGACCAGGTGATTTGGGCACCCAGGAGCACGTGACCGCTTCTTCAACCATGTTCGATTGGGAATAAAGGAGGAACGCTGCATCGCAGCCTTTTCGGACCAAAACCAGTCGACTCAGCGTCCAAAAGACTACAACATATGGGCCAATCGCGGTCATCCGTGCTTTTATAAGAACGAAATGGCGCTTTTAGTGACATTTTGCATACAAATCCCCATCTAGTAGGGCGCAGTCACCCAGTTTCGGTGGAAGTGCGCGAGTTCGATTGGGATTCAAGTAGGAAGGGAGCGTCGCAGCTTCCTCGGACCAAGACCATTCGACTCAGCACCCCGAAGACTACAACTGGTGAAAATTTGATTTTAGGGTATACTTCCCCTTTAAAGATTATAATCGAATAATCGATCGTCATGATAAAGAGTAATCGATTGGGCTAAATGGATGATTGTTTCAGCCCTAATTAAAATGGCAACAACGATTTAGATCCGCTAACATCACTGTTCCACTCTCTAGCATATTTTTGACTATGAGTTTAGATGAGATCATTGTGATTATTATTGCCAGGGTGGATGGAGTCTGCTACAAGATATTTTCTTTTTTCCACTATTTTAAGGGTCACACCGGATTAGGGATCGGAGCCCGGGGGGGGGGGGGGGGGGCACTTGGCACGTACATTGTGCGGGTGATCCTTATACCGGGATTTAATTTCCAGTCCAAGGGAGGTCCCCCCGTCGCGTCGGTTTCCGAGGAAGCCGTAATTTTTTTCGCTCCAAACTATTTTTCCGGGGTCCATCTACTCACAAAAAGTCATTTTGCACATCTTTTTGCCCATCCCTGTACAACTGAGTCCAGCTATGTCCGCGCAGCTCGCAGAGTTAGGTGGATCCCTAACCCGGGTTCTACTCTACGGCTCGAGCCGTACCAGTTGTACCGCTTCCGACGCCCTTGCATCATGCACTAGGGTACCCTGTAAGAAGGCCTTAAAGGCCTGTGGGGATTGCCCTATCAAAATTATTGTGATGTCTACAGTACAGTACGCAATCGAGCTATGCCGTTGCTGTGTCATCTTCTATGTGCCATGCGCTGCTTGATGTACCAGCCTGCTATGTCGGATACCATGCATCGACTAGGCGCCAGGCGCGAACTGATGGTGGTGGTGGTGGTGGTGGTGAGAAGGAGAGCTCTGTGCCAGAACTTTGCAGCTTAGAGAGCGTGTGTGGGCAGGGGCGTGTGTTTACCGCCGTATTGCCAGGTGTGTCTTTACCACCATATTCGTCTACAGCATTGGGTAATAAAAATAATAATAATAATTCAAAGGATCAGTCAGGGAAGCCTGAAAAGAGAAGAAAAAAAAACACCAGACCCACCAGGACTCAAACCCGGGACCTTGCTTGTCATGAGCACTGGTTAGAGCATTGCTCATGACAAGCAAGGTCCCGGGTTTGAGTCCTGGTGGGTCTGGCGTTTTTTCTTCTCGTTTCAGGCAGTTCTCTTCCCTGACTGATCCTTTGAATTTGAAGTCTCCCAATCCTTCCAAAAAAAAAAAATAATAATAATGTCTCAGTACTCTGTCAGTTTTGTGCCTAGTTGTTGCACTTTCTGACTGTATATAGTATCTAGTTACAGTGGTGGAGAGTTACTCTTAACTCGTTTCCATATGTCCTTTTCCCTTTCTCCTTTTAATAATAATAATGATACTAAAAAATCATACTTCAGTAATAATGCGCAAAAAGGGTCTAGTCAGCTCACTCAACTGCAAGATTGTCTGAAAGGAAAGTGGGGAATTATAATCGGTAATATTATTCTAGTTCAGCATTGGCAAATCAGTCAAAATTATCATCATCATAATTAGTGGCGTGCACGGGTAGTCGGGTACCCGTGAGGACCTCCGCTAGACGGGGACCGTGCGAATAGTACCCGAAAACCCGAAGTGGCAGATGACATCATGTACAGTGCACGTGTACAAATAATTCACGTTATACTCCGCATGTCTACCCAGTGTGTAAGGGAAGGGGCCGGGGTGCATTGCGGTCTTACCATAGAAACATTACCCGATCGGGTACCCGTGCTACCCGTGGAAAACTACCCGGACCCCATACCCGAAGAAAATGCTACCCGACTCAGCCCTAATCATAATGCACATGTCCTCGAACATATCGAAACAAACTGATTTTGTCGTCTTTTGTTGAGGAGTGCAACAATCCAGTACAGGTTACTCGTGATTTCAGGATTGCTTCCATGTCGCCCATTCTCTCCTGTGTACCAGTGAGAGTGTGACAATCACGATCAACTGTGAGATGAATCATGTCATCAGTTTACCAGCATTGACCAAGGGCTGCTCCGGTGTGACTCGGAAGGCTACCAGCATTATGGCCATTCCAACCAAAAACACTGTGCCTTGTACAGTGGGAAAGCCTGGGTCCAGGTTTGGACTACTGGATGAACAGGCAGCGAGTAGGATTTCACTAATCGGAATCGGAATCATAATCATAATATGGAATCCACACCTCGAGCTCCAGAGGACAACCATTCAGACGGCCGCAGCCAATCTTGGCTGAGATGTTGTAGCGACCAGCTGCCAATCTAATACGTTCAGTCTGTATTCGTCCAGAAGCAAGTTCAAGCCGCGTACACACGATGCGTGTGTTGTCATAGAGGCCGGATATTGATATTTCCAGTCCAAGGCTGTCCAGTTGTTCTTGCTTTATTGTGCTGGAGACCGCACTCGCTGGTAGCTCAATAGAGATGCGCAAATGGTCATTGACACAGGCTTGTTTGGGGCACTTCAATGTACCATCAGCAACGTCCAGCACTGTCCCCGCCTTGCTGATGTCATTGAGTAGTGACGAAGTGTCCGTCGTGCCAAACACGATGCCACTGGTGACGCATGGCTCTCTCTCGTCTTCAGCAGCTTTCATGGTTTTGCTGATAGCTGCATCCACCCAGGACCACACACGCAGAAGCTCAACATCGTCCTCAAAAGACTGCAATATGAATGCAGCACTCTCTCCTTTCGACACACAATCCTGAAGTTGATGCAGTTGCTTCTCAAGAGGTTCCAGTTTCTTCAACCTCAGTTGATCCAGCTCATTTAGGAGAGAGTCCTCTCGTTTCTTCACAGCCTCCATAAGTGGCTTGAAGAAATCAGCTACCCTCTCTGAAGCATACTCTGTTTGACTGTGTACCATTCGAATGTTCTTTTCCACAGCTTCTATGGCACTTTTGACAACACCATCACAGTTTGCGGTGCAACTGCTCAGCTTTGTGGAAAGTGTGTCACGGGTGTTTAGTGCAGCACAGGGAATATCCATCACCTTGTGTTCATCTTGTCTGTGTGCTCCAGTATGTATGCACTGCGTACACAACAGCAGATTGCAATCAAAGCAAAACTGCTTCAGCGCTTGGCTCGTGTGTAGAGCACATCTATGCTGGACCACTCTGCCACTGTTGCTGCCACTGCTGCTGCTGCTGCTGCTGCTGCTGCTGCTGCTAGCTGACTCAGTCTCTCCTAAAGATTTAGACAGTGGGTTGATCATGTTGACGGTGTGGCCTTTTCCTGATTTCGATCTCACGTGAGCAGTACCATGACACTCACAAAAGTTCACGTCACAAACCTCGCAAATTACTGTAGCAGCTGTTTCATCCCAGCACTCATCACACGAACATTGTATTGGTGGTAAGACACTCGATCCCTGTGGTGCAGCCGCTGCGCTCACCATGCTCACCGCATTGCTTGCTCGGATGACGTTTGGTAGCGATCGCAATGGCTCAACGCCAACAGGCAATGGCGTAGCGGACAAACATTGCGGACATGTTATGCTGCCATCAAATCCCAAGCTGTTCTGCAGGCACGACGCACACAGTGCGTGCAGACACGAAACAAACTTTAGAGTTGTCGCGGACGATCCACATCCACAACCACTGCACTCCACTTCAGTGGACATACTGCACTGCTGATCGAATGATGGACGACTTTTTTACTGCTGTGTTAGCGTAGAAGGACGGTGCTGAGCTCATGAGCAGAGAGATGAGACGGTCTGGAACACGCAGAAAATTAATAAAAGTTTCGAAGCTTTTATAATTATTTCTGCTTAGGGTGCGTTTGGTTGGTACGATCTAGAACAGGATCGAACAGCTGGTGCACATGGCGTAGGCCTTTCCGGATTATGTGTTTGCATATTTTTGCATTTTGGGGGTCAAAATGCATTTTGTCCATTTTGACCCACTTTGGGCCAGAGAGTCGTAAAATACCGGTATTTTACGACTCCCTGCATGCGATAGGTACTTCACGATCACCATGAATGATCACCATGGTGCCAAATGTCACGCGACTAGCTGTCACCATTTTGTTACCATGGCAACGGTGGCATTTTTTGTGCTTTTTGGGTAATTTTTTGCATTTTCTTTAGAAAAAAATTTGATTTATAGGGGTTTTTCAAAACACTTTCCATTTCCATTTTAGACCAAGAAAAAACGCATAATCCGGAAAAGCCTAACATGGCGCAGCCTCATGTCAACCAAACGGTACTCCAGAAACAGAGCACATTTTTGTGAAAAATATGCCAAACTATTACTTGGTACATGGCAGAGAGTCGTAAAATACCATTTTACGACTCCCTGGTACATGGTGCTTTCTTCAAAATGTGTATGGGTACCGGGTCACCATGGTCACTGTGTACGGTACGACGAGTCCAACCCAAAAGCGTATGCACGTGATCATTTGGGACCAAAATCGATGTTCCCACCATGTACCAGGTTTCACTGTGAAAAAGTGAAAATGCTCGGCCTGGAGCAAGCAGAATGAATATGTTCTGGCCAGGGATCGTAAAATACTTTTTATTTTACGACTCCTTGGTTCTGGCCGACCCAGAACAGGTGCAGTCCCAACCAAACGCGCTGTTCTGGTGAATCCTGTTCTAGTTCGTACCAACCAAACGCGCCCTAAGGGGTCGCCGGTGGTCCATTTAATATCAATTTTTTTTAATGTTATGGCAACAAGCAGGGCCATGGGTAGTACTACAAATAGCGAGTCGTACCCAAACGACTCCCTGGCTGCAAGCTTGCAAGGAGAGTTTCGTTTTGAAAAGATATCAATGCAATGCTCAGTCATGAATTCACCGCGCACATCATGTACGGAATGACATTGTTTCCGTCTGTCTTCAATATCATGGTCTTGGTGCGCTGGCAGAATGATGGACAGATGGTCCGCAGGGAGTAGTGAAAGCGACTTTCTGTACTATGGTACATGGTGGTAGACACCAGCATCCACGCAGCTACACACACGCACGCACACACACGCACACACACACACCTCAGACCTGCCCATCGCGGAAGCGATGATAGCGAACAGCTATGTTAGACATAGCAACTAACGTTGTTACTTGTGCTGGGATTACACCATTCAACAGCTTACATTGACCACACACACACGCACAGAACAGCAGCATAATATGATAGTTTGGTGATTTTTTTAAACACACACACACACACACACACACACACACACACACAAGCATACTAGTTGGAAAGTGACCTGCACTTGTTTACAGGGTGGGTAGGAGATACTGCAACCGGACAAGGACATCAGAACAAACACACAGGAGCGGGGCTAAATGTCAGAGAGGCAGGGGATAAAAGGCAAATTGTTAGCAATGGAAATGGGGACGTGGACTGTTCAATGGAGACGAGGACGCGAATTGTTCAGTGTTTAGCAATGGAGATGGTTCGAGAGTGCTGACACAACTCCGACACAGAAAGAATTCGAACGAATCAGAAAGCTGGCGGTGCTGCCTGCGCTGTTAGTGTAGTGCTACTATCACTGGCAAAGCAACAGCAGATCAGCGGGGCCAGATCAACGCCTCTCCGACTCCGCCCTGCTGGGGGTCGAGAGTTTTAACCATGCACAGGTTAGGACGGACGTCACAGTAGGTCACGGCGGACCGTGCTGGTGAGTGCGGCGAAGTACGAGACGCTCACGATAAAGCATGGCGATCAATATGTTCTCTAAGGTGATTTGAAAGGAAAATAAAACCTAAGCGGCGCAATGAGAATAACACACAAGCATAATGAATAGCACAACATGATAGACAAGCTAGGAAAGCAAAGAGCCAACATCAACTTTCCTGCTCTGATTCAGAACTGAGCTGCTCAAGGTGCTCAAGAAGAGAGCTATCGAGAGTCACGTCGAGCATGGACAGGACGAGTTCTTGGCTGAAGCTGGCACGTTGTTGTCGCAGCTCTCGATCCGCTTCATTATCGGGCGCAGCCGGCCGAGCCGAAACATCTTCGAGTGCGCTGTCAACAGAGAACACAAATGAAGGCAACAGAAAAGAGGTTGCCGAAGAGTGGGACAAACCGTTCGTATGACTATGGGATATATATAACTAAATACCAACACACGGTATGGTGTGGGTAGGGTCACCTGTACCAACCCTACATGTATATTGGAGAGAGAGGGAGAGTTCATGTCTGCAACTACAAATATATAGAGTCCTACTCCTGGCGACCATCATCACACAAACTGCACAAGTAATGGCGGTCACGAGGCATGAGCCGCAAGCCAAAACTGATCATGCCTCCTCCTCCCCCCCCCCCCCCCCCCCAGCTGTACTGCTGTGGTTCGAACAGAACAATTCTTCCTTTCGCCAGGCAAACCGCTCGTCTATTTCTGAAGGTTTCTGACACCAGTAACACAGATATACTTTATACTGGCAGATTGATGTGCTTGCTGGAGTGCCAGGCGTGTCAAAATTAGCGGTCATATAGGAGCAAAAATGTTCCCCTGCCAGGGGTGAAAAAGTAACAGTATGCGAAGGCAATAGATCACATAGGTTCAGTCCACTACAGCTGGATATGTTCCTTCGCAGTGGGAGACACCTGTGCACACGACAGTGAGTCGGCCAGGATGAGAGCCGTCAGCAACACACCGGGGCCGTGAGCGTTCCTGCACTGGCGAAACATTTTCGCTATTTCCCAAATCAACGGTTCAGTAGCGCGAAAATTTCGGTAAACCAGTTTTCCAGATCCAAAAATACATGTTGCACACTGTGTGCTTGTTGAATTTTAGGCGGCGTTTCGGTTTAGGTAACAATTTCCTCGGATGGTGAGCCAATTAAATTATGGTGACTGTATAAGATCTGGTTACGTTGGTGGACAGTTAGTCATAACTCGTAACATTTCGTCCTTCTCCTTTTTCACCATAAAAATGTCCTGTACCGAAAATAAATCTCCACCGAAAATTTCCAGTTTGACAGTAGTCACCGTGGCACTCACTTTTTACCTCGCCATCGCAATGCCTGTACCTATGGTGAAGTAAAATAAAGGTAACATAACATAACTCACCTATCCAGAATGAACTCTCCGGTCGGTGCGTTAGCGCCCATCAGGCACTCCCACTGGCTTTGCAGACCACTGGATGCGGACTGCTGAGAGGAAGGAACGCCTCTGCCCTGCGACATACCACCGCTGCTGCCACCACCACCACCGGCCATAGAGTAGAACCGCTTGGCGTTGGACCGCTCAAGGCGCTCAAGACGCCGCTGTTCACTGGCGCTTGTCGGCGCTCCCTCCGTGCCGTTGCCCGATAGCAAGACGTACTGGCCGCCGGACGATACTGTACATGTACATGGGAACACACACACACACATCATGTACCACACACACACACACACACACACAAAAGAGGAGGTGAGCAAGGAAGGGCGCTAGTACTATTCACAGCCCATGGCTGCCTCCACCGCATGTGGCGGGCTCAAAGAACGAAAAGCAATCACTTGTACCAAGAGTACACAACCTCAGGTTACGCTCCTTCCCCTTGGCTTGGCCGAACACTCTTTCTGGTTAGTGTCAAAGCTACCCTACCTGCCCTCGTGCAGAGCTCACTGTGTTTCTCGCAGCTAGAGCACTTTGACTTTCATGCTTTGAGCCGATTACAAAAAAACACTTTGTTGTACACTGGATTTCATTGTGATCGGTGCGGCCAGTGACTCTGAGCTCCGCTGAGGAGAGCTAAAAAAGGTCGAAACAGCTAGCTGTCCGGAGATTGAGTAAGCCCCAAGTTATGTACTCTTGCTTGCACATGTACAGTAGAGCCCTGAGACGACGTACACCCACGGCCCGGGGAACAGGAAAGTGCACTTAGTATACAATGTACTTCTTGTCCCAACAAACTTTTAAGTATGAATTAAACGCCCGTGCTCCGGAAAATGTCTATACCAGGCAAGAGTACGTCTTATCAGAGTGCCGGGAGCCGATTCCTCGGTCCAATAGAGTGCTCAATACTCACAGCCGAGTCCTACGGTCCAATAGAGCGCTCAATACTCACAGCCGAGTCCTACGGTCCAATAGAGCGCTCAATACTCACGGCCGAGTCCTACGGTCCAACAGAGCGCTCAATACTCACAGCCGAGTCCTACGGTCCAACAGAGTGCTCAATACTCACATGAGCAGAGCTATACCACACTAGATACTCTAACTTTATCAGAGTACGCACTCGGTGGGTTACACTGCACATGTACATGGGAGCATCGCAGCTACAGGCAGTTCTAGCAAACGCAACAATAACATACTTGCAAGCAAACGGCCATCAGAGGATGCTGCACGGATAGAGCGGAGGAAATAGTACAAGAAAATAGAGTAAGCCATGTTACTGATGTACACATCGGCAGCCCCAGACTACTGTAAAACATGTAATTTTAGGTGCACTAAAATTTCGGTGCCAGAGGCCTGCCAGGTTGCAGGTGTAATGTAGAATTAGGCGAGCAGCGTTCCCTTCACATACAGTGCATACTCTAGTGGCTTTTAGGTGTAATTTAAATTCAGGTGCCTGGTTTCTCTACCGAAATCACCAAAATTAAAGTTACACCGAAAACGACCTGTTTTACAGTGTACACCACATACAGTTACAGCTAACAAACAGAGCAGAGCCTCTCAGATAGAGATGCAATGGGGACATGACGAGAAACGTACTGTACGAATCGAAAACCAAGATGGCCGTGATATAATAGGTGGAACCAAGTTTTGGCAGTTTACACGGGAAGATACCTCCAGATGGGCACCACAAGAGCACACGCTGTTTCTCCTTCAATGATCAAGATGCCTGCTGTATCAGTGGACGGTTTGGATACGATTTTTTCCCGGTAAATTCGGTGTCGAACGCCAAGATTCAGTAGTCACTGAAATGAATACCGTAAAGTCTTGAATAAAAGCTGCACTTGAATAGAAGCCGCAATTTTGGGCCCATCAAATCACATAAGCCTGGTTTTAGTGTTGACATACATAGAAATACCCGTCTTGTATAGAAGCCTGCAAAATTTCACCAAGAAAGTCATAGAAGCCGCGGCTTTAAGACAAGACTTTACGGTATGTTAAGCCCCGCTTTTCAATGATCCAGCAGGCATGTTGATCGTTGAAGGTATTCACGCACTGTCAAACTGTTTGGGGCTGTTGTTTGGGACTGTTGAAACAAATAATGTACATGTACCAGCGGCGGATCCAGCGATCTCTACAGGGGGGGGGGGGGGTCCAGTAGTCAAAACTGAATAGCTGATACATGTACATGGACGCGCATATGGTTGCCATTTTACGAAATTTCGGGGGTTCTGTGGAACCCCTCCTGGATCCGCCCCTTCGTACAGCAGGTGCCTAGCACAGGGGACATTACCCCCCCCCCCCCAAGCCTTGCATACAATGTGTACAAGATAAGCAGCACACCGAGTAGTCAAGGCCAGCATAAGCAGACGCCTTCAAGTGCACGCTGCTCCATGCCATTGTGCATAAACATCAACAGCAGGAGCAACACGCACCTGGAAGATAGCCACTGCCACCACCACCAATAAACATACACACGAGCACCTACAGACCGATACCACCCACTCTAGCACAGCGTGCACTCACCCGACGTAGGCTGCTCGCCATGTGACATCTGCGTGATGAAGTCCACCAAGTCCTGGCTGATATTGTCCTGCGCCGCCTGTGTAGACGAACCACCAGAACCCGTGCCACCGCCACCACTACCAAGACTAGGCTGCAGTAATGACACAGGAACAGCAGAGTCCAAGGCCATCGGCGGGGGTGAGTACTGCGGAGAGGCGCCCCACGCCGCAGAGGAGGCGCCGCCACTGCCTGCATTGCGAATTGACTCCGAGCCGCCGAATGCCTGCGGCTGGGAGCGACTCAGCGAGGCATAGCTGAACGGCGATCGTCCCAGTGAGCTGGCAGGGGTGGCGGATGATGTGCCAGAGGCAGCTCGGGCTTGCAACATGCGGCGGATGTGAGATGGATACGACATGCCCTCGCCCTCCTGTGCGCCACACGCAAATCAGTTAAGGAACTTCACAATGCTCAGATACTGTTCCAATGCATCCTTTTTTTAAATTGACAGACACACCTGACAGTGGCTTTGCTTGATACGTCACTATGGCAAAGCCCCCCCCCCCCCCCCACACACACACCTTCCCTGACACGCCACCTTAATTGCATGCATCTCATGGACTCCGTGCGCGCTACTCAGGAATTAGTGGAGAGAGTAGCAAGAATCCCGACGGTGGTGGCATTGGCGAGGGCAAGTTGAGCACTCGTACCAAAAGTTCCAAAACCCATGCAATATTCGCCAGATGCTAAATGATCTTGCAGGTGGGCTTTCAAATTTCTCTCCTCCTACCATGGTGCTGCAGTGTGGTGAGCGCGTAGATGGGATCAAAGAAATTCCACACCTACCCCCCCCCCCTAAACACAGACAGAATATCTGAGGATACATGCGCATTGTCCGTCTGCTGCTGACGAGAACGATGGTCCATAGCCAGATGTGCTACCAGGCTGTCCGTTGTCGTGTTAGGATCCCAACCTGGAAGGGTTGCACACAATGGACATACCTGCACAAACACACACAAATACCCAGACACACACACACACACATGCACACAAACACCCAGACACAGAAATGCTAGTCAAACTGGTGCATCCGAAGGCTTTAACCTGCCCTATCTCTCAAAGCATCAAACAAGGCCACCGGAAGGTATTTCGGGTGCCACGGTCAACCTTTGGACGTGCACCAGGAGCATCCTTGATCTCACCCTGACCATCATGTAATCATACAACTATGCTGCCTGATGATCGTGACTACTTCAAGTATGCGAAGCTCGGAGTTGCAACACAGCTTCCCCCCTCCCTCCCCCTCTCTCTTGTGCAAACTAAATACTAGCAATTCATGAATTCAAGGGGTACCTGGCGCACAGAGTACCGGATTTCCCCGATTATAGGTCGCACTCGATTGTAAATCGCACCCCCATTTCCAGGACCATGTCATATCGTTTTGACATATTCACTTCAGTAGTAAGTCATGCTCGATTATAAGTCGCACCCCCTTTGTTGGCCCTGAAGTTAAGTGTAAAAAGGTGCGACTTATATTCGGGGAATTACGGTAGAGCGGTCAATACCGTAGTGACCGCAGCCCTGTCAAAGTGTACCTTCAAAGAGCGAGACCAGAGAATTACAAACTAACACGGCGGTGGTCAATTGTTTTAACCAAAGATAAGCGGATGCCTCCACCCCCTCCTCACCCCTTACAGCTGCCACGGATTTCACCCGACTTCTTTCCTGCACTCACCCGGACGAAAGCGCCCCAGTAAATCAACAACCACAAAAAATTTCCAAACTCAGCTTGCTTTCCCTACCTGTCTTCGCATTAGCCTGGGCACAGTATTCAGTTCGGATTGTGAACGGCCAATGGATACTAGTATGTTATTTATCAGGCCCGCCGGAACCGGTCTGGTTGGTCAGGTTATCACCGGGCCAACCTTTTTGGCCACCAACACATGTTTCCTACTTTTGAGGGCACGTATACCCACTACATGTACATGTATTATAATATATTTATCATAAACAAAGTGTGCAAGGCCATGAAACTACCGGGCCAATCAAAAACTGCTTCCGGCGGTCCTGTTTATGCTCCCACCATCAATGCTGGGGCCTCTTTATTGGCTACTGGTGTGGCTGCATGTTTCGCCTGATGCTTCATGACCAGAGATAGAGAGAGACAGAGAGGGAGTGGCACTGTGCTTGGTAGCCAGTGCAGGCAGAACAACAGTGCACACATGCATTGCACGTGTGCGAAAACAAACCAGCAAACCAAACGCACTGCCACGTACCACTTCCTTGCTGGCGTTGTCATGCTCAGTGACGACGTGTTCCTGTAGGCGACGCTCAGTGAAGCCCATTTGGCCGCACAACGGACACGTGAAGCACTGAGCACGCTCATAGCTAATCGTATCACCACCAAAGTAGACTTCTGTGATGCGATAAAAGCAGACAATAGACGCAACACGCATCAAATTGATTCGGAACTTTTGTTGTTCAAAAAGCTACGTCAAATGTGTGGGATGTCATAAAGGGGAGCAGTACGCCTGGCGTAAGGGGAGTAGTACGCCTGGCGTACCCAGGGTCCAGTCACTTTTATTCCCGTAGCTATACAGAAGAGTCAAATGTTACGAATAGTAGTAGCGCCTGGCGCCAGCCAGGGTCCACATCGCTTAAGTTGGTATCGACGTGTATGTGTGCTGTGCATATTGGCATGTCACGTGCCAGGGCGCATACATGTAGTGTTCACATGCGACACGTGACTAAGCACCAGATTAGCCGAATAAACCGTCCGTATGAGGGCCTAGATGAAGAACAAGCGAGCATAGCGAGGGTCCGAAGCTGGCTGTGCGCACGTGTGTGTGCATGGATGTGTGTGTGTGTGTGTGTGATTATACAAGAATTAATCTAGCCAGAAGCGGTCCATGTGCTAGTGAAGCTTGTATCAGACCCACTCTGATTTAGCCACCCACACTAGTAGCAAGTATTACCTTCACTGGGGCAGGGGTAACTGCAGTTGGATTCCTGGACGGATACCCTGATGCCGTCAAATCCTTTTTCTGCACCTTGTCCTCACCCACTTACTGAGGTGTGGTGAGCCCATAAGTGGGATCATTAAGTCCACCCAGAGTTTTGGGGATTTCAGAGGGCGTCGGCCGTTGGGGGGTTCAATAGCCAATTGAGTCATCTGTCCAAGATTCCTTTTGAGTCTCTCTCCCCTCTCCCGGGAAGACCCACGTGACCAGTTTTGGCAGTGAGCAACAAGTACAAGTGTGTGCGTGTGTGTGTGCATGAGTGGACGGGGCATTGTTCGTTGCAATGGTGTGACCGAATGCCAGTTTCTGGTTGTGATCTGAAGCACTGTTCTGAATAGCGAGTCCCCTACCTGGCAACATGCTATCTTTGTCATACCGTAAAGTTGCGGGTAGAAGCCGGCGTCGCACAGAAGCCGAAAAATCGTGCGGGCTTATTGCGTCCAAGCCTGTCGTGCATACAAGCCAAGTCACAGCGAGTCGCGTGCGAAGCCGTGCATGCCAATCGAGTACATGTACCAGAGTACGGTACCCGCTAGGTGCATGGCTTCTATGGAACCACTTGTCACGATCTCCACGTGCACCACGTGTTGACTCCAAAGTGTGTCAAGCTTGCAAGAACTGTTTGTAGTTTGTCTTCCAGGATCCACCATGCCTGCCGAGAACTCTGGCAAACGAACAAATTACAGCTTGACTTTCAAGCTAACCGTAGCAAAGTCAGCGAAAAGCTCGTCGAATGCTGTCGCCGCTCGCACTCATGAAGTTGACGAGAGCATGGTCCGCAGGTGGAGGCGAACTGAAGCTGGTTTGCTTGCCCAAGAGAAAGGTGAAGCGTATCGCGCAGGCAAGGTTGCCTGGAGGTGGTGGATCCTTGAAGTTTGCAGAGTTGGAAACCGCAGTCTTCGAATGGATTGTTGGTGAACGCCAGCAGCGACGACGAGTGACTCGCAAATCCATCCGGGAAAAACCAAGTTACTCCATACCGAGATGGCGATTGAGGAGCCTTTTGAGGCAAGCTCGGACTGGTGCAAAAACTTGTTCATTCCACAACAGCTGGCCACTCGAATCCAAACTCATGAGAGTGAAAAGGTGCCAGAGGATTCAATACCCAAGCTGATCGACTTCATGTTGTATCTCCGCTCGTATTTCGCCGTTCACTCGGCGGTTCAGTCCAGCAGGGTGTATGCGATGGATGAAAAAGCTGTTTGGTTTCATGCTGTGAGCAACTGGACTATGAATGTTGTTGGTAGCCGTACTGTGTCGTTGGCGTCGGCAGGCCTTGAGGAACAGAATGTCACCGTGGCCCTCACTGCTGCAGCTGACGGCACCAAGCGACTACCCTTCATAATCTTCAAGGGAAAGGGAAAAACGGCGGATGATAAACTGCTGATGGCCAGGCGTGACATTCAGGTGGCATTCTCGGACAATGGTTGGTTCAACACTGGCCTCACCGTTGATTGGCTGAAGAGAGTGTTGGGTACCATCGCATTCGGCAAACGGCTACTCATCTGGGATTCGTATAGATGCCACCGTAGTCAGCCTGTGACAAAGCAACGGCGACAGCAGAATGCAGACTGTGTAACGGTTCCCGGAGGCTGCACTGGCCTGATTCAAGGTCCAGACGTGAGCTGGAACAAGCCCTTCAAGGGTTCTCTGCAAGAGCAGTACAACGAGTGGCTCTGCACTGGCCAGAAAACATACGGTAGACTGCTGCCAGAAATGTTTGTGCCGTTTCCAAGACCGTCCTGGGTGGCATGGTTGTCAAGGCTCACCAATACTTCCTTCAAGTGCTGTGGCCAGGTGCGCGGTGTGTCTGCAGATTACATCTCCTGTTTCAAGGACGGTCGGCCTGCAGCTAGTGGACGCCAGCGGCGTGCGGAGGCATTTGAGACACCGCTCAATCCACAGGCACCTGCTCGTGTGCTCAGTATACACTGACTGGAACTGAAAAACGTTGAGAAAAACTGTTGAAATGGTGTGCATAGCCTGTGTGGTGAAACAGTCAGCGGCGTACATGTATAAGCCTGTTTGCATGCAAGCCTGTTGCTCTGGCCGGCTTACGTGCACATAAGCCCGGCTTCTACCCGCGACTTTACGGTACCCACGTAATCTCACAAGCAGCACCTACATTTTACTGTGTACACGGTCATCGTCTGATGAGTGTTTTTCAACACGAAACCCGGCGTCACGAGAAAGATTCGGTCTCTGTTGTTCTGCCTCGTATACTGTGTACATGTACCGTACTCCTGTATATACTGTACAGTCATGTACTCGTTATTCCTGGTATTATAAATTATAGTAGAAACTTTTTATAGTAGACGCAGAATTTGAAATTTCATTGCAAAATATTAATGTATAATTTTCCACGCCTGATTCTATTTTTCGGACCAATGGCTTCTCCGCTTCTTGATAAAAATTAATGGACGCCCACAGAGGCGTGCTGCAAGACAGCCACCTACCGTGATCAGCCCGCGTGAGAATGCACTGCACTGGGTGGTCAATGGAGTGAGAACCGGACGAGCCGGATGCACTATTGTTATCGTAACAACTGCTGCACAGATCGTAGTCGTAGCAAATCAAGCATTTGAAGCGCTTGCCCCGAAAGTTAGACTTGCCGCACACATCGCACGAGACCCCTGCACGCAAAACAGGGCCAAAGAAACTCCAGGATAAGCATTGGGAAACAGAAAGGACAGTTTTTTCGGCGCAAACACAATCACCTTCATGACGAGACATCTTCCTCTAGCCCAATAGTCCAACTCAAGAGACCTGAGTGAATGCCCGCAACAAACATCAGAACGTAACAACCTTCTTGGTTACTCTGCAGCAACTGAAAAAACTCTACCAACACAGCCAGGAAGGGCTAGGGAATCATGAATGTCCTGGACTCGACTCAAACCTGCTGTAGATCTACGCTGTGTGCAGTGAGGGTCCCTGCTTTCTTGTGCCAAGAAAAAACGAAAAAAGTTAAAGAGCACACCACATCGAAACGCGAAACGAGCTTCAGCAATCAGCTGCATGCAGCTCGCAGTACAGCCACTTGTACAGGTCTACTCTCCATATAACGTAATCTCTGGGACCACGCAAAAATTATGTTATATCGAGAGTTATGTTATGTAGAAAACCGTGTGTAAATACAAGATGCACCTCAAAATGAAGGGTATTACAAGGCGGGTTCAACCGTGCAAACATATACACACTGTACCACCATCGACATCAGATACCATCAATGCCGCAGAATATAATGCAATAGGACTAAACTGGCTAGCTACGGCTACAGCTTGATTGTGCCGCGCACGTGAATCTACGTTGTATCGAGAGTGTACACGTCGGGGACTGCGCCGTAGGGTGCGTTATGCCGAGGTTTACGTTATGTAGGACTAAACTGGCCTAAACTGCCTAGCTACAGCTACCGCTTGATCATACCGTGCACGTGAATTTATGTTGTATCGAGAGTGCGCACGTCGGGGACCGCCGTAGCGTGTGTTATGTCGAGGTTTATGTTATGTAGGATTATGTTGTGTAGAACAAAATTTGTATGGGAGTGATGCTGTTTCGGCGCGGGATTTGGCTTTTTTATGTACTAACGAGGTTTATGTACAAGTGAGAGTTGTTATATCGAGAGCAGACCTGTACTAGCATGGAAGCACTGGCACTGCGCATATGCATGCAATGCAGGATAAGTATACGTGATCTACGTGTACAGTATCCAGGGAGTCGTCAAATACCGGTATTTGACGACTCCCTGGTACATGGTGTGATCTCGCATACACCCTAAAAAAACCTTTTTGTCGAGAAATGAAGAAGATGAAGACGCCACATGCACATGTACATGAGATCTTTCCTGCTTTTCTTGGCATGGATCTTGAAATGAAAGGTTCATGTTCAAGAATCAATGTTTTAGACGATATCAATGATTTGTAGAGTCGAGTACAGTATGTGAATTCCGTAGTCTTATTATGTTTATGTTGTGACCGTTGTGACCGTTGTGACCGTGGCTGAAGCTCGAAGATGGCTGTGCTACCTACAGCTGGTCGCCGTGCTCTACAGCTGATTCGTAGCTGTGGCGTTGGACGGGTGCACGCTTCTAGCTATCACTCGACCACTGTCGAGAGGAATGCTGATGTGAGTCCAGCGCCTGCAGCCACTGCTGGTGCGCAACAGGCAACCAGCAGCATCCATGACATGGCCTACTCGCCTAGCTGGTATGCACTGGGAGTCAACGAAGAGCTGAGAGTTATGATGAAGAAGACTGGCGCAAAGAAACACTCAAACTTGATTCAGGCAAAGGTGCGTATAACCGGAATGTGCTCTTCGCGAAGTACATTTCAAAATCACACTACAATAAAGTATCCACGAAAAAGAAAACAATGGAATGAAATCAAATATTTTATTAGTTGGAGGAAGGGAAAAGTCTGAAGAAAAAATCGAAAAGAAATCATGTTTGGTCCAATCAAATCAATCAATGATGATGTCATGATTGAATGTAATCAAAGTCCATAAGGGTTGGTTCACATAAGCAAAATCAGTGCAGCAAGACATCGGCGGTGAGCCAGCTCCCGATCCGTTGCGCCTACGGTTCGAGTACCAAATCTACTACAAAGTAGTACAGAATGTGCCAAAATGCTACGACAGGTTTGCCAATTGAAGCTTGAATTCTTTGTTTCTTCAGTAGTTCAAGGTCTTTCGGTGATGGCCACTCGGTGCTACCTTTTACTGGAGATCATGAAACTACTTCTACACATTTTATTGCAGTCTAGTAGTAAGCGATTGTGTCGAAATTATGCTTGCAAACGTTGATGAAGTCACAAGAACTTGCCAATGTATCCATTATAATTTTATATTTGTTTCAATTGTATTTGTCTCATAAGTTGCACAATGGTCAAGCAGATCATCCGAGAAGGACGGGCTGGTATCCTGACTTATTTGCCGCCTTGAAGCGACTACAAGAATGGCGAACGGATCTCCTCTCTAGCTTCAATTTAGGAAAATTTAGGACAAGTATTGGTTTGATATTTTGACAAAGTCCGGCTCCCGGCAGCCGGCGATCACCGGCGCGAACGGTTCACAAACCACTTTTGGTCAAAATCGTACGGGATCGGCGCCGGGGCAGATCGCAAGAGTTGGGCACTGTCCAACTTTGCCGGTGGTCCCTTGCGATATTTTACCGTATGATTTTGTTACGACTGCACTGGTTCACACAATCGCAATGCGCCGGGAGAGGTTGCAAGAAGCCCACCGCCGGTCTCTCCCGGCGATATGTGAACCAACCCTAATCGCCAAGTTCGGTACATATATGAGAGTGTGCAACGTAAGAAGACCATAGGCATAGGTCTGTGGGAAACACCCTAGTAAAATAAATAAAATGATAATAATAAATTTAAAATAGAAAAGGACATATGGATACGAGTTTAGAGTAACTCTCCATCACTGTAACATGATACTATATACAGTCAGAAAGTGCAATAACTAGGCACAAAACTGACAGAGTACTGAGACATTCGACGTCCTGACACCTAACTTTAACACATCTCCGTAGCGCTAACCGACAGCCTTCCAACTTGGAAGGTTCAAGGTTATGGAAAAGACCAAATTAATAATTGTAGAACGGAAAAGGAAATATAGATACGAGTTAAGAGTAACTCTCCATCACTGTAACCAGATACTATATACAGTCAGAAAGTGCAACAACTAGGCACAAAACTGACAGAGTACTGAGACATTCAACGTCCTGACACCTAGCTTCAACACATCTCCGTAGCGCTAACCGACAGCCTTCCAACTTGGAAGGTTCAAGGTTATGGAAATACCAAAAAGGGGAAGGCAAGCGCAACGAAAATGAGCACACGCTACAGTCCCAACGGAACAAAGAATGTCGATTGTTACTGGACTATGACGAGACCAGTAGGATATTTGACAAAGCGGTCTAACTACAATTCAAAGCAGCACACCACCCAACTTGGGTGGGTCATAAATATCAAAGATGAGTAAAGAAAGGGAAGCTTTGCGAAAACGAATTGTACAAACCGAAAGCCAAACTCCTACAGTACTCCTCATGCATGACAGTCATTGTGATGGACTGGCTACAGTGATGGAGTTACTCTCATCTCGTATCTATATTCCCTTTTCCGTTCTACATTTATTATTGGCTCAACATCCGAGTTTCAAATAATAATAATAACTGGCCAGCATTGGCCCAGCCTAGCAGATTACAAAATACCTACGACGATACGTTGTGCCATAAACCACTCGTTGTCTGGGGAACTCCTTTTCCTTTCTCTTGGACTTCTGGAAGCGGTGGTCGAAAATCTCCACCAAAGTCGGCGTGAAACCCTCGGTATGGTTCGCACAAAAGCAGAGAAACTTACCAAGGTTTTTTCTTCATTTTTTCAACGTTTTGGTTTTTGTAATCAGCAAAGCTCAGGATTGAAATGACCTTGCAAAGGGATGAGCTGAGCAGATGACACAGGCATGCACACGCAGAGTATGTAGCGCCCCGGGCCGGAAGGACAGAATACTCTGACGTACAAACAAGGCTGGTCGAGGCAGCTCGAAGCAGAGTGCAGCTCGATGCACACATGTGCAGAGCAATATACACATGCAATGGAGGCGAAAGCCTGTGTAGCTGTGACATGCTGTATGTGTATGTACAGTACCCTAAAGTACTTTGAAGTACATGTATGGCATACGTGAACATTTTCCGAACATTTTTCGAGTCCAAACGAACTGGCTCCGTAAACCATGTTTGCACCTGATGACTGTGTGACTGTCTGCTTGCATGCAACGATGCCATCGCTGAAACGAGGTGATGTGTTTGTGTGCAGATGCCCTGGTGTTTCGGGAGTCCCGAGAGAAGTGTTTTTCATTTTCGTCCCTGTGTCTTGTTTTGAACAATCGTCGAGGAGACAGTAAATGCAAAATAGCAATGAATAAAACAAATTGTGCAGTCCAGGGATGAATTTATCCTGTATCGCATCGCAGTTTGCGATGCAAAATCGATCTACTGCTACTCAAAAGTCACTGTGACTCGCAGAAAATTGCGATGCATACCGGCTATCCATGCCTAGCCTGCGCTGTCAAGTAACATGCATACAGTGCAGTGCATACAGTGCAGTGTATGTGGTGCAGGTACTCTCAATCTGCGTGCACATATATGCTTCTGTCTTTTTTTTGCAAATGGGCTTTCAGGCATCGCTCCCAAGAAGGACAAACATCCAACCTTCAAAGAAAAAGTGCTAATCAAAATCAAAGACTGCTACACAATTGTGATTTCGTATAGCAGAAACTGCTATGCAAAAATATGACAGTAAATTCATCCCTTCAGTCATACTCATAACAATGTAAAATATATATCCATGTACTAATTTCCAAAACGTTTCGTGTGATTCTCAGTCTTGTTTTGGTTGCGATGTGCCGATCGTGTCTTGTTTTGGTTGTGATTGATGCGATGCGCTCTCATCTTTCTCCCTGTGTGCAGTGCTTGCCTCCAATGCTGCAAGGGCACAATGTTCTTGTCCACGCCTTGCCCGGATCTGGCCTTACAACGGGTAAGTGACTTCTCGTAACTATTGGCAGTCTCGCGACGAGCCAGGAGATGTTGAATAAGTAAATAAATGAATAAGTGCTCCTAGTGTGCACTGGACAGTGCTTGCCTAGCGCTTGTACCATTTCCCTCCCAAACACACACACACACACACACACACACACACACATCTACGGGGCCTTCAGCTCATGCCACGCTGCTGAAGGTAGCTGCACAGCAGAGTATTACTGGCGTGTACTGCACACTTACAGTGTGTATGCAGGAGTAACAATATCTAGTGTAGAGTGTAGCGTTCTGCATTCTGTGTTTATACGGATTTTTAAAGTCAACCCAACGACATTCTTTGGCGACAGGCACTTGGGAAGTTACGCCCTTCGGCTCCTGGTATTTGTTTGTTTGTTTTGTATTTTTACTTCACTAAATACACAGGCATTTCTGCCTTCTCGTCTGACCATACAGCTAGACTCTCAATGAATAAGAGGTGGATATTGGGCAGTATCGCCCTTCGGGAAGTAGTTGGTGACTGACTGCGGGGTTTGATGTGTGTCTGCTCCCTGCACAGCGTACTGCATAGCCATCTGTGATCGGATCATGAAGTCACTTGCTAATGCGGAGATGCGGCGCGAAGTGATTCCTGCCGATGAGAAGCCTGGTGTGTTGACGACGAAAGAGGAGAAGCATGTGATTGACGCCTTGCAATCAGCAACGGCCATCGGAGCACGGGCACTCGTCCTCGTCAAGGACGCCGTCCAAGTGCAACTTGTACGTGTCTATCAGTGTGTGTGTGGTGTGTGTGTGTGTATGTGTGCGCGCGTGTGCGTGCGTGTATGCGTGCATGTATGGCACTGTCACACATGTATCTGCATACCTAAGTTACTGCTGTTTATGGGTAAGTACGTTCTCCATTTTTCTTCCAGGGTGTGTTTCAGCGCCGCAGTTCCGGCCTGGCATACTAAAAGTCTCTGAGGGAATCTGAGCGTGGATGCTTCTATGAGTAATTTTACATTACTGTTTAGCATTCGGATGTATCTGTATGCTTTACACCGGTTTTGTTGGTGTATATGATTTGTGTGATGGGTCTCACCTAGGAGTCTCTTTATTCCTTGTCTATTCACTCATCCGCCTGTCCGTCTGCTTGTATTTGCCTGTGCATGTACCCCTTTTTGTCTCTGCAAACTATGGTTCTGGACAGGTCGCCAAGCGGTTCAACAAGTACTTTGGCAAGACGTTCCGCGCGTGCGCCCTGTACGAGAAAAGCGATCTGGTTATGACGGCGGAGACGGCTGTTCTGGTCATGACACCGCAGGTGCTGCTCGGCATGGAACTGCCTTCGCTGATGCGTCGCATTGATACCATCGTCCTGGACAGTGTCTGTGAGAAGTATGTTCTCGACCAGGTGCTAGCCCTGCCGCCACCTCGCACCACCGCCATCAACCCGGTGGCCGGGACGCTGCCGGACGAGAATGAAGACGACTACACGAATCCGTTCAACCGTCAGCTGATCGGGATCGTGGACAACATGACGCTCTTCGGGCAGGCGTCGTCGATTCTCGCCCGCGACCCGCGCGTCGTCCTGGTGCGTGCGCCCCCTGACCCGGACAAGCTGCGCCAGCCGGCGTACCGGGTCTCCTCGCACTTGTTTGTGCGCGCCGAGGACGAGAAGGCGGCGCTTCGCACGGTGGTCACGGAGCTGCACGGCATGCGCTCGACGCACTACGACACCACGCTGCAGGCCTCGCACTGCAAGCGCGTACTGGTCATCGCCAGCAGGCAGATGAATCCCGAAGCGCTGGCCAACCTCTGGGCGGTCGTCACCGAGCCGCAGATGGTGCACGACGTCGGCGGCAAGGAGGAGGCCTGGTTCAAGAACTTCCGCGTGTCGGCGCTGTTCGCACGGCTGCAGCGCGAATCCTACAAGCTGTTCTCGAACGGGTCAGTGCCACTGATGGTGACGACGCAGGATTTCGCTACCGGCCTCCATTTCCAGGCACCGCTGGACGCTGTCATCTTTTACGGCATGCCGGACCCGCAGCACTACTTTGAGGCGTGTCGGCATGTACAGTATCGCAGGGGCTGCGGTAAGCGTGTGTTGGCGCGTGCTTCTCTCCATTGAACTATGTGTCGAGTAGTGTGTGCATGTTAGTGTTTGTGTGCGTATGAACGTGCATCGCTTTTTTTGTCTTGCGTTGGTGTGATGCCTGCGTGTACGTGTGTGTGTGAATGTTTGTCTGTGTCTGTCCATGTGTTTGTCCGTGTGCATGTCTGTACGCATGTGTGTGTATGTATGTTTGTACTACAGTCAACTTCGCTAATAACGACTGCGGATATAACGACATAATTTTTATGCCCAGAGCAAAGTCCCACCCAACTGTGACACATATAATGAGACTTCGGGTATAACGACACTTCGCGAATAAGGACACTTTTCTGATGCCTCGCCGAGTGTCGTTATAAGCGAAGTTGACTGTAGTCCCGGTATGCATGTGTGCATCTGGGGGGGGGGGGGGGTGTTTCTGCGTGTGTGTTTGTGTGTGTGTGTTTGTGTGTGTGTAGACCAACCTCTTATGTTTTCTCTTTTTGTCTCACCCAAACACACACACACACACACACTCTCACGCACACGCGCATGCACACCACACACGTACACACACACAGATACTCTCTCTCTCTCTCTCTAAGTACGTGTGGATGGGCTTGAAGTGGCTAACTTGAGTCTGTGTCAGCGATCTTTGTTTTAACCGCCCACATCTGTTTTCCACAAAAAAAATTGCGGATAGGCGTGGGAACCAGATAATCGAACACCGGCTATGTTAGATGCATCACGTATGCTGTACACCTGTAACCAGCTATTTTCTTCCGGATGGCGAGGGATCCGGATAAGCGAGGTCTGACTGTACTCGTGTGTCCTGTTCTCATAATTGTAAGTGTCCTGCTCTTAAATGAGTGTCCCGTGTGTCTGTGTGCCTTACATGCAGTGATAACGGTGTACGATGAGTCACGCGCCGCCTTGGTTGACGTGCTGCAGGCACTGTCGCGCCCATCTCCGCCGAAGCTGAGCGAGACACACAACGACATGTTGTGGCAACTGGTGTCCACAACACTGAACATGCGCGATGTGAGAAACATGTCCGACTACGTCCAAGCGGTCAGCCCGCAAGCCCTGAAAAAGATTGCCGGCAGCGTCGCGGACATCGACTCGTTGGCAGCTCAAGTGGGCGCTGGACTGTATGCGAGGAGAAGACCCAGACGTCCTCTCGATGGCGAGCGGCGGATGCGTAAATAGCATACTGAGTTTCATCATGACTCGTATTGCGTTGCGATGATGACATGTGTATCGTATTGTACATGTATATAAATGTGTGTGTGTGTGTGTGTGTGTGTGTGTGTGTGTGTGTGTGTGTGTGTGTGTGTGTGTGTGTGTGTGTGTGTGTGTGTGTGTGTGTATTGTACAGTGGAGAAGTCCTACTTTATCTGCGCTTTATTAAAAAAGTTGATGGACAAACTCTGTTTTCTTAATTTATGCATGCTGTAGTTTGGTATATAATCTGTACATACCACAGCTTAGGCTATTTTCTTGTTAGGGACATTTAAATGCCTGTTCATTCAATGCTTGTAATCTGTTGGGAAACCCTCAGCCGAAAGGCTACTGAATCCGCATTGACTCTAGATGTTCTGTGTTACCAGGAATACTTAGACCAGAGTGTGCGACTCCTCATCTATGCTGGAGAAAACACTTCCAAAGTCTTCATCATGAATCATAGGAAAAGCTATCCATCATGATGTAGACCAGGGAGTAGTATTGAGTAGTATTGAGTAGTATTGCACTACGCCCTGCCGTGGACTGAACTGAAGGCCAGATCATTGACATTGAGCAGCACTGTACCAGGCGCGTGCCCCGTATGGGTTCCTGGGTGCCCGGAACCCCCCTTTTTTTCGCTGAAAATGCAGAATTTTGCTTCATTTTTTGAAAATTTTCCCGCGGGAAGCCCCCGGAACCCCCCCCCCCTCCTCCTTGAAGGGCACCGGCGCACGCGCCTGTGTACATACATTGTACATGACTGTATACATTGCTGCTCAATGAAATCCAGTCGCGTCATTCAAGCTTGCGCCTCGCATCATTTCGCAGCCCAGTGCAGTGCTCGCAGGCTGCACAACGCCCGGCGCGGTGTGTACTTGAGTGACGACACGACTGGATTTCATCGAGCAGCACTCTACATGTACTTGTACAATGTACAAGTGTCCACAAACAGTTTGCACGCTTGCTTGTACCGTACTTGCACATGTGTTTATTAACTTTATTTTTGTTTTTTCTAGGGCTGCAACGAATATTCTACTTCACAAACGAACGAATACTCACCCATAACGAACGAATAACGAATATTCTCTCAAAATGCTGAATTATTTCTAGGGGTGAAACAAAATTAATTATAATGGGAACGAAATTGAATTTTTTGTAAATGAAGAATATTTTATACCAAAAGAATCTTAGAAAGAGTTTGGCTAGTCCCCGGTTGTTCTAGACCCAGTTGATGTCTAGTGGAGTCATGTCCACCACTCTTGTGAGTCATAGTCCCCTTTCTCAACACATAACACATGTACATATCACTTAATCCGTTCAAGAATTACTACGATAGATCGACACAAGAGCAAAGTGCGCGCACGTGTCAAAACGAACGAACAATTATTCTAAAGGGGGAAATATTCCTTCCTTCGTGTTCCAAACGAATATCAATCGAATATTCGAATATTCCTTGCAACCCTAGTTTTTTCTCGGCTTCCCCAACATATTTTAAAGCCTTGTTTACAGGGTATGACTTTAATGTGTCCAGTGGACTCCTTTTTTGCTAGTCATGACACCTGATAGCCTAGGATACTATATAATCATTGTACATAATGTACAACTCTTTTGCCGGGATACGAATAGAAAAAAAAACAAAAAAACATAATGTACATGTACATGTAGTAGTGAATCCACGAAAGACCATTCCTGTATGTTGTCAATGACCATGATCACAATGTACATGTACATGCAGGACAGAGCGTGGGACAGCAGATAAGATTAGGAGCCGAATACAATGAATTACAGTGTAGGCCAATAGCAGGATGGCCGCGTTACGTATCCTGTTCACACAGACGCTTGTCGTTGGAACAATTACATTACAGCCTCAGGGCATACGTGTACATGTACGTCTCTGACCATGTGCAAGGTCATATCCGGATTTGTACCAAGAGTCCATAAATACTGTTTATAGACTCTTGTTGTACCTGTAGAGTCGGTGGTGTGGCTGATGATTTTTTCTTTCTTTCATATCTGGCTTGCAATTGTTGAGTTTCGGAGAGAAAAGAGCAGTACGTGGCATATGGCCTCTAATTTCCCAAAAACTTTGAAATTCTCCATGAAGTCCAAATTTGAAATTGCAATCTGTAGAGTCCAGGTAGTAATATTACTCCCTGCTGTAGATTCTGTTCTGCACTAGCCTGTCGTATGTACAAGATTGATTGATCTACTAACTTATTATTATTATTATTAAATTTTGAATAGGGCAGTCCCACAGGCCTAGGGCCTTTTTCTTACTTGTCAAGCCTCTACTCGCTCTACTCTATAATTTAGGATTTGCCAACGGCTGCTGTTGGACTTGGAGCCTACAATGTAGCATGTTGGAGCCTGTAGCGAGGGTTTTTCCTGCGGTATGAAAGAGGAGGAAGAGAGGAGAGGAAGGAACAGCCTCCCCGTCAATCAGATGCGGAGTTTGAATCCAGTGCACAGCCTTGTACGATGTACCGTGATGACTGTAGTCCAGCTTCTATAATATTTATATTTATTATTCACAGGATTTCCCAAAGGCATAGCCTATCGGAGCTATAACCATTTAAAACCTGCATGACAGTCGGCACTGGTCAGCGCGTGGTAGCTACTACTGCTCGCAAAGATACTACGTCCACATGTCATGATTGTGCATTGTACAGGTGCATGTACAGTCATGTACTTCCTCGAATACAATTACCGGTGTGTACACTCACCGGAAAAGGCTGCCTAGCCGGAAAGGCAAACGGCCGTCGTTACAAGGGCCCTTAGGGGGTGCCTCCACTCCAGTTCACGCCGGGAGAGATCGGCAGATGTGCGTGGGATGACATCTGCGGCAACGTCCTGGTTTCTAGCCATGGGCTAAGGAAGGCTGAACGTAAACAACGATGGAAACATGACTCTTTCGGAGTAAATCGCCCCACACCACGGGGGTCATGCACTCTGGATGGAAACATTCATGCATCCCATTCCCACTTGTCAGTGAGACGACAGTGGTATGCCGTGACTGGGACCACAACTCACAAGACACGACAACAAATCCTTCAAAAGGCCACAGCTGATTGACTACATACACCATTGGACCATTGGACGCCCATCGCCGGAGGCGATGATAGCGATGCTACAGCAGAAACCATAGCAGCTTGTGCTGGGATTGCACCATTCAACAGCTAGCAAGGCTGAAGAATTGACCGCCACTATTCTGAGTATTCAGCCTGATCTACACCACACAGCTATGAAGTGGCTTTACTACATACAAAACACAACACACACACCACATACAAGAAGAGTCAAGTGTGCCTGTCGAGGGTAACCCTTTCCCAAAGATGCCATAATTTTTCGCAACTTATGCTTTTCGCAACCGTATCAAACCAAGTGCTAGTTGCTGAAATCGCATCCATATTAGATAAAGCTCAAAAGTAACACGTTAGTTGCTATTATCGCAACTAATACTTAAAATTGGAGAAAAATTGTGCAAAAACCACCAAAAAAGGAGGAGAAATAGCAGAAGTACAGGGACAGCCAGGGAGTATTTGACGACTCCCTGGGGACAGCAAACTCGTTCACCCCTTCCTGCTCAGGACCTGCTGTGAACCACCACTTTACACAGTGCCAGTGGCAGTAGCCTGTTGCTGCATGTATCCTACATCATTCCATGCGTGGAAAAGGGAATGCACATTATCGTAACTATCTACTTTTTCTCTGAATGAGTCTGAAGGCAGGCGAGATATGAGCGAGTCTGCATTTTGTCCGACATGTAGTACGCGACTTGACCCTTTGACCCCTTGCCGGCCATGGCCATGGGGCCAAGGTTGCGGAAAAGTTGCGAAATAGTTTGCGAAAATACGGAGGATTAGCAAGACGAAATTCGCGTTCGCGTTCGCAAACATTTTTCAGTTCGCGAACTGGATTGCGAACTTTCGCACTTTTCGTTCGGAAAAGTAGTAGGAACACGAATCCCACGATTCGTGTCAGGGCAGTCATAAACTTACCACGCTGTACTGCCCACGTCGTGTCAACATCATGCATGTGCGAATTCTGTTTGCTAATCCTTCTCATAACGCGAATTCCGTCACTGAGTTCGACTTTCTTTGGAGAGCGAACGCGAACGCGAATTTCGTCTTGCTAATCCTCCGTAATGAAGAATGTTGCGAAAGTTGCGATTTCTTCTTAAACAACGAAAAGTTGCGAAAAAAAGCTGCGAGCATCTTTGGGAAAGGGCTAGTCGAGGGGGGTTCCGGTTTTCGCTTGAGTGATGAGATACCAGGTGCAGGATACGTGGGATGGGAAAACTGGTAAAAGAGGGAGTATTGTCTACTACTATTGAGGCAGCCCCGGTGTCACTGTGTGCATGGTTCGACCGACTCTAAATCGAATGCCTTTACTAGGCGGCGCAGACGTGCATTGGCCTCATCAATGATCATGCGGCGACTGGTCAGGTCCGCGACCGCGAGTCTCCAGAACTCGGACGCCTTTCTTCCTTCCATGATTCCATCCTGGAACCACAAGTGCAGTTCTGTTCGTTCTTGATTGCTTGTAAAAAGTGAACTTTACGACCCAAAAATAGGAAAAGGTGAACACCGCTACAGCTACAATAAGTAACAAACGTTACTTATTAATTTTTTGGACTCGGATATGATGGAGAGCCAAGGATAAATTTATACAGTAAAGAAAACAGCCTTCCATTATTTTGGAAGGTTCTAAGTTATAGAGCTGGTTGGTTGGTTTATTTTAATTCGCACAATAAACGGGAACTAGGCCCAATGATATAAAGGCGAATGGACAAGCCGCATTTAGAAAAGAGAGGACAGGAATTAGAAAATTACGAAAGAAGAAGTACATGTATCTGACGGAGGAGTCAAGCGAGTATCAGGGGTGACACGTGACAGGGTGGTCGAGGAGAGCTAGGGGAGGGCTAGTCTGAGCAACAATACTTGTATGGTAGGCAACTTTTAATACTTATGCTAAACTTTTTCTGTCTTGCTAGTATGGTCCGAACGTCATCCGGCAGCAGGTTCCAGAGTGCAGATCCTGCGACGGACGGCCGAGAAGCGCCAGAGCAAGTGGAGGATGGCTGACTGAGCAGACCACTGGACCTCTGATGACGGGTTCTCCTGCCAGCAGATCTGACGAACAGTACAGAACTATAAACATGAGGAGGGAAGAACATGAGGAGGGAAGGCTGTTGGAGTACGCATCTAAGATGCGCTATTACTAGAGCTGTTACTAGCCGGTTACATGACACAGTCATGCAGTTGTAGAACGTCAGTACCGTCGGTCAGTGTCGTGCAATGTTATCGCATCAGATGATCGTGGTGGTGTTAGTGGACATTATAGCGTACTATTA